ACAACCTTACAATTTCATCATTCATAAATACGGAACTGGGTGTGGGCGATTGCCCCTTCAGTCAGGTTTCAGTCTTACATCATCATCATATGCCGTAATATTTTATTGGTATTTCTCAGGGATTGTTTGATTACAAATCCAACTGTACGTGGGTTTATTTCTCTCAACCTGTTCAGAGTAGACACTACTCGTGCAAAGGTTGAATGTTTGGTGTCCCAAAGTGTTTGGATTAAATACACATGCATTTGTATAATGCATTTTGACAATCTTTACTCATTGCATACACGTTGATTGTGTGTGTAGCTGCAGGTGTTGTTTCAATACTTACTAACTGGCAAAGCATTATCCACTGTAAACAACACTGATTGGTTATAATGAGTAACAATTAAATACTTACAAGGTGGCATACAAAGCACCATTCAGCATCAAGTTCAGTTCTGTAAAGGACAAGAAAACTCATGACAAAAGAAAGGAAATCAGAATATGTATTTATACTGGAGGAGGAATCCGATGAGCTCTTTTCACAGCCGTCCAGTCGGGGCGAGTCAGAACGTTACAACAAATAATACAAAACACGGTCCGAGTTCAAATCATAGGCAAGGTAAACACTGGGACATTAGCTTCTTTTTCAGCAGCGACCTGGCCACAAATGATAGTTCAACGAAGTGGTTTATCATGTGGAAATCCACAGCAGCAAATGAATACAGGCCAGAAAACAAATAAGATGTAACTTCACACAATGATGTGCATTTCATGTACCAAATGTAGCCTGACTACCAGCTAAAATCTGAACGTGTGGCCAGTGTTTTCATTTAGAAAAGGAATGGACTCATTTTCAAATGTTTTAGTTTGCCGAACGATATACTAGCCACATATTCAGTTATTTAGATCTTGCGGTGTGGATAATGATTACGTCTATTGAATATGCAATGCACACCATAGTGTGTTGTTAAATCTATTTATTTCCAGCCTATATGATTGTTTGTGCCCTGGTAAGTTTTCTTGTCATTCTTCTTCTTTCGTATGGCATTGTGAAAATAAATAGTTTTTATTTTGTCTTAATGATCGTCATAAATGAATGCAAAGGTTCCTCATCCAGTCCAATAATGTGGTTGACGCAGTGTGGATTTCAGCGATACCGCCAGGATGTGCATGGATGAAGCATTCATCGGCGATGTGCTTGATGGTTTGGACTTATCCATAGTCGCAGTTGTGCGATTCTTTGATGTTCCATTTATGGAACGTGTACGCGCATTTTGCCGTGTCGTGTTCGAGCGCGGCTCAGCGTGGTCCACAGTCGTCGTGGAATAGAGCATTTCCCTGTATTTCCCCCGTCGTATCGTCAATGATGTTTTTTTCTTCTTGGTTCTTTCGGTAAAGTCACGTAGAAGGGAAGTAATAAAATAATAAAAATAAAACATAATTTTATTAAAACATAATAAAACACAAAACATAATTTTATTATGTTTTATTTTTATTATTTTATAATAATTTTATTATGTTTTATTTTTATTATTTTATTATGTTTTATTTTTATTATTTTATTACTTCCCTTCTTACGTGACTTTACCGAAAGAACCAAGAAGATGAATCCCTGCAGTCACGAAAGCTTTAAATCAATGATGTTTTTGTTGGCCACATCCATCAACCCCCCATGAGTCAGACCACCCAGTGGCTGTGTCTTCAAGTTCGGCTGCTGGAGCAGAGGCGCGCATCCAGAACGCTTTCCTGGATGTTAGCCTTGGGCATGGGGGGTTCATTTAGATCTGGATGGAGCGGCAGAGTGAAGTTCTTCATGATCCTGTTGTTGTGCTCCCGTGCCGTCGCATCATCGCGTCGGATGTTGGCCGGAGCGATATTCGCCAGCACAAGAAGCCACGGGAGTTGAGTCGATTTGAAGGGACTGCTGATGATACGAAGCGCGTTGTTAATTTCGGCGTCGGCAAGGTTCGTGTGAGGGCTTGCAGTGGAGTGATCAAGGGCCTGCGACGATATCTTCAACGGGATGGCATCGCTTCCCCCAGGGTTGTTCCTGCAAGTTTCTGAATAATGTTCACTCGTGCTTTCGTATTACCTTCAGCTTGTTTCTCGTAAGTTATAGATTTGAATAGTTGTTGCCCTTAGGCAAATGCTCATGGGGATCCTCCAAAGTATAAAGCTACAGCCGCTCCATATATGGGGCTCAAAGAGGCAAGGATATTGCTGCGGTGAACATTGATGACTGTGCTGTAGTGATGAGTCCGAGTGGATTTGAAATGGGACTATGGGTGTCTCTGTGTTTTATTGCTGCCTATTGGAATGACCACATTTTCTCAACTCTTTGAGTCGATTTTTTTAAACGAAAATACGGCCACACACTTACTTCAGCCGGAATGCGTTCTGGATAAGGATTAGAGGTTTTTGTACAAGCAATGCACACCTTTCTGTGTTCCGCATCTAGTATGCCATTCTCCAGTTCCTGAAAATGTTTCCCAGGATAAGGACAATGCAGTGTACGTTTAGAGTACACATGTGGGCTTATAGAGTGTTCTACTTGAATTACATTGCAAACTAAAGTGGCCTTTTGAGACGGGTGGGAGTATTTTTGCAAGCAATGAATACCTTTGTGTGATGCATCTCGTTCTCAAGATCTGTAAAAAAAAGAATGTTTACCAAGATAACGCCGATGCTTACTCTGCTCTGCTTGAATAACTTTCGCTAACTTAAATGACCATTTTGAAAAGTTTAACAGGATGTGTCATTCGTTAAACACATTTCCATGGCACGACATACAAAACACAGGGTTTACGAACAATATGAAATCTCACGTAATGAAAGTGGTAAAAACAAACATACACCATGTCAGGTGAAAGTAAGATGGAGTGCTTTTTGGTTCTTTCGGTAAAGTCACGTAGAAAGAAAATAAATTTGATAATAGAATACTTAGACATACAATGCAATCCAACACAGAGAGTCGGCTAACACAACAGTCAGCGCCTTACCTGGTTGATTACGTTCTTCCAAAGATTGCTAAATTTGTCTGTGTTTTGTCTCTCTCTCAAATTTAGCAATCTTTGGAAGAATGTAATCAACCAGGTGAGGTGCTGACTGTTGTGTTGGCCGACTCTCTGTGTTGTATTGCATTGTATTTCTAAGTTCACTAGGTTTGTTTTCTACCTGATGACGATTTCTCGTGTTGCAATCGAAACGTTGTATTCTATTATTTCATTTATTTTATTTCTACGCAACTTTACTGAAAGAACCAAAGAGTAATTCCTGCAGTCACGAAACCTTCAAATCAAGTTTTAAGATGCAGTGCTTTGAAACCGTAGCAAAATTGGTATAATCAGAATCAGAGTATTGATTTATCCTGGAGGAATCTCTCCAGTTGAGCAATCACAAGAACATGAAGATTAGGGTTGCCGCAATATATAGATTTATCATGTGATATAAGATCCATGTTAATTGTATCTTACATTTTGTAAAATACCATATCGTTATCACAATTTTTTCTGACAAATTTTCACATTCCTGACAAAAGGTTTATGAAATCATAAGCAATATATCAGTTTCTAAATAAACATTTGGCAACAAGAAACGTGGATGACTGTACTGATGAGTCCTAAAGATGATGAAACCAGTTTGCCTGTTTGAATTACCACATTTGCTCAATTCTTTTAGTCGGTGGTCTAAATGGCAAAAATGACCACACAGTTAGTTCCTTTGAGACGTGGGACAGCATTTGTACATTGAATGTGTGTCATTAAAGCTAGTGTTGAGTTCTGAAATATGTTTAATCTAAACAATGCCAATGTGGTGTACTTTTAGAGGCTATAATCGGAATATAAAATGTTCTTATTGAATATTTCTTGCTATATAAAATGATCGTTTAATGAGTGTATTGGTATGTGTACTTTGTTAAACGCCATTTTTATGGAACTGCATAGACACGTGGAGTTTTGTAAAATATATGACATCAACATAATACAATCAGAAAAAAACCAAGCATACACCATGTCAGATAAATATGATATTGCAGCAGCGTTTCATAAAAGTATGCCCACGCACGATTTGCCTTCAGTACGCCAACCTAATATTTAAGCTCAAGGTCACATGATTCCTGCAAATTAAATTAAATTTTTAGGTAAACGAAAAAAAAGTAACTGACAGCCCTTTGTTTGATCGACTGTTGGATGTAGGCCTTCCAACACTATGTCAGAGGGGTTTGCTGACCATACTTTACATTGGTGAGTTGTAGGATTAGTTCAGATATCAATTGCAACTGATGTTAGCCGTTGCCATGAATTGAACTGAGGTGTCTGGGTTTATTGCCCATTCGGCAAACAGCAGCGTCACCGACCCACCCCACACCGAATATACAACATCAGTGTCACGACCAACTTTGCTGTTGGCTATATAATCTCAGGTTTAGCCTTGAACGTGGGAATAGAATGCACACCAAAATATATTCACAGTTTATTGTTTGTTTTTTTATTCAGAAAGCATGACAATTATACAATATAACATCTATGGGACCTTCTTGCCAGTATCAAATTATGCAAAAATATCTATGGGACATTTTTCTTATTTATCATGTGTAATGTAACTATTTTGTGGAATTTCCAGAGGTGCTCCCCACAATAGGGTGGGGGTTACATCTGTAATGCCAAGCTGGAGGGCCTGTGGATGAATTATTTTTGCAACCCCAATCTTTTCTACAATTGGCAACCACCCAACATCGCTGACTGCTAACACTGCCACAGTTACAGATGGCCAAGGCTTAGATCAATGAAGTTCACTCCGTGAGATATTTGGTCTTTTTTTCTATTAAACCACTATTTATATGGACTATGGCGGATGGCAATGTGGGCAGAGCTTCCATGTAACATTTGACTGAATGTGGCAAAGGGACGCTTGCTCACTATGTTGTCCACAACATAAAAAGGGGAAATGAAAGAGCATGGAAAAATACATAATCCAGGGAGGCGTGTCCTTCCTAGTATATATGCTTGTACTCAGGTAGGTAATATCCACACACATCTCTCACCGTGCGCGGAGTGTATGAGAAGCACAAGATTGGATCAACCGTCGTCGTTTTCACCAGGGAACAAATACACACCTGAACAAGCAGGTGAATACTTTCAAGTTCATTTGTTATTAATTGCACGGAATAATTTTGTATCTGACCTGTTAAGAATACTATACAATATGTTAAAGGGAAAAATGTGTGTGTGCTCTACAAACCCATATAATCTGCAAGATGTTATCTCCCTCGCCTCGTATGCAGGAAGTTGAGACTTCGATCCCTACCCTGATGCCTGTATATTTGGAGTTTGAATGTTCTCCCAGTGGTCGTGTGGATTGCCCTCCACATCTAGAAACATGCGTTTAGATTATTTGGCTGCTATACATTTCAGCATGATAAACCACTTCTTTGGGCTATCATTTGTGGCCAGGTTGCTTCTGAAAAAGAATAATATAGCTCAGTGGGCTTAAGCTGGTAAATAAAATAGTTTAGTGTTAGTTAAGAATGTGTATGCAGTATATCAATATGTACATGTTCCTCGGTGATAATATTGGAAGTTCTATTGGCATTTTATATTGATTTTTACAATGTTCTTTCAGTGCAAGCCTAACCAATGTTTGGAACATGGTCGTATTGATGTTTGTAGTCAGTGTGCATCGATGCTGTGAAGTGTATTCATGCTTTAACAGTGACACTTACCTTTTGCTATGGATGTTGTTCAACTTTTGTTGACCCATGACAGTATAAATCTTGACTTAAAGCTTTCGTGACTGCAGGAATCCATACTCTTTGGTTCTTTCGGTAAAGTCAGGTAGGTATAAAAGAAAATAAATCACATTGCGACGTCAATCAGTAAAGGACAATAAACGTATACACTGTCAGGTGTAGCACAAAGTTCTGATGGTTGTGTTTCCTCCCAGCAGACTAATCTTTCCACGAAATGTCTACCAAAATATTTACGTTAAAAGTTATCGGAGCAGCAATCTTCATTGCCCTGATTGTGGCGATAGTCGGATCGGTGATAACCGGACATCGACTGAAGAAGGCGAGCAACAACCCAAAAAAGGTACGCATGCCTGTATACACAATATCACAATCGTGTCATACTTATATAATTCTAAATCATAATTTGCACATGAGGTGGATGTGCTCCAACGTTTGTACTCCTTGCCTTAACCAGGTCACACTTACCAACGTTGTGAATATAGCCAATGATATTATGATTTTAATATATATATAAAATGCCCCTTATACACCAGGGTATCTCTGAGCGCTTTACAACACGTCTTATCTCAAACATCAGTTGCAACTGGCTCTGTGGGCACAAGGTGACTCCAGCACCCGGCCTGAAAACAGGCATGATCCTGCGAGTGTTGGGCGATGACTACACACAAATGTGTAGAAAGTACACGTTGAGTAATTTTGCAGGTAATTTTCGAATTTTGAAAAAAAATTGAACAGCTGCACACGAATGGTGTTAGACCAGAGGACGCCAAAAGGCGCCTTTTGGCGTTTGAGATGAGGCTCAAAAGAAAGCTGTCTCTAGTGTGGACCAATCAGTTTCAAGGACAATGCATATATTATCAGAGTATGTTTTTTTGTTTGCATTCTGACCACAAGCATTGCGGTTAATGCAGACATGATTCCGTGTAAAAGGTTTGGTGTTTTAACATCTTAACACATGTTTTGTTGTCAGAAAAAATGGGAAAACCCTATTATGATGTGTAGCTACTTTTGCTACTAGGATAATCCAGCACTGCGCTTAGGCCACGCCCTAAAGCCCCCCCCCCCCTCCCCAACACGACATGAGGTGGGGAGGCTGTCAACCAGTCAGTTATTGACAAAAAGGGGCTGTCTATGTGTTTGAGATGGTTGAATGGCGTCGGGTTCATAACACTCCACCGATGCTGCTGAGAGCCTGAGATTGAACTGGGGTCTGCCACAAAATATTAAACCTGGTTCACAAGTGTGGTGAGTCGATGGTCAATAACTGTGCAAACAAAAACACAAGTCATACTACATTTGAAATTGCATTGATAAAAAAAAATCAAGTTGAAAATTTAAAAGTATCAATTCGATCACCATGTGACGAGTGTTTATTGGCAATTGGGCATGACGAAAAAAGTAATTTGAAGAGGTGTCAGAAGCAGCTCTATGACATACGCTTCTTTGGGTTGTTCTTTAACACGTGGAAATTGTAGTGCCTGGTCAGAGCCACAATAAACATTTAATCTCATAAGATGATGATGATAGCGCAACTGGTTTACGATTTGGGGAACATTTGTTTTCACTTAAAATAATAATGACAATGGAAACCCGTATTGCATGAGGTATTATATATTTAATATATCATACATTACTCATCTGTGTGCATTTACACCGAACACATCGCTCTTAAATGCCATTCCTTTGCGGCAAAATGATGGCTACGGATAGCTGCATGAATTTCGCCTTTGAGATCGTATCATCATAATACAGTGAGTGAGCATATCACTGACAGTTGTCCTTACTGGAATGTCTCTCTGCTGTGTCAGTACGGGATAGTCCTGGATGCTGGCTCCTCCCACACGGCGCTCTACGTCTACGAGTGGCCGGCAGAGAAGCAGAACGACACGGGGGTGATTGCCCAGCGCCACCATTGCCGCGTTGAAGGTGAATCCGCCAGCGCAGTAACCGCAGCGTCCTGTCGCAACCGGAGAAATGTCACGCGTGGGTTTGGAAGGGATATCTGTCCGCACGAACTGTCCTCTGTTGTGTATTTTCTTTCATGCGGAAATATGTAAATGTTAATGAAGCCTGACCCATGATGTGAAAAGTTGGATTTGATTTTAATACATATCAAGCCAGGCTTAGAACAAGCACATGGATTGACAACAGGGATGTTGTACCTGTGCATTGATTACTTTTATTTCAGCTTGTAGACCTCTCAACACCTGGCAGATCTGTTGCCTGGAATCTGGGTGCCATGGTGGTGAGATGTTAACAACCCCACCTGGTATACAGGAGGTCGTGGGTTTGATCCCGATCCTGATGTCTGTATATTTGTAGTGTCCATGTTTTCTGCCGTGTGGATTTTTTTTGTCCACGCAAAAAGCCACTCCGTTAAGCTGTCATTTTTGTGGCCAGGTCGCTTAAGCAAAAGAGTGTTCTCGCTCAGTAGGCCTTTACCTGGTACAACATTTCGTTTCTATTTAAAGCTTTCGTGACTGCAGGGATTCATCTTCTTGGTTCTTTCGGTAAATTCACGTAGAAAGGAAATAATAAAATAATAAAAATAAAACATAATAAAATAATTATCACGACGTTTCGGCCACAACGCAAGCAGCCGAATGTTCGTCTGTCTTTCCGACAGACCTGTTCTTCACCTGAGAACGGCTGCTTGCGTTGTGGCCGAAACGTCGCGAGAATTATTGTATTACGTTTTATTTTTATTCTTTTATTATTTCACTTCTACGTGACTTTACCGAAAGAACCAAGAAGATGAACATTTCGTTTGATGAACTCGCAGGAGGAGGGATCTCGAGTTACAGCAGCTCCCCGTCGGGGGCCGGGGAGTCACTCCGGGCGTGCATGGACGAGGCCAAGGCCATCGTGCCCAAGGACCGCTGGGCTGACACGCCGCTGGCTCTGGGGGCCACTGCCGGCATGAGGCTTCTGGAGTGAGTACCAGAAGGCCCCCCCCCCCCTTGACCTGCATTACCCACCACACATTGTCTATGGGATTCCAACAGAGAAGGTTGGAGCATGACTACAGAGAGAGACTACGCAGATTCACTTGAATCTGTGGTGCGACAACTCAGAGCGTGCAACATATCGCGAACGAAATTTCGATTTAAAGCTTTTCGTGACTGCAGGGATTCATCTTTTTGGTTCTTTCGGTAAAGTCACGTAGAAGGGAAATAATAAAATAATATAAATAAAACATAACAAAATACAATTCTCACGCAAATAAATAAAACATAACAAAATACAATTCTCACGCAGAATTGTATTTTGTTATGTTTAAATAATATTATTTTATTATTTCCCTTCTACGTGACTTTACCGAAAAGAACCAAGAAGATATTGCGAACGACTGCCCAATCAGATCAAATCCACACGGATTGTCCTGAAGCAGTCGAGCGGATATCAAATCTCGACATCAATTTGTAATCTGTTTCAATACACAACAATTCCATACGAAAGTAGAATAAGACTTTAATCAAAAATATAACTCAATATGCGAGGGTGAATTTTATGTATGGGCATGCGTGTGTATGTTGAGTTTCTTTCGCACCGTGTAAGAGAGAGTGTTGGAGCATGCCTGGAGATTGGACTCAATATGTGCGGGTGAATTGAATGGCATGCCATCACAAAGCAATTACGGGTTACAGTAGCAATACATCATTATCTGTACTCGCAATTAACAAAAAAGTGTGCGCATAATTAGACCATCGCATAGAATCGAGACGGTGGAGGTGGCACAGTGACTCTCGCAGTTATAATCTACGTGACTTTACCGAAAGAACCAAAGAGTTTGTCTTGCAGTAATGTTGCCGCTTCGCTACGTGGACCCCCAGGTGGCAGTAGCGGGCCATGCGGGCTGGATGTGGGCCTCCACCCCCACATCTTCCGGTGGCGGCATCTCCGTGTGGGGAGATTTTGAGGATTTTAAGACCTCCTCCCGGCTTGCTGGGGACCAAACAGACCACTTTCTGGTTCTTTCGGTAAAGTTACGTAGAAGATAAATAATATAATAATAATAAAACATAATAAAATAATTCTCACAAAGAATTATAATAAAATAATAAAAATAAAACATGATAAAATAATTCTCACAAAGAATTATAATAAAATAATAAAAATAAAACATAATAAAATAATTCTCACAAAGAATTATAATAAAATAATAAAAATAAAACATAATAAAATAATTCTCACAAAGAATTATAATAAAATAATAAAAATAAAACATAATAAAATAATTCTTTGTGAGAATTATTTAAAATAAATTATTTGTGAGAATTATTTATGATGTTTTATTTTTATTATTTTATTATTTCCCTTCTACGTGACTTTACCGAAAGAACCAAGAAGATTAATCCCTACAGTCACGAAAGCTTATAATCGAAATTTAGACCACTTTCTTCTAAGCGGGGCTCTGCGGCTTCGTTACCCTAATGTAGCCCACAAGAGCAGACACTGCAGGCGTGTGGCTGACGAAGCATTTCGGCCGAGATGGCTCCATCAGTTTAGTTGGTCTCTAACTTGCAACGTGCGCTTTACGGGGACAAAATGCGGCAATGAGCAGCGAGACAGATGAATGGAAACGAACAATAATACAACCCTGTAACCCTGTGTGCACAGTTATGTCAATTAACCCATAACACCTGGACCTGCCCTGTGACCTGATAGAAGCCTCGTCGACACTTCATGCGGCCTCAAAGTGTACACCTTCCCTGGCACAAGTGCTGTGGTGACATCGCCATCGCTTCGTGGCGAATGGTGGTGACAAATCTGAACTGGTCCTGAGCAGTGCCGGATTATTCTAGTAGCAAAAGTAGCTACATATGCTACGGGCCCCGCACTTTCAAGGGCTTCGTGCTAAATGCTTTCAAGCTGTCAATTCGGTTAAGTGATCCTGCACTTGCTCTATTACTATAGTACTATACCACCTTCAACTTTTACGAACGACTGGGTGTTTAAGTTTAGCGATTCGTCGTATTATCTGGCTGTATTGCAAATGAAAAATACAATCACTTTACTATGCAAGTAAAAAAATTGTGTTTTCATATTTATGTGTTTTTTTTATTTAGGGCTCCTTTATAACATATGCTACAGGCCCCGCACTAGCTTCATCCGGCACTGGTCCTGGGTCTCTCGTAGGTCGTCCCAGCCTTAAAAGGGCACCGCAGGCAGTGTGTGACTATCAGTAAAGACAAAAGGCAGCCCAATGAGCCATCATCAGCCTATACTCGATAGGCCCTCTCTCCCAGTACTTACACAGTCTGGAGAAGCGTTGTATTTGTGTGTGTGTGGGCGGTAGTGTAGCTTTTAACGCGCTGCGCTATGAACCCGCCCACGCCCAACACCAGTGACGATTATCTGAACCGGTCCTGGGCCTCCCCTAGGTCGACTCAGCCTAAAAGGAGTACCTGGTGCGGTGTGTAAACATCGCCGCTGCACAAAGGCGGACGGGCGTGGTGCTGGCCACCCACCCCCTCGTGTACCGTTCCGACCTTCATAGGTGCTCGCTAACAGCACTTGCCCCTGCAGTCTGTTAAGGCTATAGGGGGATCTTTGTCTTTGTGGCCGTGTGTGCAGGATGAGTGACTCGGTGGCAGCGAAGGCAGTGCTGTCATCAGTGCGGGAAGTGCTCGTCTCGTCTCCGTTCTCGTACCACGAGGCGCGCATCATCTCAGGCCAGGAAGAAGGGACCTACGGTTGGATGACAGCCAATTACTTCTTGTACAACTTCATTCAGGCATGGAAACGACTCAACGCCCATCATAAATAGCCTTTTTGCTGGTTTTGGCTAATGTGTTTCAATTCTAGATTTGAAGCTTTCGTGACTGCAAGGATTCATACTCTTAGTTTTTTAGGTAAAGTCACGTAGGTAAAAAAATGAAATAAAAATCACTTGATACAGCAAATCGTGCTGTGACGGTCCCACCTGATGACGGAGACTTGTGTTGCCTCCGAAACGTCGTGTTTTTTAAATTATTATTTTTATTAATTTTAATTTCATTTTTTTACCTACGTGACTTTACCGAAAAAACTAGCAATATAATGTGTTTCAACTTAAATTTAGTAACTATATAATGTATTTTCACTTACTGTCAACGTTCCATTGGCTTGATAGTAATCATCACCATCGAATTTCCGCTATTGCCAAGTACACCACGTTATCCATTTCTATCCACGGGTTTTCTTTGTGAACTCCACTCTCCTCTTACCACAAACACATTCACTGTGTAATCAGTGAAATATTCCAGAGAAGTACGCTCCCGAAAAAAAGTATTGATGCTCATTTGCGGCTTCCTGGGTAATCGAAGGACATCACGACTATTATATAATGACCCACATCTTCTTTGGGTCTTTCGGTAAAGTCACGTAGTTGGACTCACTACACATATATCTACGTAACTTTACCGAAAGACCCAAAGAATATGAATTCCGGCAGTCATGAAAGCTTTAAATCAAGATATGACCCACATCCACAGTGGTTTTTACGAGCAGGGAATTTAAGCGCAGCGATTTGTGATCAATATATATGTAGTGAGTACAACTGAGTGGCAGACGTTGTCTTGGGAGCAACACTTTTATTCACATTAACAGCAACACAACATAATGTACAGCCTACACTCGGGTGTTGAACGCCCATCTAACCACGCTACGGCAGAACTAGACACGGTCCCGCTATCCCGGTCCGGACCACGAGCTGGGTCCCGGACCGCGTGGCTAGAGGCTTCTTCAACCCGACGTGGATCTTCTCTCACCGACAGACAAGAACCCCGAGCCCTTCACGGCCCCCGTTATATCGGCTCGGGCTGGGGCTGGCTCCGCCTCTCGCTCCGCCCACCTTCTCGATATCTCTGTCTCTTTCCCGAAGGCTCCCGAGAGCTCTTCTATACCACGTGACCACCCAGCGGCCCCCGTCCACCGGTGGCCCCCCTCAAATATCATCCGGTCACGTGTCGGCAGGTCAACCAGCGTATCGTGCCCCAACGTAACCCTGGCTGGCTGACATTCTCTCTCGCTCCCTCACCGGGAGCCCGCACCGCACACTGTACGTGGTGCCTCTGCGCCAGAGGTCGCAACCGGGTACCCGATACCTGTACCCTACCCGATACCAGGCTACCCGTATCCGGCCGGGTACGGGTACGGGTAGCCGTTTGCGACCCTGGTGCGGCCGGGTACGGGTAGGCCGTGAATCACTGGTGAGTAACCGTTTGTCACTTATTTCGGGTAGGGTACGGGTACCCATTTGCGACCCTGGTGCGGCCGGGTACGGGTAAGGAATCAAAACCCGTTTGCGACCTCTGCTCTGCGCTAACCAGCGCTCACCCAAGCCCTGCTAGGGCTGGTACTACGCCTAGTAACCGGGCTGCACATTATGACAACACAATATCCGCCGTGGCCTCGCAAGCCCGGCACCACACAGTGACATTCCCAGTCACTACATATATATTAAATTCAGTGTTCGTGATTAAAACATTTCACTGGACCAGTGCTGAGAGAAGGTCACGGGGGCTACACTTGGTGCTATTACTGCAGCATAATACGATGCCGTCGGTGGCATAGTCTGGTTGCCAAGGGTCCTGGTGCAAGGAATAAAATTGTCCCCTTGTCCAATAACTTCCTCTGTGTCGCTTGGAATCTGCTTCCCTCTGGAAGCCTTCATAACTCACCTGCCAAAAGTGTAACCTCTGTTGTTGTCTGTTTTTGGATTATCTGCTCAAACCCTCAGTTCACATGGCTGGGCACATGGCAATGGACCACATCCACGAAGCCCATCGGAGCCTTGGACCTGGGTGGAGCATCCACTCAGATCACATTTATGACTGAGGAGCCTCTGCAGGGCTCACCGGACAGCCTGACCATCCAGCTGTATGGAAGAAAGTACCACGTGTATTCCCACAGCTACCTGTGCTATGGACGTGACCAGGCAATCAAGCGCTTCCTCTCCACTCTATACAAGGTGGGCTCAACACGAGTGAGGCACGTCTGGAGACTTGCTGACATATAGCCACGTTCATTTGTACATGCGCACAAAAACAATTATAATAAGTATAACCCGTAAAAACAAAGTTTTTCACTCTAAATCCTTTATATGCGTGGCGGCTAGAGTCCTCTCGTCCTCTGGCTTGAGATGGCTGCCACCTATGGGTCAGATGATTGTCTGCAGTATTAAACAATTTGGTAATTAAATATTTAATTTGTTTTCCCTAAAAAGTGTAACATTTTGGATTTTTTTTTTCACGAACATTAATTGTCTCGCACAACGAGTCTGTGTGCAAAATGTCAGCTCGATTGGATCACGGGAAGTGGGTTAAAAAACGACCGAAAGGTTTGCACGGTCGTAAGCAAGCAAGCAAGCACGCAAGCAAGCAAGCAAGCAAGCGAACTTAATATAAAGGATTTAAAAATAGTTTACTGCTTTTGTTGATTTACTGCCAGATGAAGGCCTCCTCAAGCAATGACAGTTATGGCACAGAAACAGTGCAAGTTAGTTGAGGGGTTGCCCAGGATCGATTCAGATATCGCTTCCGATATCAGTCACTCGATCTACTAGAATGTGTGTTAATAGTGTGCAAATCCATAATCAGTGGTGAAGGGGAAGGATATCGATTTGAATTCATGTGGAAGGGTGGGAGCAGTGCAAACCTGGGCTAAGTGTTGTGACCTGCTGTGTGGTGAACAATATGTATTGGTTGTCATCTATCATATCTGCCGGGTACTACTACTACTACACGACGCAGCGCTCGCCCTCCCCCTACCCCACACCCCCACCTCTCCCCCCTTGCTCCTCCCCCTTTCTTACCTATATAACCTCTTACCACGGCAACTCTCTCTCCCACTTCAGCAAACAATTTTCTTGCTGTAGGTTTCTCACCTGATGACGATTGCTTGTGTTGCAATCGAAACGTCGTGATTTAATTAATTTTATTTTATCCCTACGTGACTTTACCGAAAGAACCAAAGAGTACAGAATAATACGAGTTCCAGTACTGGCTAACAACCTCAACCAGGTGTAGAAATAGGGCAGAGCCCCTCTAGAATACCTATATTATTAACCGGTGGTATTTCCCCAGGCGATGTGTTAAGATCAGAGGTCCCAAACTGGTTTTGATTCATTACCCGTACCTGTACCCGGCCGCACCAGGGTCGCAAACGGGTACCCGTACCTGGCCGGGTACGGGTAGCCGGGTATCGAGTAGGGTACGGGTATCGGGTACCCGGTTGCGACCTCTGGTTAAGATACCAGTGTTTAGGACACAGCTTCGTAGTAGATAGTAGACAGCTCTGGGAATAACGCCATGGTCCACCAGTAAATGAAAGCCACCTCTCTCTTTGGCTTGGCAACTTCTTACTCACCTACCCCAGCCGACCAATGACTCCGAGAAAATATTCCATGATAAATTAAGGGATGGTGGGAAAAAAAGCGGTTTACGTTAACTCAATATTCTGCCACGTTATAAAACTCTAACTAATTTGAGCCCACGATTGAGTTTCTTCCAGCATCTCTGCTCCCCTCCGTCCCTTTGTACACCTCCCATCCCCTCCTCCTGTGTCCCTTTTTCTTTCCCCAACATTTCCCGAAACATCACCAACAAGGAGAGACTGTTGCTTCAATTGGTGCTTTTGTAAACGATGTTGATGGAAACACGATGAGCTCTTATCTTCAACAATAAAGTGTATATTTTGTATTGTTTTGTGTAAGCAAAATTCTAACCGATAACACAATTCACACCCCAAAAGGCTTCTCCTGGAGCCCAGGTGGACAACCCATGCTACCCAAGATTTGACTCCGTTGCGTACAACCTCAGCGACATCTACGACAGTCCCTGTACGAGCGATGCGAGGCCGGCGAATTATGATCCCAACCGGTCCGTGATTTTCCGAGGCACGGCAGACCCTGCCGCATGCATCAACACGATCTCCAGCATCTTTAAATTCTCCGCCTGCAACTCGCCCAACTGCACCTTCGACGGAGTCTGGCAGCCGCCCGTGCAAGGCCAGTTCTTGGTAACGTATCACTTCTTCTTCTTTCATATGGCCCATGTAGATGCAGAGCCACAACTACATTTTCACAGTCAAGTGGTCAAGCCAGATAACTGCTGCGTCAGGGGCAACGGAGTGTATCGCTGTGATGTCTCCTTCCTATCTGTGGATCGGGCGTTGCGTCGTTACACGTTGTATCGTCTGTTCTGGATGACCACAGTCGCACACTACTGGAGAGTTTAGACTCTTCCATTTGTACATCAGGTATCCGCATCTGCCATGGTTTGTGCGTTGGGTCTTTAGCAAGTCGTCCAATCACTACTCCACTGTACGACTGACCACATCACCGGGATCTGCTAGAACTTCCCTCTGGCAAAAATAATAGGAAAAATCGAGTGATAAAACTGCTGAATGGAACCGGCGAGGAATCACCCCTAGTAAGGAGCTCGCATCTGGCTCCAATTCCAAATGGCTCACATGGCGGAGCCTAATCAGACTGAGAGTGGATTTCGGCAGATGCAACTCTCTCATGAAATCATGGGAGGGGGGTTCTGCGCAACCGAACAATGGTGCTTGTCAGGAGAAACAAACCACGTGGATCGTCTCCTGAGTTGCCCTGCAGCACCATAGTGCTGCTCCTCCTCGAACTTTGGCAATGCCAACACCGGAGGCAATGGCCTGTGCAGAATATTGGGAAGAGACTGCAGAGGTTGTACAGGAGACACGAAGAAGAAGTACTTCGAAGTAACAACTGCAATCTTTTAGTAGGTTAAAACTCATCGCCGTATGCACAGCCTTGATGCTTTTGCCTAATTTTACTTGTAAATTTGAGACTTGTGTGAAAAAATGTTACCAGTTTCGTGAGTACTGTGCAGAGCCATGTAAATAAGTGACTGGTCGTTGGAAAATTCCTGCGAAACAGTGTTTGAGTAGAGGACTGAAGTTAAGTATATTATTCGGAAATGAAATGAGTGGCAGCGTTTGCGTTTAATTTTGTGTGCAGTACTGTATTCTGTCTCTATTTGTTTCTCCAGGCTTTTTCATGTTTTTATCATACCATGGCTGCATTCAACTTTACCAACCCGAAACCCTCTCTGAATGACGCCACGGTCGCTTTCAATAACTACTGCCGTAGAACCTGGAATGAGGTTTGTTGACCGAACAACGCTCACCGCATGCGTACCCTCACCGTGATCACAGCTTCAGCGCACGCTTCATCCAACCAAGAGATTGAGCATTCGTATTGTAGGAAGACAACTGCTGCAAGAAACGCTCCTCAAATCAGACAACATACGAAATTCTTAGGTTTTTCGGTAAAGTCACGTAGGTAAAAAAGAAATAATATAATTGAAAAAATAATAGAAATAAAATAATAAATCACGACGTTTCGGAGGCAACACAAAATAAATAATATAGATTTACTGTCTCAAGTGACACTTGAGACAGTAAATCTAGCTGTGACGGTCCCACCTGATGACGGAGACTTGTGTTGCCTCCGAAACGTCGTGATTTATTATTTTATTTCTATTATTTTTTCAATTATATTTTTAATTTTTTACCTACGTGACTTTACCGAAAAACCTAAGAGTATGAATCCATGCAGTCACGAAAGCTTCAAATCTAGAATGAACATACGAAACCTCTCGACTTCGCGTTGAGACAATGCACTGAATGCAAGACCACGTTGCTTGCTCTTTCATTCCGTGTATTTTCCCAACGATCACAATTGAGATACAGGAATTGCTCGGTTGGCAAGTTTCGAGGTACCAATACCCGCCATTCGCCACGGCACCTGTGCCAGGATACGTGCACTTTGAGGCCTTTGACACCATTCCCATTCACACACCCCATTATCATGAACGATGAACGCCATCATTGGGTCATATAAATCGATGAACCTCCAGTCCCATGCTCACCGGTGATCAGTCACCTTCTTATCTCTCTTATAGTGTTGTTATAAAATGTATGAGGTCTGTGCGTTGACATGTATGCTGAAAGGGGATCGAATGTGTCATACGTGTATTTGACACGACAGCCCTGAACTATGTTGACAGTTGGTATCTAGATCTCATCCTTTGGAGTCTAACCATTGTTATTGTCTTCATTATACATGCAAATTGCTATTTTCGAAGGTTTCCATCTATAACTATGGATGCTAGTGGAATCAGAACTGGTAATATTTGACCACTTAAGCGAGTCACAGGCATTTCACGAGTGAACTTTTTTCTCCATTTAGGTTAACGCACAGCATCCAGGAGTTGAAGCCGAACGTTTGAGAGACTACTGCTTTCAGGCCTATTATGTTTACACGCTGTTGATTAAAGGCTACAAATTCGACGAAGAAAGCTGGAAAAACATCAACTTTCAGAAGGAGGCAAGTATTCCATCCACACATTTGTACAGAATATTTCACATCGAAGAAAGCATATTCGATTCACAAATATACACTCATCACAAAGTTAAACAAAATGCACTTCACGCACAATTATCCGTCGCTGGAGCATTGTGTGTGTATATAATTTAAATGCAGGTACACGGTAAATTGTCTCACATTGACATTAATGATGAGGGGAATCTGCAGTGGATAAAGCTAATGTATGGATTAGAGCAGGGCTCCCCAAACTCCAATACTCACAACCCACCAATTACACATCTTTCGGTGTTGACCAATCTTCTGCATTTACATACAAATTGTCAGATTGGTAAACATGGAAAGATACAGCATTGTGGGTCATTAAGATCCTAGATTAGATATCCACCCAAAAAAATGTTACCCAGTTCTTGTGCATTAGACTTTTTTTCATCTCTGACTTGTTAAATTATAACATTTTCCACAAATAAAAATCATTTGTTAAATAGAATACTGTGGAATGGGATTTGGTAGAAATACATATTTTATGGATTAGGAGAGTATTTTTGTAAGATTTTATATGGTAAACATTCATACGAGAGCTGGGTGATGTTGGCCTGGCTTGGACCACCGTATTCCTAGTCCACTCCTCACGGTCCCATGGTCCCAATGAGCGCTACGAGCTGCGGGACGATGGCCCAGAACCATCTGTACACAGCGCCATTCTCTAGAGCAAGTGCTGTGTGTGACTGTGAGCCTCGTTAAAATACACTCACACACGGCAAGGCTCTGTTTCTGCTGCACCTATCACACCTTTGGGGTTAGGGGTTTTGTTAGGTGGGGCACGGGAACATTAAGGGGTATTGTTAAAGTGTTCAAAGTGGTCTGAATTCGTTTTGTTTATCAATCTTAAATGTTTTCGGATGCCATCTTATTTAATTATATTTTTGAGGGTTATAAGGAATTATTTTTACATTTATTTACGTTATTAGGTTTTTAGGGTCTATGGAAACACTCAGAATTCATTTGGGGCATTTAGGATATTATTTGTGTCTCCGGTGAGGTTTTATTTTGTCAGTTGAGCGATCCCCACGGCCCAGTGTTTCTGGGTGAGATTGACGGCTGGGACCACGACGCCTTTAACGGGGACTTTGGCCCTCCACTGCCCCCCACGTACCCCCATCAGGCTTTTTTTGTAACCATTGCGGGAGACCTCATGGTCACAATCGGTGATGTAACGATTCGCACACTGGACTTGCAATCCAGAGGTCACTGGTTTAATTCGATCACCCAGCACAGCAGTTGAAACAACGGGCATCTTAAATCATCTTCTCTATGTCGACCCAGCAGTATCAACTTGTATTATCAGTCAATCGATCGGCAGGTCATATGTGGTTTGGTAGAGTGTGGGGTGTGCCCACCTCTCCCAAGACGTCTGGCCAGAAAGTAGGCCAAGCATCCTCGAGAGAGACTGTTTAGAGCAACCTCGAGTTGAGATCCTTCCAGCAGCAGTAGCGCGCGAGCAAGCAATTTCAGGAATACACATTTACCGTTTACATTTATAGGTGTGTTTACCGTTCACGTACGATTGTAACGCACCGTAAAGCTGTCATTGATGCCTCCCATTCACGATTGTTTCTGTTGCAGGCGGGGGGTGGAGAGTTGGGTTGGGCCCTTGGGTTCATGCTCAACGTTACGAACATGGTGCCCGTCGAGAAGCTCCCAGACCTGTTCAGCACGGCCATCGTGGGCTTCTCCTTCGTCTTCCACCTTGCGATATTACTCGCTGTAGCATGTTTCCTTTATGTAGTGCACTACCGCAGCGCATCTGCAAAGGACAAAAGGGGGGACAGTCACACGGTTATTTAGTGACACTGAGTTTTTAATTCACCAGAAGAGCAACGATAGAACATGGCCTTTCCAGTGTCACCGCTCAAGCAAAAAGCCCCAATCACAAATTATATTTGTCCCATTCCAACTTCCCTCCCTTTATCCTATTTCTCCACCGTTTGGCTACCTTAATTCCCGGCTAGCTAATGGACTTCACATTTGGCGTGCTGGGCGGGTGGGGGGGCCTATTCACTATTAATGCATGGGAATGGGATGCCTGGTATGTGTTATGTAACTCAAATTGTGTGCATGGACTGAAAATTGTCTTTCTCTTCTTGGTTCTTTCGGTAAAGTCACGTAGAAGGGAAGTATTAAAATAATAAAAATAAAACATAATAAAATAAAATAATTCTCACGACGTTTCGGCCACAATGCAAGCAGCCGTCCCTGCAGTCACGAAAGCTTTAAATCGAAATTGTATTTCTGTTAATGAACCTCGTGGCTTTCCAGTATCAAAGTATAAGAACAAGTTTTACCCTTTCTGGCAATAAAACAGATGTTAAGATGCTCGAACACCAAACAGAAACCTTTTGCAAAAACATGCAAACAAAACCATGCTCTTACAAGAGCATATTTAGTTTGCATGTTCACCACAAGTATGTGTTTGTTAATGTAGACGCGACTCCTTGCAAAAGGTTTTTGTTTGGTATTTGTACCGAAAGAACTAAGAAGATATTTTAACACCTGTTGTATTGCCACAAAGGGTAACACATATTCTTATAAATTTCGTCGCTACAGACCGTACCTCGACCACGAAGGCGATGATGCACAGTAGCTCTTTGCGACACACAATCGCCCGTGTGCTTATGTATATTACATACGTGCGTGTATGTAGCATGTCGCGTGTGGGATTTGTAAGTGTGCTGGAGAGTATGCAAATGATGCTGTTAAGAGAGAGAGAGAGAATGTGTGCAGATGTGAATGTGTGTGCTGGATGTCCTGGCTCTACATAATAATTCCAGTCGTTCAACCTGTTTCTTTTCATTTATTTTCACACACGTGTATTTCACAACCGTATCTAGAAATCAATAAACAAAAATACATCTAAAAGTTCATAACATGTCGAGGATGCGCAACGATATGGTTCAGACTAACCCATGCTCGGGTATCTGCCGTCCCGTTTCTTGTTCGTCGCGTTCGAAAGCGCCCCCTCTCACGGTGACCCCTGCCCCCACTCACGGTGACCCCTGACCTCTCTCTCGGTGACCCCTGCCCCCTCTCACGGTGACCCCTGCCCCCTCTCACGGTAACCCCTGCCCCCTCTCACGGTGACCCCTGCCCCCTCTCACGGTGACCCCTGACTTCTCTCAAGGTGACCCCTGCCCCCTCTCACGGTGACCTCTGCCCTCTCTCACGGTGACCTCTGCCCTCTCTCACGGTGATCTCTGTCCTCTCTCCCCAGGACCCTCTCTGCCGCTCTCTAGGCGGAGCATTCATCTCGTTCCTAACTCCAACTCTACTCTCGCTCCAGCGCCAACTCATTGTTCACCTCTTTCCTTTGTATCCGCCTCTGCAGCACAAGCCCTGTTTTAATCTCTTCCTTTGGTCTGGCTGTTCTTCACAGGGTTTATTTCGATATTTTATAGCGTGGGTTATTTTGCTTTTATGTATTATCAGCTTTTACTGTATTTCGATTGGAATGTATCTTTAAAGGTATCCCTCGATTTATTAAAAGGATGCGTTCATCAAAAAAAAAATACGCGCAAAAAGAAATTGGAAATTGCTTTTCCCATTAATTTTACACAAAAAAATTCGGGATGTGTTTCAGTCATTCCATCTTAATTCCTAACCGAAAAATATACGCTGAAAAGGAATAAAAAAATAACATTAAAACTATTGAATAATAATGACAAATTAAAACAATTTTCAAGGAACTCGCCAAAAAGATCCGCATGTTGTAATGAGAGTCAAGGTCACGTGGGAGGCGTTGCTGTTGTAACCGAGGGGTACCGTGACGCTGTCGTGGATGACCAAGCACGGCAGCGTCCCGCGTGGCTTCTCCGTTCGACGATCTCGGGACGCGGTGTCGCAGGGAAATTTCGTTCACGCACAAATTCGATTTCGCTCATCGAAAAGTGTCCAGAATTATGTCAATTGCATTAACGCGAGTATTCCTAAACCGAGAGTTTGTAAATCGAGGGATGACTACTTGAGTGTGATCTTGTTTGTTTGTTAAGTACGGCGCTTTGAGATATTTAGAAATGAAAGGTGTTTTTTTAAATAAAAGTAACATTGTTACGGTATAAAATAATCACTGCATATGGGCATAAGGTAACATATTTTAGCAGTGAATACATGTTTATATGAATGTAGAGGAATATGTTAACCTAAATATATTAATATTCAGTTGGAGTTGTTGATTTCAAGCATAGAAATAAACAATACAATAACAGTTTGCATGAATCGCATTTAGTACCAAGCACATGCCACGCTAAAATGAATATTTCTTATTGAAAATTAGACGGTGATATGATCGTGTCTGACAAAGTTGTACATTTTAACATTGAGGATAAACATTCACCCAGAGTATTGTAAAATGTACTTAAGCAACTGAAGAAGTCCTCTTTTTACAATCGTTATTGTCGTGCAATTGAATTTATAGAGACTGATAATCTTAATTGTCGTGCTGGGACCAGGGGTTTATTTCAGCCGGGTTTATCTGTATCAGCGATACGGAAAAACTTTCCATGCCTGGCACACACCTACATCCACTAATGCCTCTTGCCGAGCCTGCGGCGACTCGCAGTGCACCCAGAGCCGGCCCAGCCACGAAGCGACCCTTGCAATTGCAAAGGGACCCGTGGCCAGCAGAGGGCCCCCTAGAGTCACTGCTAGCTAGTGGGTGAAAAAAATCATACATCAAAGCGGCCTCTAACCAAATTTTTGCTTAGGGCCCCCAAAGGTCTAGGGCCGGTTCTGAGTGCACCAACGTGATGTTGTCGTTGTGCAAAAAAATGTTTGCCAAAACAAAAACATTTACGCCCTGCCATGTTACGCACTTTCGCTATCACGTACTCAACGTATCGATAACCCCAATGCCGATTGTCGTTGCATTCGAGCGCCAGGTGGCACCCAAGCGGTAGCCGCTCCTGACTACAGTCGGCTCTTTGACGTGTACACGTATTCATGGCGACTTTATACCAATGTTAACAATTTTTTTAGATATAAAACAACTAATAATAATACGTATAGTATAATAGACAAGTTAATATATAAAAAAGGTCTACTTTTCACACCGATGGTTGTGCAGTACAAATGCGCCATGGGTTACTGAGCATTCCTCTGTTTAGGTACTGTACCACATTACCATCCACCATCTCTTTCCTTAAATTTAAGAAACTTTCCATTCACGTTCTCGTTTTCAAGAACGCATCTTGGGCGTCGGAATAACGCCAAGGTAGTTTACTGGCGCCAATGTGCATGCATATACACAGTGTTCTGCTTGAGTAACCTTTCATAACTCAGATGACCTGTTGAGAAACTAGTTGATATGTGTAGCTCTATACCTTTCAAAGGTTTCCAAACAACAAAGACGTAGCATGATAACAAGTGGCAAAAGATAGCAAATACCACGACAGATAAAATTAAGATGCAGTCCTTTTTGGAACCGTAGCAAAATTGTGAGAATAATCCCTCCCTTTGAACATTGCTCGTCCGAGACATTTCCCTGTCCACTTCTGATGCGGAGAGGCTGATCCGTGCCCTTGTGTTTTCAATGATTGATTTTTGCAATAGTATTCTGTTTGTCACCACCTCTGGATGTATTGCAATATGTCAACAACACCGGCTTCCAGAATCTCATAAAATGTCCCGGGGCATAGCTAACATATTCCAGTCTTGGCCTCTTTATTTTACTGGCTTCCTATAAAGCTCATAGCAGCGTTTACATTTTTATTTTTGGCATATAAGACTCTCAAAAGTGGACGACCGAGGTATCTTCACAGGTTCACAGATCTCACACGCGCGTGTGTCATCCCGAACGCTTCGTTTGTCGATGTCTGGTGCCCTGCGAGCATTCCTCGGCCATGGTCCGCACACAAATCTGTCGTCTGATGAAGCTAGTTGTAATTACTGGCGAAACGTCGTACTGTTGTGGATTTGCTCTCCAACACAACGGTGTGCTGTACTAGTAACGAATTGGCATGTTTGTTTACGTTACAAACCTTACGAATTGGCTGCGTCGGGTGGTGGTGGGTTTAATGACACATATTACCGAGATCTAACCCAAAAAAAACCTCTATTATGGATATTGGTCGCGAAAGCCTACGTGTTACACTTCCTAAATGAGCTCCCGTACACTTCTTAGTATTTTTCCACCCCTTGGGCCAGAGATTTCCCCGAAAATTTACTTATTTTGTGGCGTGTAGCACCGTTTAGTACCATGCGCAAAAGTATATTTATCAATGTAATATATAGTTACGTTTATTCAGTACAGCAAATAACAAAAACAGTTATGGGAAATTGATATTGACAAAACTAAAAATCACATTTTGAAAATGTATTTTGTATCGTTTTGTATCGTAAAATACGACAGTGTTAATGAGGATCCTACTGGGATAAAATAGCAACGAAAAATGATGACTGTATTGTACTGATGAGGCTTGAGGATGAAACCAGCCTACGGTTCTATCATTTGCTTCAATGCTGCTTGTTTTTGAAAATGGCCACATTTTGTGAACTCCTTGAGTTGGTGGTCTAAACCAGCGGTCCCCAACCTTTTTGGCACCAGGGACCGGTTTCATGGAAGACAATTTTTTCACAGACGGGGGGAGGGGGGGGGGGGAGAAGGGTTCATCATTGGGTCTATCCCCCCTTTTCAAAGAAGCTCTCCAGCTACGTTTGTTTTTTACTCATTTTGGCTTGGGTTAGTTTGTGGGCTTACCAAAACTGACTGAGACAAGTGGGCAGTGCGGGAAAGAGGCACGGATGGAAGTGGTCAATAAAACAATGGGGCGGGCCACGCGCGTAGACTCACCGCTCTCACCTCCTGCTGCTGTGCGGCCCGGTTCCTCACAGGCCACGGACCGGTACGGGTCCACGGCCCGGGGGTTGGGGACCCCTGGTCTAAATGACTTAATGGCCACGGATTTAGTTACGTTGAGATGCGGTCTTGAGAAGGGCGATGGGAGGTTTTGTACAAGCAATGCACACGTTTGAGTGTTGTCACATTTTCTCAAGTATGCCTTCCAAGATTATGCCAATGTGGTGAACGTTTTGAGGAAATATGTGGTCAAATCGTGTTATGATTAAATCCTTTACCTATCTTCATAATAATTAAGGAAGGAAATCATTAAAAGAGTGGTCCATTCCTAATGTGCCCCAGTTGCATAGCCCCAGACCGTGTGATGGGTTGTGACAGGCAGCATGTTTGGGCTCCATGCGGTGTTTGAAGGTTTGTCTACAATTAGGGGCCGTCCATAAATGACGTCACGAGATTTTGGACGATTTTTGACGCCCCCCCCCCCTCGTCACACGGCGTCACAAAAAGTCAGACCCCCCCCCCCTCAAATATGACGTCACAAAGCTCTGCCCCCTCCCCCAAATAAAACATGCTTCTAACCGCTTTAAACTATTGTCATTGTAGTGCGTATTTAATGTGGCGCTGCACTCTGATGTTGTAGGAGTGTTGTTATAACAGTTAGTGTTGTTATAACAATTCTATATTTATTTAAAGTTGCGCATTTTGATGTGACGTCACATTTCTCAACCCTCCACCCCCCTCGTCACACATCGTCACAAATCTCTGACCCCCCCCCCCCAGGTGCGTGACGTCATTTAAGGACGGCCCCTTATCACATATAATCCTCGATTTTGACAATGATAGCTGTCGCCGAGTTGTTTTCTGGGTTCGTTGTGGTGAGGTCCTTGAGATCTGACTTCCCCGTACGTTTTTAGTCCGTGCTTGGGATGGTGGAGGCTGGCAGCTATCAGAGATCCACAAACGTAGTGACGGCCCCACGCTGTGTAAGTTCGGCCCTGAAAAGGACCTTTGGTGTTGCGATCCTGATCGGGGGGCCCTTTTCGGGCGTTCGATTGCCGGGTTGGTGACATTGGTTTGTGACAAAGCACGCAACAGAGGAGACCACGGTAAGGTTGTCATCTTCTCCATTGTAATTTTCATTATAAGGTAATCTTTCATCACAATGGAAGTAGTGTACAGCAATGAACGAAAATGCAATAAAATGCTAAATACAACATATCAAAGTTATGGGAAACTGATATTGCTATCATTGTCATATTGTAAAAAATATATATTTTATAATAATTAAAAAACATATTTTGCAATACCCTTTGTGCCGCGGTTACATAACCAAAGCACAACGAGGCCTTGTCACCGTAAAACAAACGGGGATAATTATACCCCGGCATGCTTTGCCCTCTTCATGTCAACATCACCTTTGAGCTCAAAGTCACTGCTTTCCTGTCACTGCACGACACATCTGAACATTTACTACAGGCAAAGGTTTTACCATTTCTAGCAATAAAACAGGTGTTAAGATGCTAAAACATCAAACTGAAACCTTTTGCAAGGAAACATGTCAGCATTAACCACATACACTTGTGGTGAACATGCAAAAAAAAACATGCTCTGATATTATATGCATTGTCATTGAAACTGATTGGTCCACACCAGAGACCGCTTTCTTTAGACCCTGGTCTCAAACAGTGTTAGACCAGAGGACGCCGAAATGCGAACAGCACAAAGACAATGCCACTATCAATACATTAATAGCTCGGGGCGAGCAGCTACATCATGGGACTTCCCTTGCCAGTATCAAAGTATAAGAATAAATTTGACCCTTTCTTTGATGGTGGCAAGGGAGGTCCCATGATGAATATATACTGTTGGTATAAAACAAATATAATGACGATGATTTACACTCTTAATTAATTGAGGATAGGAAGTTTGCTCCATCTTGCATCCCCAGCAACCCTGGTTCGATTCTGAGCCACGTCTAGCATCAGTGGCGAGTGATATTTGAACCGGTGGTCCTGCATGGCCCCTGTAGCTCCCTCCACGCACTAACACCATCATCTATACCCTTCAAACAACATACATGCCAGGCACATGCAAGCACTGTGGTTCTTCATGTGCGGTAAGTGTTACAGTTGATATTTTATTTATTACTTATAATTTGTATTTCTGACCTTAAAAGGTTGTTCAAGAGTGGAACATTTCGGGGCTGAAACAAAGCTCGGTTTTTAACATGGGAGGGAACAGTGGCGGCTCCTGCTAAATCTCTCAGGGGGGGGCAAATGTCTGGATGATTGATAAGGATAAGGTCCACCCATGCAATGGATAAATTAACAGCTTAAGCATGTAAAGGCAACTTCACTACTTTAATATTAATGAAAAATAAAGTGACTCTTACAATACATCTCCTTGTTTGTTTCTATACTCACTATTATTACAATCCACTCAGTTTTTTTATTAAAGATTCCACTAGGTGGCGACAAATTATATTGTTGGATGAAACGTGCTTACGTATGATGACGTAAGCACGTTAGGGCGAGCCCTCCCGGAAGCCATAGAGAATGCATTGGAGCACCCGCCGTTCGAAAAAAAACATCTTTGAATGTAAGTCTATGGGGCCACTCGGGGCGATTCTCAGCCGGAGTGAAATCGCCCAAAAAGAGGCGGTACTCCACAGAACGTGACATGACGCTGATTGGACTATATCCAGAGGCACAGTAACGGCTAGCGTGACTCTGTGGTTGAATGAGATTTTGAATGTGATTGAAAAAGTCCCTTTCACACTTTGGTGGTGCGTCGCCCAATCACCCTAATGAAGAAACCGCCCCTGGGAGGGAATCAATGGGAAAACGAAGATTGTTGCACGAGTTGTCTTTTAGGGACCGACCATAAATGACGTCACGCGATTTTTGACGATTTTTGACCCCCCCCCCCCCCTCGTCACACGGCGTCACAAAAAGTCAGACCCCCCCCTCAAATATGACGTCACAAAACTCTGACCCCCCCCCAAAACCATATTTCCATTTTGAAAATAAAACATGCTTCAATTCGCTTTAAACTATTGTCATTGTAGTGCGTATTTAATGTGGCGCTGCACTGTGATGTTGTAGGAGAAAACCTTTATAAAAAAGTATATTTATTTAAGTTGAACGTGTTGTCTATATTTAAAGTTGCCCATTTTGATATGACGTCACATTTATCAACCCCTACCCCCTCGTCACACATCGTCACAAATGTCTGACCCCCCCCCCCCAGGTGCGTGACGTCATTTATGGATGGCCCCTTACCGAGCAATTTTCGCGGAACGCATCTTGCTCGTTAAGCGAGACACTTCTGTATAAGGAGAGACGTTGCTTTTCGCTATCTCAGGTTTCGCCTTGAAAGTGAAAATGTACACCAAAAATACATTGCACAGTTTGGTGTGTGTCTGAAGCCTGCCGATGGTACAATCTAACAATTTATAACAGCGAGCATGTGTACACTATGGTACAGGGTCAACACCAAGCTCACTGACACCTTCGTGGGATTTCCAGAGGAGCCCCCCCCTTCCCCCAAAGAGGTGAGGATGGTGATTACCAACTCACGTGATGACACCGTAAGCAGACTGTGTGGGTGCTTCTGAAAACGACATGGGGTATAGGGGGTGTCCTCTGCAGTAAATCGTTTTACACCCCCTATATTTTCACCCACGGGTAACGTCAAATATCGCCTGTCCCTTTTAGCACCATGGTTATCGATGTCCACACTGAGGTCAATGTAGTTCACATTATTAAATATTTAGTTAAACAATTGAACGACGATTGATATGGACTACAGTGGATGACAACATCGGCGGTTTTTCGTATAATCTTTGATCGAATGCGATGGTGGGCAGCGGCGACACAGCCATAGGTTCGAGGTTGAAAGCGTCAAGTGAATGGTTTTCCAAAAAGGTGTCTTTTGGACATATCTAAAACTGTTTCGGGTGTCTAAACATCCACCAGTGGATGTGCCTTATGATGGGAAGATTGATCTCTCAAACAACAGTGACCACAACGTTTGTCAAACACCAGGGGTGACGCAAGCAAAACATAAAATAGCCACGTAAAAGAACTACATTCTCTCCAAGGAGGTGTGTACTTGTCAGTAAATATACTCAAACGATTGTGAACAGCCAGGGGTGGTTTTATTTGTACTTAGTCGATAAAGTCCGCCCACTTCTCCTCCCCACAGTATGTCGTCTACTAGAAGTCCACGCTTTGCTCAGATCAAAGTTTCTTCCACGGAGAACACTTAGATAACTGGACAAGCAGGTGAATATATTCATTTTCATGTGTATTTCATCGCGTGGAATTATATTTCATCTGACCTAGATAATACGTTAAAGGAATAAGCAAAATCAGTTTGTGCTCTATATACAGGCATTATCTGTGTGAATGTGTATGCAGTATATCAATATGTGCGTGTGAAATTTATGTTGGCAATTGCTATTGTCGCAATGTTCTTTCAGTGCAAGCCTCACCAATGTTTGGGTTACATTGATGTTTGTGTGTTTTCACGCCGGGAAGTGTATTCATACTTTCATAGTGAAACTTTACTTTCTGCCATGGATGTTGTTATACTTTTGGTTACCGAGTATATTGGCTGCTGCCTTCTAAAATAAACTAAACTATTTATTTTTTGTATTACCAGGTAAGACCCACTGAGCTATATAGTTTTTCTTAGAAGCGACCTGGCCTAAAATGATAGCTCAACGGTAGTGGCTTATGTGGAAATTTATAGCAGCCAAATACTCTAAACGCGTGTTGAATCTAAACGTTGAGGGTAAAACCGGAGGACCCAGAGAAAAATGTACGCCACCATGGGGAGAGAGACACGCAGACTCCAAATATACAACAAGCGTCAGGGTCGGGATCAAATCCACGCTCTCCTGCATACCAGGCGAGGCAGTTAACATGTCGCCACCGCGACGCTCCATTAAGAGTTAGAATAAACAAAAAAAACCTTGAAATCAGAGGTAAGTAGCAATTGACAAATCAGGGGGCAATAAGGTGAATCGATAAACTGATAGATGTCGAGTTTTACTTTACACCACATAGTTGTTCTAATCTCCCCACATTCACACGAAGCATGTGATGCGTTTTGCAATCCATGTTGAATTTGTAGATTTTGGCAAGGTGACTCAAGAATGCTTTTAAATCCATCGATATGTCTCTGGTCAGGTTTCAATGTCTAGATGCGAGCCTATTCTGGGGTTCAGAAGCAGCGGATAGAGTCCATTAAGCCGGGCGACCTCTTCGACAAACACAGCGGCACCAACTCGACTTGTAAACTTGGACTCCCATTCCGTAGCCTTGACTTTTCCACGTGAGAGTCAATTTACACAATACAGTAGTTGCATTTTTCGGTCAGGCTCAGAGAAAATGTGCCACTACAATCCACGTTGGCAGGACACCACGTGGTAGCAAAGTGACGTCGCTTTCGGATGAATCAGTCTAGAAAAATGAACATATACATGTCAGGCAGAGTACAAAGGTCTGACGGTTGTGTTTACCACCAACAGAATAATCTTTCCGTGCAATGTCTACCAAAACCATTACATTCCTGGCTCTCGGAGTAACCGCCATTGCCCTGATAGTGGTGATTATCGGAACGGGGCTAACTGGAGATCGACTCAGGAGGGCGGGCATCAACCCAATGAAGGTAACACATATACACAATATCACAAACGTGTAGTGGTACTTCTCGTGTTTTTAATAATGTTGTCTAATATAAGGTGGTCGGACACAAACATACCGTATAGCGTTTTTTTTTTCAGCAGCAGCATAAACAAACGTTATGGGGGACATATGGGTACATGCCGGCTGACACCAAAGTGCTTGCCCCGCTGAAGGACTGAGCTGACCGATCAATTAAACTACCTGCAAAGGGGCCGTCCATAAATGACGTCACGCACCTGGGGGGGGGGGGGGTGGTCAGACATTTGTGACGATGTGTGACGAGGGGGGGGGGGGGGGGAGAAATGTGACGTCACATCAAATTGCGCAACTTTAAATAAATATAGACAACACGTTCTACTTAATTAAATAGACGTTTTAATAAATGTTTTCTCCTACAGCATCAGAGTGCAGCGCCACATTAAATACGCACTACAATGACAATAGTTTAAAGCGATTTGAAGCATGTTTTCTTTTCAAAATAGAAATATGGTTTTAGGGGGGGGGGCAGAGCTTTGTGACGTCATATTTGAGGGGGGGGGGGTCTGACTTTTTGTGACGCTGTGTGATTAGGGGGTGGGGGGTCAAAAATCGTCCAAAATCGCGTGACGTCATTGATGGACGGCCCCAAATGGAAAATACATAATGGGCGACGTTTTGGGCAAATTCCCTTTAATAGCACATCAAAGTTGAGGTTTTTTGTTGTTGTTGTTTATGCTGAAACACCACTACCAACGCAGCATCACCCGATGTATCTGTTTAATTTTGACCAACAAATATCTGTTCATCAAATGCATGAACACACACACACACACACCCCCTAAAGCACTGGATCAAAGATGTAGTACACTGCCTCTGGGTACATATTTAAGGCTGAGTCACCCAAACAAATTGAACGACGATGACCATAAATAGTTACACGAATCGGACTTAGAACCTTCAACAGAATTCGGCCAGATCATTACATTGGGCTCGCGGGAATAAAAAAGAAAATCAACAACGAATCGGTGCGCGTGCATATATCGACGACGATTGCCTCCGGCTGTGATGGTGTGTCTCTCTGCTGTGTCAGTACGGGATAGTCCTGGATGCCGGCTCTTCCCACACGGCGCTCTTCATCTACGAGTGGCCGGCTGAGAAGCAGAACGACACGGGGGTGATTGCCCAGCGCCACCTTTGCGACGTTAAAGGTGAATCCGCCAGCGCAGTCACCGCGGCGCCCTTAAACTTAATGACAACAACGCAAGTCACTGCCTTTCCGCGTCCGCCAATTCTTCCTTCCAGATTTAAGAAACATGCGTTTAGATCATTCGGCTGATCTATATAAATGTCCACACAATAAGCCACTTCGTTAAGCTCTCATTTGTGGCCAGGTTGCTTAGAAAAGATTCCAAGAACACAGGATGAGATGTTACTATCCTTTGTGCAAGCACTTCCAAGAGTTCATGAACAGTGAGCCTGGTGAAATTTGGGGAGCGCATCGTCAGTAGTGTACCTTTGGTTCCTAGGGTGTTTCGGCCTTTCACACTATACATCCCTCCCCAAAGGCGGCCAGCGACAGGGTGATCAATCCTACTGCTTGCGTCCCATTCCCAATTAGTCATAGGAGTTGCCTTGTTGTTGATAGCCAACATCCCATGGGACTCGCTCAGTCGGCCCTTACCTGGTACAACATTTCGTTTGATGAACTCGCAGGAGGAGGGATCTCGAGTTACAAGAGCTCCCCATCCGGGGCCGGGGAGTCACTCCGGGCGTGCATGGACGAGGCCAAGGCCATCGTGCCCAAGGACCGCTGGGCTGACACGCCGCTGGCTCTGGGGGCCACTGCCGGCATGAGGCTCCTGGAGTGAGTACCAGAAGGCCCCCCCCCCCCCCCTGACCTGCATTACCCACCACACATTGTCTATGGGATTCCAACAGAGAAGGTTGGAGCATGACTAGAGAGAGACTACGCAGATTCACTTGAATCTGTGGTGCGGCATCTCAGAGCGTGCAACATATCGCGACCGACTGCCCAATCGGATCATTCAACGGCGATCTTAAACAAATCCACACGGATTGTCTTGAAGCAGTTGAGCGGATATCAAATCTCGACATCAATATATAACTTAATATGCGAGGGTGAATTGAATGTATGGGCATGTGTATGTATGATGAGCTTCTTTCGCACCGTACGTAGCCAACCGTGCCGTGGCAAAGCAGTTATGGGTTACAGTAGAAATGCATTATATTACTGTACTCACAATTGACAGTGTGCATATATTCACACCAATGCAAATACATCATATGCTATCAGCAAAAAAAAAAATCAGTGACTATAATTAGGGTGTTGAACTAGGACATTGAAATCCGTTTTTTTATTCTGGGCAGCCACCCATGATACTGTACAACTGGTTTATCAAGTTCTTGCAATATTCAGAGTCTCAAAAAAAAGTATTCAATAAATTATTAAACAAATCAATATGGAATAATACCACTTAATTTTGCATTCATCAGGTTTTAGGATTTCAACATTTTCATTGATGTGGATGTGATTGACAATATTAAAAGGAGTGTCTATATCGTGGATAAAAATACTTATTAAAGAGGCTTAAAACGTAGAATGAGAGCGTGGTTCGAGAATGAGATTACAGTATCCAGATCCACTTAGATGAAAAACAAAGGACTCTTTATGTGAGGGTGTCCCGTGACCCCCTTTGGCAGTTTACATGGCCTAAAAGTGCCCTGAACCTCGTGTAAGTGTTGTATTGCTACCACCGTCACTTTGTGGTGAATGGCAGCTGTTTTGTTGTTGTCGTTGACCTAAGTTTGATTCCTGGTCATGGCTAAAATAATTGCCAAAGTGATATTCAAACTGATCCTGGGTCTCTCCTAGATCAACTCAGCCATAATGAGTAACTGGTGAAATGTGTGAATATCAGACAAAGCTAGGCACGGAAAGACAAAAGGCAGCCAGGCACGGAACTGGTGGCACCAAACTCTTTGGCTCTTTCGGTAAAGTCACGAAGGTATAAAATAAGATACATTTATTTAATTCTAGAGTATGGATCCCTGCAGTCACGGAAACTTCAAATCTAGATTGGTGGCACCAACCCGATGAGCACCATTCTGTACTCGATCGGTGCCCTCTATCAGCACTTCTACAGTCTGTATAGCTATGTGGGGAAAACTTTGCATTTGTTCAAACACGTGTGTGTGTGTGCGTGTCTTTGTGGGTGGGGAGCGATAGTGTAGCGGTTAGCGCGTTGCGCTATAATCCCGGTGACCCGGGTTCGATTCTCGCTCACGGCCAACATCGGTGACGATTATCTGAACCGGTCCCGGGCCTCCCCTAGGTCGACTCAGCCTCAAATGAGTACCTGGTGCGGTGTGCAAACATCGCCACTCGGGAGACAAAGGCGGTCGGGCGTGGTGCTGGCCACCCACCCCCTCGTGTACCGTTCCAGCCTTCATAGGTGCTCTATCTTTGTGTCTTTGTGGCCGTGTGTGCAGGATGAGTGACTCGGTGGCAGCGAAGGCAGTGCTGTCCTCGGTGCGGGAGGTGCTCGACTCGTCTCCGTTCTCGTACCACGAGGCGCGCATCATCTCGGGCCAGGAAGAGGGGACCTACGGTTGGATGACGGCCAATTACTTCTTGTACAACTTCATTCAGGCATGGAAACGACTGAACGCCCATCGTAAACAGCCTTTTGCTGCTTAGCAATTGTGCTTGTTATTACCGCTCGCTGTCAACAATATAATTGTGCATTTTATTGACTTCACAGTAATTATCACAATCATCGGATTATGTATGTATGTATGTTAAACTTCTCTTGTGCCATATGTAGGGGGAAGGACACCAAACTAAACACAAAAAGCAGTTCTAAAGAAATTAGTTTTCAATCAAGATTTAAAAGTGGATAGTTCCAGTGGCTTCCTAAAATCGGAAGGAAGAGAATTCCAGACGGCCGCAGAAGCGCATCTAGAAGTGCGCAATGCAGTGACCATCTTTGTTTGATGGCCAACCAAAAAGCGTGATTGCCGACTGCACCTTTCTATGCACTGGGTATTCCTTGGGACATGCCACTCTCCTCTCACCACAAAGATACTCAATGTGGAGTCGGTCAAATATTCCAGATAGTATCCTCATAAACAAGGTGTCTTGAGACCAGTGCCGCTGCGAACGGTGCGCCGAGGGTGGGCTCCACGCAACCAAATGTCAATTATCCCACCCAAGTTCGCTCCCCTTCGCGGTGCATCTCTGTTGTGGTTGCCCACGCAACGGTGCTCCTGCCCCCCCCCCTGCACCCCCCGCGCTCGTTTCAGACTTCCTGGATAATTAAATGACATTACTGTTCGACAATAACCTACATCCACAGTGGCCTTTGGTGAGCAGGGAATTTTAAATGCAGTGTTTGTGAATCCTCCCATATGAAATCATATAGCCTAGTTAACATCAACTGATGCCGTGCCTGCATTTGAATTACAATTTTCACTGGCTTACTGTATGCTAGGAGAAAGTAGTCACAGGTGCTAAACTTTGGTGCTGTTGTAACAGCATAACACAGTCCCGTGCGTGGCATAGCGTGATTGACATAGATCCTGGTCCAAGGAATGATATGGCCCCCCTGTTCAATTGCCTCATCTGCATAGCCCAGCCACTGGGGGCCCCTTCGGCCAGATCGATGGCTTTGCCACAGAGCATAACTCACCTGGCAAAAAGTGCAACCTCTGTTTTTTTTTGTCTGCTTTTGGATTATCCTCTCGACCCCTCAGTTCACATGGCTGGGCAAATGGCAATGGACCACATCCACGAAGCCCGTCGGAGCCTTGGACCTGGGTGGAGCATCCACTCAGATCACATTTATGACTGAGGAGCCTCTGCAGGGCTCACCGGACAGCCTGACCATCCAGCTGTACGGAAGAAAGTACCACGTGTATTCCCACAGCTACCTGTGCTATGGACGTGACCAAGCAATCAAACGCTTCCTCTCCACTCTATACAAGGTGGGCTCAACACGAGTGAGGCACGTCTGGAGATATGCCGAAATATAGGCACGTTCATACACAAACACACGTGATAATTATAATAATGTCGTTGTTGATAGCATTTTGTTAGTTTAACACGTAGGCTTTCGCGACCAATATTATTCATTATGAAGTTTTTCGGTTAGCTCGCGTTATTTATAAATGTGTCGTAACCCTCCACAACCAAACACGGCCAATCAGCAAAAAAATTGTCACGTTGACAAAAGACAAATAGTTCACTACTTTAGCCCACCGGTGTGTTGAAGAGTGAATCCACAACATTTACAATTTTTGAGTACGACGTTTCGCTGGTAATTACATCCAGCATCATCGGGCAATTCGGCAGAATGGTGAGGCTATGCTCTTGCTCCCGGTCTTAAATAGAGCAGCAGCAGGGTGACGTCATCATTGAACTCATCAGGTGCAATGATTTGAGGCGGATGGGGGGGGGGGCATTGTAATTATATTATAGATTGGTAATCAGTCAATTGTTACGATTAGTAGATTAGTAATTATGAAGCATTTTGTTAGTTCACTGCTGGATGAAAGCCTGCCCAAGACATATCAGTCATGGCTTGGGGTCAGAGTGTGTTGGTGAGTGAAGGTGTTGCCCAGGATCGGTTCAAATATCACTTAAGATATCACCCATCACCGGTGTTAATTAAACTCGGGTTGCTAAGTTCATTGCACAGTGTGTTCACCACAACAAAGAGACAGGAGCTTTGTTGACATGCATTCATGTAAATAAGACGAGCTGTTGTACTTGACTAAAAACGTAATATTTTTTTTTATTGTTTTCGTTGTGTTGGCTACACAAACAAAACTCTAACTCATGATCCAATTCACACCCTCAAAGGCTTCTCCTGGAGCCCAGGTGGACAACCCATGCTACCCAACATTATACTCCGTTGCGTACAACCTCAGCTCCATCTACGACAGTCCCTGTACGAGCGACGAGAGGCCGGCGAATTATGATCCCAACCAATCCGTGACTTTCCGAGGCACGGCAGACCCTGCCGCATGCAACAACACGATCTCCAGCATCTTTAACTTCTCCGCCTGCAGTTCGCCCAACTGCACCTTCGATGGAGTCTGGCAGCCGCCCGTGCAAGGCCAGTTCTTGGTAACGTATCACTTCTTCTTCTCAACTACATTTTCACATTAAGGTGGTCAAGTCAGATAACTGCTGCGTCAGGGGCAGCGGAGTGTATCGCTGTGATGTCTCCTTCCTATCTGTGGATCGGGCGTTGCGTCGTTATACAGGGTGCTTCAGAAAATGTTTTAACACATACGAGACTTTCGTTTTCAACGGAAAAAGAACGGATAATACAATGTAACGTGACAAGAAATGTATGTTAATAGCAAAAAAAAAGTCAAAATGTCTCTACTTGTTCGCCATTATTGTCAACGCGTGCCTGGAATCTTCTCCAGGTGGTCTGCAGGGCCCGGAGGCACATTCCTTGTGGTGTTGTTGCTAATTCTCATTAAGCACCCTCTATGTTGTACGATCTGCTCTGGATAACCACAGTCGCACACTACTGGAGAGTTTTGAATCTTCCATTTGTGCATCAGGTATCCGCATCTGCCATGGCTCGTGCGGATGCAATTTAGGGTGGACCATGAGTTTCGTGGAAGATCAAACCCTGGGATCTTCTGCGTTGGGTCTTTCACAAGTACAGTAGTTGTATCACTACTTCGAATCAACAACTGTAATCTTAAATTTAGATTTAAAGCTTTCGTGACTGCAGGGATTCATCTTGTTGGTTCTTTCGGTAAAGTCACGTAGAAGGGAAATAATAAAATAAAATAAAATTTACATAAAAAAATACAATTTTCACGACGTTTCGGCCACAACGCAAGCAGCCGTCCTCAGGTGAAAAACAGGGCTGTCGGAAAGACATCGTCCGAATGAACTAACTCCAATCTTGCAGGAGGTTCAAACGCAATCGCCGTATGTACAGCCTTTATAATTTCGCGGAAGTTTACCTTCGAGACAACGTTTGAAAGACTTAATCAGTTTTGACGATCTCGTTCTTGCGCACGGCAATATATGTTCAGGAGCGAAATGCCGATGTCGAGGTGTGCTCGTCAGGAAGAGGGCTTCGGGACAGGGAGAGTGCGTGCGTAGTTTTTCTGCGTCCTCAGTCGAAGGAGTGCAGACAAGCGGTGGTTCACGATGTGCGTGGGGCACGGTGGGCCTTCTCGTGGCCCACCTGCGATGTGTTTTCGTGGTCCCTTGAGGTAACACGAATGCCATCATCGAGGCGGCGATGGACGTCGTTCATTCGAATCCAGAGGACATCAATCATGTCAATGTTCACAGGCATGGAGATATGTGACCAGTTAATGATCAATTTCTGCAAAACCATGCTTGAGTGGTAGACTGAAGTTAAGTATGTTATTATTTGAGCAATACATTGCAGCTATGTAATGAGATTCTTAATGGGGAATTAATTGAGTGACAGTGATTGTGTTTAATACAGGTTTTTTGGTGTTAGATCGCGTAAATATATGTGCCGTTAAACCCGCCACCATCCGACACAGCCGAGTAGTAAGGGTTGTCACGTAAACAGAACGTGGCCAATTCGTCACTAGTACAGGATTCGTGTGTAGTGTATTGTGTAGTGTATAGTGTCGTGTACTAGTACAGCACACCGGTGTGTTGGAGAGCCAAGCCAACAACATTTACAATCTGAGTACGACGTTTCGCCAGTAATTACAACTAGCTTCATCAGGCGGCAGCCAGATTTGTGGAGAAGTCCACCTCAAATAGAGGGGTAGATGTGGTGACAACTCTTGCGCGAAGTGGGGGGGGCGGGGGGGTTAATGAGTCAACGCCCATTATGCGAGCCCATTGATCTTGTACTTCCTGTCCATTATGTGTAGTAAAATAGTTGTGGGGCCGTCCATAAATGACGTCACGCGATTTTGGACGATTTTTGACCCCCCCCCTCGTCACACGGCGTCACAACAAGTCCGACCCCCCCCCCCCAAATATGACGTCACAAAGCGCTGCCCCCCTCGCCAAAACCGTATTTCCATTTTAAAATAAAACATGCTTTAAATCGCTTTAAACTATTGTCATTGTAGTGCGTATTTAATGTGGTGCTGCACTCTGATTTTGTAGTTGGAGTGTTGTTATAACAATTTGTGTTGTTATAACAATTCTATATTCATTTAAAGTTGCGCATTTTGATGTGACGTCACACATCGTCACAAATGTCTGACCCCCCCCCCTAAGTGCCTGACGTCATTTATGGACGGCCCCTGTACACATTGATATATTTACGCGATTTAACCCGCGAAGAATCCTGTATTATGGATGATATTGGTCGCGAAAGCCTCCGCGTTGAACGGATTGTGTCCACGTGTGTGTTGGAGTACTGCGTTCTGCTTACGTTTGTTTCCGCAGGCTTTTTCAACTTTCTTTTACACCATGGATGCGTTCAACTTAACCGACTCGAAAGCCTCGCTGAATGTCGTCACGGACACTTTCGATTCTCACTGCGCGAAAACCTGGACTGAGGTTTGTGACGGAACAACGCTCACGTGTGTGTGTGTGTGCGTGCGTGTCCTCACCGTGATGACAGCATCAGCACGCGCTTTATCCAACTCGACAGACAGAGTGATCATAGTGTAGGGTGACATCTTACGTGACAAAATAACTTCCGTGGTATTCTTGGTTCTTTCGGTAAAGTCACGTAGAAGGGAAATAATAAAATAATACAAATTAAACATAATAAAATACAATTCCCACGACGTTTCGGCCACAACGCAAGCAGCCGTCCTCAGGTCTCCCCGACAGACGCTGTCTCCCCGACAGACCTGGTCTTCACCTGAGGACGGCGGCTTGCGTTGTGGCCGAAACGTCGTGAGAATTATTTTATTGTTTTATTTTTATTATTTTATTACTTCCCTTCTACGTGACTTTACCGAAATAACCAATAAGATGAATCTCTGCAGTCACGAAAGCTTTAAATCGAAATTTAACCTCCGTGGCTCAAATTGGACGAGATACGAATCGATGATTACCGACGAGGAAGCTATCCAGTTGAGGCACTGCATGCCTACATTGTACGTGCGTGGGTTTTTTTTTGTCATAGATGTTTTCTCAACGTGGATCGGTGAAAAGTACTTACGGAGTGGCAGCCAAAGATTTCAATGCATTCGAGAGTACCTCCACCGAGGAGATGGATCGATTAAATCAACCTGTGTGCAGAAGCAAGATAGAACATTAAATCACAGGATCGCAAGAGGCGTTGACAGTTTGGGAAGGCCTTTATCCAGCGGCGGATTGATTTTGGCTGATGATGTATATTTTCTCAGCGCGCACAACTTAGATGCAAGAATTGCTGGGTTATCAAGGTGTGGGATCGTCAGCCCATTGGGGCTGGCTGAGGTGCCAATCAGTAAATCACACACCAGTATCATCATCAACAGCCATGATCTCACCACTGCTGGATGAATTCCACCCAACGTCCCCCACCATCCCTCACAGTTTTGCAATCTCATAATCCAGTGTTTTCAGGAGCGGGCCACTTCTGCCGATGAAACATCAATGTGAGGGCCGCCACGCATTTGAAACCATCGGGGATTGACAGCAGCACAGTACGGGCCTTGCGAGGAAGAACAGCGCCATAATCCATCCGGATCCTGCACGCGAACCCCATGTCGCAGTCGCTCCATCTCCCTTAAGGAAGGGCTTTCGCGTTCATTACGTCTTTTGGCAGCCACTCCATTTTGTTAGTCTCACCTCACCGTCGTCATCACTTCTTGCCATTTAACAATTAAAACAAATATCGTCTCTAATTTGCATACCTCTCAACCCCTTATCAGTGCCCTACCTTCTACTTCTTCTTGGTTCTTTCGGTAAAGTCACGTAGAATGGAAATAATAAAATAATAAAAATAAGCCATATAAATAATTCTCACGACAAACCAAGTCAGACCTTATTGGTCACCCCGTGCCCTTATAAATAGTCACCGTTCATCCTACAAAGTCCAATCACAAGAGAGAAACACAAACAAATAAACAACAAACATTGTTTTTTTGCCCGTATTAAAACGGCTGTACGCCATATGGACCTGAAAACTCAATTTCCCTGTACAAGAATACGGGGTTAAACTCTATGGGTTGACATCTATGAATTTGCATCTGTTCCTCTCATCCATAATGTTCTCACCCATAATTCTACATCGCAGTGCCAGAGAACAAGAGGTGGGTGGGCCCGGCTGGTCGGGGCTGCTGTTTTAGTCAAAGTAAATGTTGTGTGCCTGATTGCGTCGTCTACGAGTTGCGTGACGCGCGTTGTTGTGTGCGTTGTACGTGAGCTGTGTGTGTGTGTCTCGGAGGGTGGGGTGGGACGTTGGGATGTGGCGATAAAAAGGCATTCTTTGCTCGCGTGTGTGAGCGTGAATGTCCTTTCGTTTTAAATCCAACGTGTGCCCCCTAAAACATTTCTTCACGAAGGAGTGAACGAATAAGTATAACCCGTAAAAACAAAGTTTTTCACTATAAATCCTTTATATGCGTGGTGGCTAGTCCTCTCGTCCTCTGGCTTGAGATGGCTGCCACCTATGGGTCAGATGATTGTCTGCGTATGAAACAATTGGTAATTAAATATTTAATTTGTTTTCCCTAAACAGTGTAAAATTTTGGAAATTTTTTTTCACGAACATTAATTGTCTCGCACAACGAGTCTGTGTGCAAAATGTCAGCTCAATTGGATCACGGGAAGTGGGTTAAGAAACGACCGAAAGATTTGCACGGTCGTAAGCAAGCAAGCACGCAAGCAAGCAAGCAAGTGAACTTAATATAAAGGATTTAAAAATGGTGTTCGCTTAGCATTGGTTCATCATGCAAAAATCACAATTTCTCGTCATGTGTCGATTTTATTGGTGATAAATGCCTTAAAGTGTGTGGGTGTGGGTGTGTTACGCGTGTATTTGACGTGACAGCTCTGGAATTTGTTGAGAAAATGACCCTGGCATTATTTCATTTTGATAATGACGGTTTCTAGATCTCATCCTTGAAGGTTCAATCGTAGTGTATTGTCTTAAAAATAGATACATTTTGCAATATTCGAAGCTTTCCATCTCTAACTCTGGATGTTAGTGGAATCAGAACAGCTAATATTTAACAAGTGAGTTGTGAAATTTAAGAGTGAACTTTGTCCTCAGGTTACAGCACAAAATCCCGGAATTAAAGCCGACCGCTTGAAAGACTACTGCTTTCAGGCATATTATGTTTACACGCTGCTGATTAAAGGCTACAAATTTGACACAGACAACTGGCAAAGCATCACTTTTCAGCGGATGGTAAGTATTCCGAGCCCTATAAGCCACGTTTATTCTTGGTAAAATAATGCACATAAAATGCATAATTGATGCAGAAAAACTGAATACTTGTCATAATGTGTAAACCATGATCCGACAGGTCACCCTGGTTATTACGGTGGGTGTATTTACCATAAAATATGCAACCAGCTGCATAACAATGGACATCAACGAACCCCCGCTGTCAATAAAAATGAGTAGGCCATTGTGTGCCGGCGTAATGGCCGCAAATTTTGCCATATCGGCATACTACGCAATTAAAATTACACGCAGCAATCATCCCACCCTACTGGTAGACAAATTCCCGCTCTAGCCAAGTGCTGGCATCACCGTTGTGCCACACGGGATCAGCTTGCCGCTGGAGGGTGCCCTTTCAAATGAGATGAGACGCGAGTCGTTTTTGGCGTGTAAAGCCCTCGAAGATGCTCCTGGCACGAAGGGCAAATCTCTCGATCAAGAAGAGCGCGGGTCCCACGAATCCCACCCGCTACCTCTTGCCAAGATGTCTGAGCCAGTATCGAATGGATCTCGAGCAGTGGTTCTTAACCTTTATTGCAGCCTTGCGGCCATTTGGTTATCAATCGTAAAATAAAAAGTAGTGTTAATAAATACATAGGGTTTGATGAAACAAAGTAGTTGTAATCTTCAGTTTCAAGCTTTCGTGACTGCAGGAAATCAATACTCTTTGGTTCTTTCGGTAAAGTCGCGTAGGTATAAAATGAAATAATGCACGACGTTTCGGGCGCAACACAAGTTTCCATCATCAGGTGAGAAAGCGTTCCAAAAAGAAAAGCATTCCAACCTGATGACGGACGCTTGTGTTGCGCCCGAAACTTCGTGATTTATTTTATTTTATACCTACGTGACTTTACCGAAAGAACCAAAGAGTAAAGTAGTTGTACTTACATGCCCGTGCTTATTTGTGTTTCGGTGATTGACCTTCTAAAACAATCTGGCCACTGTCTCGCACCCCAAGAAAAGGGCATCTCGTACCCCCAGGGGGTGGGTGCACCTCAAGTAAAGAACCACCGCTCGAGTCGAGCAGGGATCGCCAAACCTGTGGCTCCAGAGCCGTGTGCGGCGGCTCTTTAAGGAACTGCTTCGTGACAGTTATTCATTCAGGATCACCGTCTCGTATTCGCATGCATTGCGGCTCTTGACATATTGAGGGTTTTTTTTGGTTGTTTACAGAGTTCCAAAAAAAATGGCTCTTCCCGTTATTTTGGTTGCCGATCCGTGGTCTAGAATGGAATGCCCTTAAGTGAAACCCCCTTCCGCCAGCAGTTGCGTGAGCAAGCAATTTCAGGGCTGCACCTTTACGGTTTATAATTACTCCTAGTGGCGTTACCTTTGACGGACGACTGCGACGCAGCATTGTAAATCTCTAGGTGATGCCTCACCCGTTTTACAAATAACGAAGCTCAAGAATGTTCGTCAATAACGCCGCCTTGAGTTGAAAAACTAACTTCTTGTTTCTGTTCTAGGCGGGAGGTGGGAACCTGGGTTGGGCCCTTGGATTCATGCTCAACGTTACGAACAGGGTGCCTGTGGAGATGCTCCCAGAGCTGTACAGCACGGCCGAAATGGGCTTGGGTTTCCTCGCCACCCTGCTCATCCTCACCTTCATCATTGTATTATTTTGGGTGCACCACCTGAAGCGAAAGTAGCATTCGTCATGTCAGCTACACTAACAGGGTGCAATCATACATATGTATACGGGTATTTTAGCTAACACATTGAGAAGTGAATTAAAATCTTTTTTTTATGTAAAGGTGCACGTTGGGTGGCAGTGTGGCACAGTGCCTCAGAGAAAAAAGGGCCTGGGTTTAATTCCTAACCTTGGAACTTTTATGTGTGGAGTTTGTATGTTCTTCCATTTTTCTGTATGGGTTTCCCTGTTTCCTCCAAAAGCAATCCACACGTAATGTAACTAATATTGGCCAAAACATTCCAATGATAAAGAGCTACTTAAAAACTACTTAATTGTGATGACACAATAATATCACCCCACTATCAAAGTATGAAAAAAAATTGTTTTTTACCCTTTCTGGGAATAAAATAGGTGTTAAGATGTCCACACACCAAATAGAAACCTGTTTCAAAGAATCAAGTCTGCATTAACCACACGTACTTATGATGAACATACAAACATTCTCTAATATATTCATTGTCTTTGAAACTGATTGGCCTCCACTGGAGACAGCAGCCTTCTTTAGGGCCCTGTCTCACCAGTGGTAGACCAGTGAACGGAGAATATTCAGTCAGAAATAAAGCTCGAGTTGGAACTATGTGTTGTTATATGAAGCTCATCTTTACATACATGAACCTCGAGCAAAACCCTGACCCAAAGCTGTCACATTCACCACTCAACATGTGTGTTTTTATGGACCCTGCAACTTCTACAATGAAGTGGAAATGTGGAACGAGTGGGGTTTGGTGTTGAGAATCATCCACAAGATGGACATACATATTACATGTTTTATTGTCTTTTAATTCAAATTGCAGCCTACATTAGAATTCATTTCAAATGCACCGCAATGCATTTTAAAACCGTAATTACTGCCAGTTGTTTCAGCTAATTTCCCAAAACCAGTATAACATTTTTAAAAATCATACTACTTTTGAGATATTTTATACGCATTGAATAGTGATCACAAACATCAACCTAGCTATTTTGCATTCAGTCACAAATCTGAAACGTGTTCAACTGAAGATTTACAATAGGAGTTGCCACGTTATTTTATAATTTTACATAGCAACTGTGGAAGCCTCGAGTGACTGCATGGGTCACATGAATCCATTGCAAGTATACAAATTGAACAGATTCTTAAATAAATTAATGGTGCATGTATCTAGAGCTTAAGAATCAATATCGATAAGTCGATGTACCGTTACACCACAAATATTAATCCATGAAAGTATGAAATCCGATACATTTTAATTGGTAATCGTCATTCAAAGGCACTTAGTATTTCACTAACCTTAACAAAAGAATCCATGTGTAAACAAGATGAAACCCAAACGTATGAGAACAAATAATCAAATCCAAGTTCCAAGTGAAAACATTAATATTATTTTATTTTCATCCTGGCAAAATCATTAACCCACTTGGAACACCTACCAGAACGAAACCACGTGTTAAAGTGAGCAGTGGCAATCCCTTTGGCACGAATACACCACGTGTAAGTCGAGCATCGTAAAACTCCTTAATGCCCGAACATTGGTTGTGTTGTTCACATCCCACAAGTCTTCTAGCCTCGGAACTCTTTGGACATCTAGCACCGCAGAACCAAACGCTTCAAACATAGCCAATCAAGCACCACCGTGCTAGAGAGCACCTTGAACAGCAGGCCAAGCGAAGTCAATGCAAGGGATTTGCAGGAAAGTAAATCCCCAGATCGCACCACTTTATATAGTCTGTTTGCATTTAAAACAATCATGATTTTCCGCATTCCATTGGATTTATAATTATTGCCACATTGTTACCCTGTTAAAAGGATGGTCTGCATCAGTGCCTGACGACCACAAGAGTTTATTGCTATTTCAACACTTCCACGTGCAAATAGCTTTGTGCTTCATTTTAGAGGCATGTTCCTTCTGCTGTCGTCATGGAACTAGGTATGTTTGCACCTACACAAATACCCCCCCCCCCCCCCCCGTACAGACTCAACAGACTGTTGGGGCAAGTACTGTTAGCAAAGCAGCCACAACAGAAGAGCCATTCCCGGTTGTCTGATCTTATCCTGCCGAGTGGAGGATAGGCTAATCAGCACCATGCCTAGGCTGCCTTGCCCCCTCCAGTGAGAACGTTTATACATCACACCAGGTTCTCATTTGCGGCTGAGTCGACCTAGGGGAGGCCCATAACTGCTTCAGATAATCCTCACTTGTGTTGACCATGAGCAGGAATCGAACCCGGATTGCCGGATTCGTAGGTGCAGCGCACTATCCACCTTACCGCAGCTCCCCACATATACACTATAGATTGGCAAAAATATGAACATAGAGCAATATAAAAATCAACACAACTGCTCATTTGCAACCTAAAATCATCGAAGCAGCGAAGACAAAAAGGCTGAAAAGCAGCAGTTATTACTGGCCACATGTATCCATTTTAAATGGGAATTCAAAAGGCGAAACGCTACATCTTCCCGCCAATTTGATTTGAAAGTGACCTCCACGGTCCAAAAGAAGGCACGTCTCTCTTTATGGCATTCTCCTGTAATGGACACGATACAGGCTGGGGAAGAATTCACAACGTCTCCGGACCAAATTAGGCAATGTCTCAATGTTGCGCATGAATCATATGAAAGTCACTTCACTTAACTCAACCAAGTTAATCATCCGACATGGCCAATAAAAAAAAACAGGCTGGTGCATTTTCCCAAATTTATAATGGAACGACCTATGATTAAACCACACGTAATGTCTCTGATCTCTTGAGCAGAGTAAGTTGGAGCCTGCATCACCACGAAAGTGGTCATCGGGCTTTCAGGCTACATGATGAGCAGTAGATGGCAGTGTTGTTTCGAGACTTTTTATCCTACCACATATACAGCCCCAGATGTCACCAACCTGCTTTAAATGAATTGCTTAATGGTTTGCTTTCATCTTCTCATAAACATTCAATATATTACAGTTTATTTTATGAATGTATAATGCTCTGTGTAATAAAGTCAAAAACTTTAAAGTTACAAAAGGCCGCTAGAGCAGTAACTCGCACCAAAGAAATCTAAATGTTTAATGAGGGGCATGGTCGTGGGATAGATAGGGTGGAAGTAACGTCATTTTTTTTGAGTCAATTGAACCAAATTCTTCATGAATAGTGTGATGCATATCTAAGGTCTTCGTTAAAGTATGGATTATAAAAACATTAAAGTGGCCATTCTTTGCTGCAGCTTATCACAAATGTATTCCAATTGTAAACTAATCGCAAGCCTTTTCAACTTTTCCTCGACAAATCTCTCTATGGCCATAAACTAATCATCAGCATGCACAACAAGTATGTATGAACTGATACATAATATTAAAATAATAATTTAAAACCCTTTGTAAACCCACCACTGGATGAAGGCCTTACCGTGAGGGTTTTTTCTACCATATTTCACCACATTGGTCGGTGCGGATTAGTTCAAAGGAAGAGGGGGTGGGGTGCAGATTATATATCACTCATCGCTGATGCTAGCTGTGGCCTTAAATAAAACACTGGTTTCCAGGGTGCACAGTGCAGTAAGCTAATCATTGAATGACTCCACCCCTGAAAAAAAGATATAGGAAATGTGAATTTCATCCATTATTATTCAGCAGACTTCGAATGATTGGATTACCAGGATAGGAGCTGCAATGTCTGGATTTGAGAGCTGTTGGGCTCTTCCTCTGTAAAGTAGGTGTTCCTGTGCAAGTCTCTAGAGCTTAGGGCGCAGTGAGCCCACCACTGTCTTGATGGAGCACATCTCCTGCCACCAGGATGGCCGCTCCAGTACACCTGGTCCCTGCAGCATGGTGCTCCACAGGTTCTGGTAGATCTGGGGGACAGAAGAGACCATGGTGGAAATGATGGATATAATGAGGCATGAGCTTTCCGTGAAAGGCTTAAGCAACTAGTTGCGATTGTTTAGATAATTGTTTAAGTGATGTCACTGAACAAATCGGAAAAAAACATACTTAGAAATATAACGTCCTGGGATTAAATGAATTATAATAAATATAATGAAAGTCGCGTTTATTTGTTAAGAAAATTGTTCACAAGTGAACGTCTACTATAGTTCTTATTGCCTTGTAAAAACAGTTAATTTGAGTGGGATCATTCCTAGTTTTAAACAAAGGAATTAATAAACTGTCTGATGTGCTAATTTTAAACAAGACATTTGAATTAACAAGCATATATAACAGCAGAGAAGAGGCGCGAATGATGACCTGTCCATCAGCACGGCCAATGGGAGAGTTGAGGATGAAGTCTGGAGGTGCAAAGACATCCACTAATGCCACAGCTTCATCCTTTAACTGAAAAACACAAGCCAAGGAGTAGTAACAAACATTAAAGAGATAACCATATGCCCTACTGCCCTGCACACATTTCAAGAACTCCACGACAAGCAACTAAAATACACTGAATTGATACTTGTGAGGATGCCACACATGCAAAATTTAATGTAGTTTGAAGTAGTATCTGAGATTATAACACCCATCATCAACATGGTTCAGTGTGTCTAGTGTAGGCGCTGGTAAAGTGCACAATGAGACAGCACCTGAGCACAAAGGCGGACGATTGAGTTCCTTATGAGCTGCAGGGGAGCACTGCCAATGAAGTAGCCTCCTGTAACGGCAAGCAAAATATAATTGAAACGAAATTTCGTAAAAGATTAGAAAAACACTTCCTAATCATTGACGGATATCCTCCATGAAGGCATACAAATCTCATTTTTTTTAAATCCTGGAGAGGTAATTTTGCCAGGCCAAAGGGTTTATTGATCTGTTAGAATACTGGGGTTAATTTAACTAGAATTTCAGTGGAATCTGAATGCTCCAAGGACATCCAGGAACTTTGGTTAATGTATCATCTGGAGAAAGGCAATGCCTAAAACACAATGCCAGACAGATTTACAGCAGTGCAGTAAAACAGATGAAATTGCATGCAAGAGCAAAATATATTAGAATTATGAATAATTAATGTGTCTAACTTTTCCTATAGTGATGAGAACAGCGTTTATCATTTTGATGAATTATAGAGACAAGTTCATCTTAGATGCACTACAACTACGGCCCTGTATCTGTCCGTCGTGCTCCACTTTTAAAACACTAAAACTTATTTTCAGTGGCCAATGTACGCAAGCCTAACATTCCACATCGTTCTATAATAAATTAGTGTCAAACACGCAGAGCACCATAGAGCCCCCTTTGCAAGAATGCCATTAGAGCACTGCCTGCTATGCAGGACACAGATGACATGAAGCTGCCAAGGCCCGCACTGGACAGTGAGGGATGTCAGAGGGGCGGTGAGATGTGTGGTACCCTGGTAGAGCGTGGCCGCATGCTTCTCCAGGCTCCAGAGGCCGTAGAGTGCAGCCAGGCGGTGCAGCACGGGCTGCAGACCCGCCGGTACCGCCGGGTCGTGCACCAGCGTGTGGAACCGCTCCAGCACCACGTGCTCCACAAATGCAATCGCCAACGAGCGGCAGTAGAACACCTGTGCATAACAAATGACAATGCAAGTTCTAACATGCACCATGGCTGCAGACAGATAAATTAGCTTCATTAACAGGATTGTAAAAGTCCACTGCAGCCGAGGGCAGCGCAGTGAAATTAAGTGTTGTAATCTGCGTCTATGCTCCCGCGTCTATGCTTATCGCCTTCACCGACCCACACTGACCCGCGTGGAAAACAAGGTAGAATGTCCCCAACGATCCACATAAAGTAGTGAGGCCTTCAATTTCGATTTAAAGCTTTCGTGACTGCATTCAGACTCTGTCTTCTCGACAGACCTGTTCTCCACCTGAGGACGGCTGCTTGTGTTGTGGCCCGAAACGTCGTGAGAATTATTTTATTATGTTTTATTTTTATTATTTCCATTCTACGTGACTTTACCGAAAGAACCAAGAAAATAGTGAGGCCTTCGTGCGGAAGTGGATTGACAAAATGGCTGTCCACCGATCTCTCATTATCATCGGAGAGCTGAACTACATCGTTGATATACTTGCAGTGATGTGTTATTATTGTTTCACCAGTCAACATGCACGAAATAGAGCGATTAATATTATAAATTACTGTGCATGCTGTGTGCTTTATGAACTAAAAAAAATGACAAACTGTGGAAGTAAACACATGTATATAAAACGCGATCAATGCAGTAAACACCGCATGTAGTAAGATGTCATGAGGTTCCTGGGGGTGAATGTTAAGTTTCTGTTCTGCAACAGCACCTCCTGTTGGTAGCCATGTGCATGTTCATATTTTGGTCATTTCGAACAGAGGTTCCCAAACTTTCTCAATTCACGACCCACCCGAGTAACCAGATAATTTTCTGGGACCCGTGCCCAGTGAGACAGTGTTGGTGGCTGGTGACTTCTAAGTCAGACGAGAACAAACCCTTGCCAAGTGTCAGGAAGCAGCTTTGCTATGCACTGAGTTAAATCGTGGATAATCGCATGATAGGAATGAAATAGTGCCGCGGATAATAGTTGGGAGGTCTCTACTGATAAAATAAGTTGCGGGGTATAGGGCCGCGGATGAGAGGAGTTCTATAATTGTAAATGCAGCCTTTGAGCCACAATGCAGTCTTTGGGCCACAAGTGATGGCATACGTGCCTGCGAGTTGTTCCTGGCCTCAAAGTCAGAGCTGCTTGCCGCTCTCTCGCGCTCGTATTTGCTGGTGCTCTCTCGGAGCAGGAAGCAAACCAGCCACTTGTACGCCGCCAGAGGCACTGCAATGCAGCAACACAAACAGGCTTGTCACACGGGTAAATTGTAGCGGCAATGGGTTCACAAAGTGCAAACTACATAGCCTTTTGAATAGTTAATATATCGAATCTTTCCCGGGCTGAAAATGCAACATTTTAATGTTTTTTTCAATGTAAAATGTACACTTCAATTGAAAAAAAGCTGATAAATTTCTCTTACTGGACGAATCAAAACATTCTTGTTCTGTTTTAGCCGAGAACTTTTGTTGCAGGATACTGATGCGGTCTCTGAGGAAGTCCACCGAGCCAGTTGGCGACTGGATGTCTGTTCGTGCAAATCATAAAACACTCAAGTCACACCTTCTCACATCTTCACATTCACATTCCCCCAATTTGATTAATTGTCAATATTTATGGTCATGATTCAAGAATCAATTATTTACCGTTTTTGTTTGAATTTGTCGTTTGCGTTTTATTGTTGGAAAATGTTGTTTGCTGCAATACCGTGTATTTAACGCTAACAAAAATTTCTTACGAATCACATCTATTCAACTCGCATACATATTATTTGATCCATTTAATGAATGTACAAATGTAATTTTATTACCGAATCTAAGTGGCCTGACATGCCTACAACATACAGACATTTTAAAATAATACAATAAATGAAAACTAAATTAAATCACGACGTTTCGAAAGCCACATCACTACAGTGATTTTGCTGTGGCGTGTTCCACCTGAAGAAGGAGGCTTGTGTTGCTTCCGAAACGTCGTGATTTAATTTAGTTATTTCATTTATTTCGTTACATTTTTTACCTACGTGACTTTACCAAAAAAACCAAAGAATATGAATCCTTGCAGTCAAGAAAGCTTCAAATCTAGAATTTTAAAATAAACCAAGTGGAGGCACAATTACATGCACATGGTGACATCCCTAGTTCCCAGTATGCATCTGACTGCCTTTTCTGCGTGCACAATGCTCCATTTTGCTTACTCATGCACATTCCTTAATCCATTAACTCTCAGCCTGTCCCTCACCTACCATCTCCTTGGACATATACAATTCCCCCTATCAGCTCACATTCAATGTGATTTCCCTACACTCTCTCGCACCTGCTGGCTTCCGATTGACCCAGGACATGAGGTAGTTGCTGGTCTGCTGCAGAAGGACGTTGTTCTCCCCCTCGTACGTGCAGTTGGGATCGTTACCATCCCGCAACTCCCCCAGCCGGTTCACTGCGGCGCAGCACACAGTCGCAAGGGTTCCAAGGAGAGCACATTTTCCAGGAAACCTTTCATACAGCACCACAATACTGCCTTGTATATATGCGTGTTGAACTTCTTTCACACCGTACGTAGGCAACCATGCTAAATGGCTCAAGCCATTATTTCATGAGACGTTCATTGAATCTTTAATAAAATGATAATCGTTTAATGTTTCAAATATTGTTCGATCGATTATTTTAATTTTCCAATGTTTGCAGCAGTCATTTTACTCACGACACTTTTGAAAGGTGGGATGTCACATATCAACGGGCTCTCTTCATCACGATTAGCCATGGCCAATCTAAGGCTGGATGAAAGCCTCCGCAAGCTCGTTGCCATACATCAGGGTCCCCATCTGCCAACCACTGGGGACTGTCAGGGATGGCAACGGGACAGTAATATTCAACACATCGCGTGAGGGATGTGTTGACGATTACATAATCCCATGCAAGTGGAAACTATTGTGAAATCAGCCCTTGGCCCACTCTAAATCAGAACATATGTTGGCAAGGCATGGCTTAAATAGACTGCCCACGGGGAGGATTATTTTTAGTGATAGGGGTGGAAACACAGGGGTGGGTGTAGAGGACAAGAGGAGTCAGGAGTCACGGGTGTAGAGCTCAGGAAGGGCCCTCACTGGCCAGGTATCCATGGCCTCCACAGGCCTCACGGCTCTCCTGGATGGCGTCTCTTGCGGTCCACGCCGACAGGGCCTTGCTGCTACTTGACAGAGCATGGATCTCACGGCCTAGCTCACTCTGTCCACGCCATGGGGTCACATTTGTAGACGAAAGATGGGATATCCAGTGATTAAAAAAGTATAACCGAAACGAATAAACACTTCAAATGCGTATACATACATCCATAAAGCAGTTCATTTTAATATTTCCATCAAATTTATTTTTGGACGTGAATTTCTAAATCGGAAAATCGTAACAGTAGACTCCTCGTGTTTGGCATGCAACATTGTTAAAAACAAATCGTTAAGTAAATAAATAGACAAACTCTACCTGCCGTTCACTGTTGTCCTTCTGCATGATCCCCATCTGCAACTCTGCATAGTTGAAGAAGAGCGTTTTGGAAAAATGGTTCAAGGACGTAGGTGGCAGCCAGAAAGGGAATCAGCCGCCATTGCTGTAAAATGTAAATTAGAATTGAATAAGAAAACTATTCAGTGTAGGTGAAATGCTGCAGGGGGTTAATTCATGTGAGACCACTGAGTAAGAACCACTGATAATCATGGGTCTGAGCTTTAGGCAGTTATCCAAGTTGAATTGAATTCTTGTCCACGGTGAGATTGAAGGTCTCAGCCCAGTCACATATTGTATTTAAAGTCGGAGTGGTTTCTCATTCTATTTAGCATGGGGTGGTGGTCACATCCCATCTACAGCCCTGAGCCAGTGGTAGAAATTCTTCATTTCTAAAGGACAACCACGTTTGGATGTCCCTACAAATGGATACTCATTTTGATGTCCCAACAGAGAAGAAAGGCTGTGTCAACCTCCAACCAGGATCTGAACTTTCAACCGCCTTTCAATTACGAAAAACCAGACACCCACAGATATTAAGAGAAACATAACATGCAAATTTGGGTTTGCATATTTCCAAAGAATAAAACATATAACAGCAAATAAAGAAACATGTATATCTAGATCTTCTTGGTATATAATACATTTTTTTATTATGTTTTATTTTTATTATTTTATTACTTCCCTTCTACGTGACTTTACCGAAAGAACCAAGAAGATGAATCCCTGCAGTCACGAAAGCTTTAAATCGAAATGTATATCTAGAGTTGTGGATGGATATTTACGATGCATGTTTAAGGGTATACTGTGTGAGCATGTAACGCAGCTGTAGACCATTTACCTGAAGTTGGTACTCCAGCACAGGGATTTCCTGGTTGTCTGTGGGGCCAAACTGGTGCCTAGCAGCTGAGTAGCGAATGCTGATGGTCATACACATCTTGAGGTTGGTCACACCCATGCCTGTTATGCCCACACGACCGCCAGACAGCATGCCCAGGCTGGCACCGAAACGGCGCTTGGGGTCCTAGTGAATCGCAGAACCAACACAATTCTATACCATCAAACATGAAAAACAAGTCGCAGACTAAGCGGCTCTGCTAAAGCAGCAGATCCCAATCATTAGGTTTTGCTCAAGCTTCCCCAGCAACCATATTTAGATTATGACTGTGTGTGTATGTTGAACTTATTTCGCACCTTACTTAGCCAACCATACTAATCGGAGGTGCGGGGCAACTATTCATCAACATACCTTCCAGAAGGGCTCTAGAGCTCTCTCCCAGTGGAGGCCTTTCCACTTTTTAACCTTCACCTATGGCAACCGTATATGATAATCACATACAGTTGCCCAATTTACATTTGAGTTCAGAATAGGAGCAAATATTAACAGAGTATGTGGAACATGAGGACTGGGGTTTGAAAACATGTGTGCCGAATCATTAACATTATTCTGAGTAATGACACAAAGAGAAGCAACACATCATGCATCGTATTATTTTCAATAATTCACCTGAAATGGAAGTACTTATTTAAAAATAGGTTACATTACGGTGAACTATTTTTTTTTGCCAGTAAACCATAGAAATAAATGGTTGCATGAAAACACATTACATCCATGCAATAAGAGTCCACTGTTATTCAGGTGACACCAACTGCACATGCAGATACACACATGTGAATGACGACGAATGAGTGGGAATGGGCATGTGAAGGACAACTGTCAATAGATACCTTATAAGGGGTGATGTATTTCCCTTCGGGTGTCACATCGCCAGTTTTGTTTAGCAGATTCTCTCGAGGAATGCGGACATTATTAAAGGAAACAAACCTGTACACAACAAACATGCAGAAATTATGTGTGTATACAAAACATCATCGGTGTTTGTGTATTGTATAATCATACTTTTATATTCTTAAAACTTGTTTTTAGTAAATAATGTTAATGTGGATTACTTATACAATTGCATATCATTGTGTGAGTGGAAATAACAATCTCTTTACCCGTTGTCAAGTCCATTCATTCCCAGCTTCTTGCCCATGTCACCCACCAACATGCCTGGCCTGGGGAGCAAGGTGTTTGTGTCCCTGACCTACACACCATGATGACATCGTCCATCAGCACCTCAATTAACATAATTATTATTCCCATAATCACCAAATTTGACATTTTATTTGTAATATTTATGAAATATGTTTTGCTCATATTATCTGAATTATCATCATACCATGGGTTGAAGCATCAATTTAGATCTGAAACAAAGCATTGCAACCCTTCGTGATAGAGAGCGGCCCAGGGTAAGTGGCTCTCATAGAACTACTTCTGAGATCCCATCACGTGACCTATGGTCCACAGTAGGGGGCAGCACTTTCCCACTCGGACAGCCACTGAGTAAGGTTTCTTGCATGGCAGCCAAACCAATAATTTTCATTCTCAGAGCTTGAATTTATCCAAATTAAGTGCAGACAAAAGATGTTATGCCATGCTTTTTTCTAGAAGTCCTCTTAGAGCGATAAAATACATTTAAAGATATTTTGTTGCATTAACACAAAACTCCGTTAGTCAATAAATTGTCTCCCACCCACCTGCACCACGAAGGAATGTAGCCCATGACAATGACCGTCCGGCGTGTAGAGTTGCGCAAACACGACTGCGTGCGTTGCCGTTTTTCCCAAGTTCCCAACCCAACACTTTGCGGCTTCAAAGTCCGGAGTGTTGATCACAAACTCCTGTCAGGGCACGCAAAAACTTTGCAACAGGGCACTTCAATGACAACAGATGCATCCCCGCCATGTGTTTGCAGACATGGTTCCAAGTGTGAAAATATTAATATTTAGAAACGAGCAGCATTATAATGTAAGTTAGCTGATGAAAATAAGATGAAGGCTCCCCAGACAAGCACCAACATGATCACTGTGCACTTCAACAACTTTGAATAGCGCTCCACAAGGTGATGTTTCTAACACTGTATTTTTGAACCTCCCTTTTAATATGCATAATATTAAAATAATGTGCGATGGTATAATGATTTATGTAATTAGTAATACATTGGATATGTTAACAATTATACATAGACTTACACTCATGCATATGAATTTCACATGTTCATCAAGGAGGCTAATCACACTATTTTGTAGCTTCATCGGAACCATTTTATTTCTTAGAATACAGCATCATGTACTTGTTAGTGTCTATTCAAGGGCTCTCTAAAAAGCACGAGATGGCATAATAGTATCGCATATTATAATACTGCACAATACAAATTCTGGGGTCTGCTTGTCCATGCTTGTCTACTCTTATGCATGCCTGTCCAACAATCTGCTTTGGCTGTGTCTTACTTGTTTTTTATGTCACGAACATTTCCCCCCAGTTTGATGCCAATTGCACTTTTGGCCTCGTAAGACGAAGGATGCAATCAAATCTCTTGCAAAGCAGTGCAACCAGGCTGGGATTTCGCCAAATTTAGTGTAGGACTAGATTTTATGAGATGGGTTAATGTGCAGTCCCCAGTGAACAAGGCAGATACCAGTCAACACTCTACATTCAAGAATCAGTTTTAATCACAGGCAGCAGCTTGGAATTGAACCGAGAATCTCAACATTTCTCGCTCAGTTCTCTGAGCCAGCTGGTCACGTAATTGTCCATTCTTAATGTGCTGTGAGGACTTCACCTGTGTTTTAGGGTCATAGGTGGCTGTTGTTCGCATGGCTTTGGTGTTGCTGCCATGGCTCAACTCTGTCAGTGCAAAGCAGCCAAAAATCTGTAACAAAGACGTATTTTACATGACATTCATGGCATGTGTCAATACTTCACTTCACTTTTATGTTACTCGGTGTGCAGTGAACTTTAAATAATTAAGCAACTTTCCAAACTTGATTGAAAATCAGATGAGGTATTTCAAGAAGACTTCATTAGTTGTGTTATGTTTCTCCAACAAATTCCTTTAACACCACCATGTACTATAATGTTAACATTAAAGGAAACTTTGAAAGTGCTCATTCGTATCTCCGCTCACCTCCATTGAATCTGTTTTGCGGACAAATTCTTCATGTCTCTCTGATCCTGAGTTTTTTACAGTTCCACCAAACATCTAAAGAGATATCACAAGAGCACATTCGGGAAATGGTTCAAAGCAGTGATTTTAAAACACAAGTGCCAGCAACTCAAGACACACTGCTCGTTGTGCTTGGTTATGAATCGTACTGTTACATAATTTTTTATATTATAATTAACAATGGATTATGGTTGAAAGAAAACACAATGGAATTGAACTATAGCAAACATTTTTATTATAAAATACAATGAAGGCTAATGCTTAAATTGGAATGGGAAAAATATAACCGTGGAAGCTGGTTCTGTGAAAGTCAAATTTTAATAGTATTAGCAAACAGTGATAATTAATAACTACCACGAGTACAAAGAGCCCGTAGAACATGACGAATTTCCCAAGTGTCATTTATTCCTCGGCTAAGATAGAGCAAAACACCATCAGAGATGTCATGCAATAAGTCAAACTTACTGGCCGATGGTTTCATGAATCATTTTGCAAAGATTACGTTTTCTATTGCAAAAGTGAAAAACAAACATATTTGGAAAGGAATTTATAATGCAAAGTGCGTGGCATGAAACACACATATACTGTACTTTGTCTAAAGTGATTCCTGCAATTCTAAACTTTGAAAAAGCCATGACCTTTAGAATAGACTTTAATCTCGTTGGCATCAACGTGGCTGGCTCGCCGAAATGCCAAAAAACTGGAATTTAAAAAATAGAATTGAAAGGCATTTCTTTGAAAATAATTCCACATGATTACCAACATGTAATTAATTCCACATAATTGCTCATCAGACTGAAAGCTAATGACATTTTCCTCAAGGAAAATGAGGTTCTGTGGATTTCAGCTGAGCTGAGATGTGATAAGGCCAAAGATAAAGCGTTTTTCAGTTAAACATTAATGACCTGCCAGGATAAGAAGAGGGTGTACATTGTGTGTGCGACATGCATGAAGCAAGGTTCATATCTTTTTTCCCATGTCCACTTCACAGCAAGTATTTACACACACAGAAATGTATAAATACAAACGGTATTATCATGGACAAATTCTAACAATAAATATAATTTACAGTCCATGACCAATCCACCGTTGGACAAAGCCCTCCTAATGTCATGACGGTAATGGGGGCTGTTTGGCCTTACTTCACTATGCTGGTCAGTGCAGGTTTGTGAAGAATGGGTTCCCAGGACAGGTCTAGATATCACTTGCTATTGACGTTAGCCTAACCTGGGAATATAGGTGGCCATGTTCATAGCGCATTTTGCTAACCACTGTGCCACAGCTCCACCCTACTAACAATATCCTAAATAGTCAGGTGTACTCATTGATCCCAACACTAATGCCCATATAAGCCACGGACACAACAGATAACATATAGTGACAAGGAAATTAACGATCATTTTACATGTTATTGCATTTAAGCATCATTAAACTAGCCAATTGATTAGTAACATATTTATCTATTTAGTTAAAATAAAAAAGGTATCTAAATCTACAGCCGTTTATTAGTCCGTGATCCACTGGTTGATGAAGGCCTCCCCATGCTGTGCCAGCCTTGGGGTGTTTTATACTTTACTTCACCATGCTGGTCAGTGGTTTGACAAATTGCTGAACGGGTACGCAACATCGTTTAAGATACCATTCCCATGAACGGGAATGTAACTCAGTTTTCTGGGTTCATATTGAAGCGCGCAAAGAACCGTGTCACCGTTTCTCCCCATCCAACGGGTTATCCCCTGACATTTGTACACTGAACCAAATTACTGTTGTCCACACATTGGAAGGGACGCACGCACCTGTTTGCTGAGCTGGTACTTGGGGCAGCTATCGTGACCATACATGTTAAGGCACTCGTTCAGGGCCACTATCTTCAAGGGACACTGCAGCATATCCTCCAGGGGCAGGAAGTCGTACTCAAAGAGACGGCGGCATTGCAGGAAGGTGAGCTCACGCTTGCGCTCAATGGGCACGTCTTCACCGGGCCGCTGTGCAAAGAGTGGGTCCTTCTCCAGCACAGAAAACACCAGTTTCTACACACAAGCATAACAGGGAACACCACCAGTTCGTATATGAGACAATGTCATACCATGTTTTGTGAACCCACCCCTAAGTTAGACTAGGTGGCCTAAATGGCATAGCACTGTGGCACAATTGGCTCAGTATATTTGTAAGGGAGCTTGAAAAGTCTGATTAACTCATGTCTGCCCACTTTTTGTAAGTGTACAACCCTTTTGTCATTCCACTGCTGGATGAAGGACTCCCCACGAAATGCAGGTCATGGTGGTTATTTTGCCGGACTTCATGCTGGTCAGTGTATGTTATTGAAGGTCAGGAGCACAGTACAACGGAATTTGCTGTGCTACTCTGTGCTGCCTACAACTTAGCACAGCTCCGCAGACGCCGATGATAACCTGGTGTGCATTGTGGCCACTCGTCCAAGCACTATTCTGGCTTAACTCCTGCTCAGATTTAGAGGGCACTCCGTGGGATGTTGTCATAGGGCATGGGTTGGCAACCTGTGGCTCTATAGCTGCGTGCAGCTCTTTACTGATTGCTTAGTGACGCAATGTATGTATTCACATACATTGCGGCACTTGAAATATTGAGTATTATACCGAATTCGATAAATAAATGTTTCTTCTTGTTATTTCGGCGGCCGACCCCTCTCAAAGGCTATAGCTCGGCATATTTTTAAATCCTTTATATTAGTTCACTTGCTTGCGCGCTTACGACCGTGCAAATATTTCGGTCGTTTTTTAACCCACTTCCCGTGATCCAATCGAGCTGACATTTTGCACACAGACTCGTTGTGCGTGACAATTCATTTGTGAAAAACATTTTCCAAAATTTTCCACTTTTTAGGAATTTTTTTTTATATTTAATTTAAAATACCAATGTGATAAAAATGAAACTCTTACTCAAGAATAACAGAAATGAATAATAAAATAAAACCGATGCCACGCGTATAAAGGATTTATAGTGAAAAACTTTGTTTTTACGGGTTAATTTTTTTCTTGTCGAGAATGGCAACGTTCAATTATTATCCAGTGTCTGCAAACTTTTTTCCTGACTGCATTAACAAAAAATGACATTTAAACAAGGCACCCTGAAGTGCAGAATTTCCTCGCTGTCCAAGAAGAGGGCCATCTGCCTCCAGTCGAAGGACGCCTTTGCACGATACGAGTCCAGGGGCCCCCTGGGCATCGCCGGGAAGAGAAGTCCATCGTCTATGGCGCTCGCCATGCTGCAACTCCACCACATACGCACTGCACCACGGGGGACACGGATGTGTAGTGGCCAGAGTTAAAATCAGACTCAACAAAAGGGGAGAAACATCAATAGGAACAAATATCGGCACATGATTAAAAAAATACATCACAGGAACATGACGTACTCGAAAAACACAACAGTTGGCAGTTGTGGAACATACCTGTCCCACAAGGCCAATCGATTGATTTTGATAACTTTGATGTTCTATATAAAACTCATTTATTGAAATTGAGAGACATCGAAATAAATTGAAACCAGCAGACAGCTGAGTACGGCTTGAAAACATATTTGTAAGAAATCACAACTCAAGTGTTTATTTACAAACTCCCAGCGAAATGTCGTCCTGTGAATTGTTACGTTATTCAAAAACTAGCAGTGTGCTCGAGAAACAAAAAACTGTATCTATTTATTTGGTGGAGGGTGGACGACACACATTGGCATTTTACTCACTCAATCTGATCCAAACATATGATCATACCTGTCAACCCATACGATGTACGCGTATTTTTGTTAAAGGAAAATTTAGTTTTTAAAATGTTTATTTATTTGTGTTTCTCCTTGTGATGGGACGTTGTAGGATGAACGTTGAGATGTATAAGGGACACGGGGTGATCAATAACAATCTGGAATTGCTCTTTAATAAGGTAGGGCACTGATAAGGGCTTGACAGGTACGCATGTCACTGAGAGAGGCTCTCGTTTTAATTGAGCCGCTAAACAAATGCCGGCTGACCGTGAATGTCGCGGGGCAACGTGGATGGTGCGTGGATCGTTGCCTTTGCGGCTCAATCGACGATTGCAGGCGGCGCTCACCTGTGCAAGGTGCACGGTGCAAGGTGCACGGTGCAAGGTTCACGGTGCAAGGTGCACGGTGCAAGGTGCACGGTGCAAGGTGCACGGTGCACGGTGCAAGGTTCACGGTGCACGGTGCACGGTGCAAGGTGCACGGTGCAAGGTGCAAGGTGGTCAAGTCTCCACCCCAATGTCGGCGCTCGCTCTTTGGTACTCGGCACTCAATGGGCACGAGCAACCTGCCCTCTGTGTGGGGGTAGTGGTGGTGAGGGGTGGTGGTGAGGGGTGGTGGTGGTGGTGGTGAGGGGTGGTGGTGGTGGTGAGGGGTGGTGGTGGTGGTAGTGGTGGGGGTGGTGGTGGTGAGGGGTGGTGGTGGTGGTGAGGGGTGGTGGTGGTGGTGAGGGGGTGGTGGTGGTGAGGGGTGGTGGTGGTGGTGAGGGGTGGTAGTGGTGGTGGTGAGGGGTGGTGGTGAGGGGTGGTGGTGGTGAGGGGTGGTGGTGAGGGGTGGTGGTGAGGGGTGGTGGTGGTGAGGGGTGGTGGTGGTGAGGGGTGGTGGTGAGGGGTGGTGGTGATGGTGGTGGTGATGGTGGTGGTGAGGGGTGGTGGTGATGGTGGTGGTGAGGGGTGGTGGTGGTGAGGGGTGGTGGTGGCGAGGGGTGGTGGTGGCGAGGAGTGGTGGTGGTGAGGGGTGGTGGTGAGGGGTGGTGGTGGTGTCCACACCGCGACACGAGATTAACCCACCGGGTTTGCTGTTCGCTCTACCGTCCGTGCTTCACCTTCTCGGCCTCGCCGCTCACGACGTCTCCGCGCGCTTTTAGTTGTAAATGGTTAAAGCGGAGCGATGACCCACAGTACAGTCCAGGGGGCGGGTATGCATTTACGAAACGCGAACCACGCGAACGCCTCCCCCCACCGCGGAACCCGTAGTGACGTCATCGCCGCGAATCCGGAAGTGCTCCACTGTAAACACGTGTGCGGTTAGACCGCGTGCTGGAGTTCGTAAGCGGAGGATTTCGAGTCCAATATCCATAATACTGGAGAGTTGTTTTCTTGGGTGAGATCGCGTAAATATAAAACGTGTCGTTAAGTGATGTCATTTTTAATTACGGGCGAAACGTCCGTTCTCGAATTGTAAATGTTGTGGATTTACTCTTCAACACACCGGTGTGCTGTAGTCGTCACGAATTGTCCACGTTTTGTTTTACGTGACAACCCTTACTAATTGGCTGTGTCGGGTGGTGGCGGGTTCAACGACACGCATGCAGTGCTTGCCTGCGGCGGTAGTGGGGAGCGGTGGTGTAGCAGTTAGCGCTACCAACCCGGCGACCCGAGTTCGACTCCCTGCTCACTGGCCAACACCGGTGACGATTAATCTGAACCTGTTCTGGGCCTCCTCCCCTAGGTTAACTCGGCCTAAAATTAGTACCTGGTGCGGTGTGTAAACATTGTCACTGAGGAGACAAAGGCGGCCGGGCGTGGTGCTGGCCATCCACTCGTATGCAGTTCCGGCCTTCGAAGGTGCTCGCTAACATCACTTGCCCCAACAGTCTGTTAAAGCTATTGGCTACCACATTCTGATGAGCTCCCCCCCCCCCTCTCCTCCCCCCTCAACTCGCTTTTAAGGGATTACATCTTGAATCATTGCCTCACTTGATGCAGCTAATCTGGCTGTGACGGTCCCACCTGATGACGGAGACTTGTGTTGCCTCCGAAACGTCGTGATCTTTATTTTATTTTATTTTTATTAATTTTGATGTTTTACCTACGTGACTTTACCGAAAAAACCTAAGATTATACGTGGGATCTTTGTCTATGATGTTTGCGGCGTGAGTTCAACACTGTGTACATAGTACTGTGCTTTACTCCTCATCCGTATTGCCGCGTGTCTGTTGTGGTATTTGTTTTGCATCGGCTTGCGATCGAAGAGAGTGCAAATTAAAGGTACAATATATATCACTTGAGATGTTTCATGGACACTTGACATGACTCGAATATCAAGCTTATTAAAGTGTAGATTGTTTGAAATCGGATAATGCGCATCAAGGGATGGCGTAACCTTGTGTCCACATAATAATTACGAGGTGTCTTATTACATCGCAGAGTTAGCCCTGATTGGAAATCGGGTGACCGGGTTCACGACGCAATTTAACTAAAGCGTCATCGCGCCTCTCACGATGCGATTACAGTAAACGTGTACTCATGTGACAATATATGGATGTACCAGTAACCCGTGTTAATGCTCTAATATGCTTCGAGCCACTTGTCACGTAGCTATGCGACCATCATTAACAAGGTGGTAAGACAACTTTTAATACAGTCCATTGTACCTCTTTGTCTTCCGCCGCAGGCAGCAGCTGGCGAGGAACTTGCAATGGAAGAGAAGTTTTGGGAGGCGGTGGAGGTGTGGGTGAGAAAGCCTCAGGTGTTGAACCGGCGTCTGTGTGGCGCCAGCGTGGCTGCCCGGGAGATCGCACGTGGACTGGGGGCGCTGCGGGATCTCCTAGAGCGGGGACAACCCTCGCAGCTGAGCAGTGCCGAGGCTGACAAGGTCCTGCGCCTTTGGCACAAAGGGAACCTTTGTGGTGAACGGCGAGAGCGAGCGGTGGCGGCGGCGACAGATTCTGAAAGCGGCGGGCTCCAGTTTGAAGTCATTACCAGAACGCTGATACCAAAGGAACTCCACAAATTTGCAAAGATGCAGGAACTCATTGTAAGAGGTAAACTCCTACTCCGTATGCGGTACTGAGCACATTCATCAATAGCAGCAGTTCTACGTAAGGACGCTTGAGTCGTTCTCTTTGATTGTGGCCAGCAGAGGGCAATGCGGCCCAGTCCACGTTTTGACTCCACCCCTTTTCAGCGATCCAATGCGACCGGCGTGGTGAAGTATGGGTGAAATATAGTCAAATGCATATGTCAACCCATTATCAATGCCCTACCTTACTACAGACCAATTCAGACCTTATTGGTCACCCCGTGCCCTTATAAATCTCAACATTTATCCTATAAAGTCCCATCACAAGGGAGAAACACAAACAAGTACACTTTTTTGCCCGTATTGAATCGGCTGTATGCCGTATGAACCTGAGAACTAAATTTCCCTCTACAAGAATACGGGGTAAACCGTATTGGTCGACAGGTATGCAAATGATCCGCATGGCATGGAGAAGCCTTAGTCCATCAGTGGATTGGCAAAAGGGTTGTACATGTTCTCGACATTATGAGTGTTGGGTAAGCCTGACGGTGTTTGTGACAGGTGCTGTTGTTGTCGTCTGCAGATATTAGCAATGCAATGTTCGTGTCGGTACCTCTGATGGAAGATGCCGCTGGTGTGGTGTCTGTGAGGACGTCGAACATTTACACCGTTACCTGTGGAACTGATGATACAAAACAGTGGTGAGTTTCCTACATTCCAGTGATGGTCTCATCTACGTTATACTGGCGTTGTTGAGAGACATGAGATAAAAATACGTGCATTTGACACGTCTGTGCAAACGTATTTACAACTTATATCAGTGCCAAAATATATCATTGTACTGTAGTAATTCTAAGTTAGCATTGTTCACTGAGCAGTAATTGTATTGTTTTAGCTTCTTGCTGTACATTTAATGCAATATGCAAGCAACCACTTTTAATACGCATTAACACTCCTTCACTCTACCTAGACATAAGTGATTTATCATTTTGCATTAAATCGTGTGCCTATGACCACATTATCTGGAATGCTCCTGATGTTATATTTTGAAGCTAAGCTGAGTCGAGCCTGGATAGTGCTTGGATGCACGACCGCCATGCACTGCAGGTGTTGTATCGGGCTTCTCAGCTATGTGAGCAGCAGCAAAGGGCTGTGCAGAAAAATCTATTGTTGTTATTCTACTCAATGCTGCCCGCCTCTACCAATCTGCGCTGACCAGCCTCGTAAATTATTATCAAATAATTCCTATGACTCATATGCCATGTGGTGGCCCTCATTCGGCAGTGGGTAAACAAAGAAAGCCACTGGAGCTATGCACTATTAAAATCTAAATTTAAAAGTCATTTCTTTAGTACTGCTTTTTGTGTTTAGTTTGTTGTACTCTCACACCTCGATTAGCATGGTTGGCTACGTGCAGCGTGAAAGAAAATCAACATACACATGTACATATGAAAAGTGTGACTCAAATAATTTTACCAGTATGACAGATGCAAACGATTAATTGTGTGTGTGCGCTGTGCAGGCATGTGGAGGTGCGGGCTGGCGGGGAGGGTGAATGGCAGGTGGATGGAGTCACGCTCCCTGCCCTCGTGTGGCTGGAGACGCACTTTGTGCCCAAGCTGCACAAGTGGATGGGCGAGAGCAAGCAGAGCGACTTCCCCGACTCCCTGTCCCTGCTGCCAGTGGAAAAATACGGCGTCCTCTACCAGCGCCTCAAGGAGAAATACCGCAACCTCGTCAAGGTCTCCCTCTCAATATTTACAATTCCTCTTTAGTAAAGTCCGGAGTGCAATTGCCGAAACACTAAGAGGACCTTTGACCACAGAGTGACCTCCTATGAACTCGGAAACCTCAATGGAGGCATTAAAGCAGAAGAACCGAAGTAATTTTCTGGCCAACTCATCTGGACACAGACCTGTTAGTTACTCTTCATCTAGCCATATGAAAGATGTTAGAAAATATATAATAAAATCTGCATATGGACCATTTTACAATATTTGATACAACTATTGCCAAATTGTGTTTGTGTCACTGCCATGCCTATGTCTCGTTTTTTTTCAAATGAAACTGATTTTGCATATTTTTGTAATGATTACATCGCTTTTTTGTTCCAGGTGTGGCCAGAGGTTACTGACCCAGAAAAGTTTGTCTATGAGGATGTGGCCATTGCATCATATCTTCTGGTAATTGTCTGGCTGGAACGCAATGTGTGTCTGATGAAATCTCATTTCACGTAGTGAAGAACATTGCTTTCAAACGAAATTAATTTAGAGCAGTTCATGAAAGTGCAATTACAGTGCAATTTTAACCCATTATGAATTCACATTTTACTATCAACTCAAACCATGTACTTTGAGGTAGCCGCGGAGCTCAGGAGTCACAATATTGAGCAAGCGTTGCCAATGTCCTGGGTTCAAATCTTGCAATGATGTGAGATTAAAGCAGGTGTCCACGTGTCGTTTTCAAGTTGATAATCTCATCTGGTCACTAATTACTGCACAAAATGTATATTACTAAAATAATTTTATCACTTAATTTTGGCAAATTCTTACAAATTAAACTTTGTTTCACCACCATGTAACTAACTTGACGAAGTACAGTGCCCCGAGTGTGGATAAGGGGAAGTTAAATTTTACAAATGACCGCCGAATGTTTGAAAACGTCATGACTTGATGAGCCAGTTGTGGTGGAAGCTGGGATCAGCAGTTCATGTTTGTGTGAAGGTACTTTGGGAGGAGGAGCGTGCGGAGCGTGGCCTGGAAGAGCGTCAGTCCTTTGTGGACCTTGGCTGTGGCAACGGGTTGCTTGTGCACATCCTGGCCAACGAGGGGGTGAGTGGATCGACCCTGCTAAGGCATCGAGCAATTTTCCGCACACGAATTCCATGAATTGTTATCATTCAGGGTTGTGATTTGATTCAGAAATCGATGCGCGCCGCGTTTTTGCCATCTCACTTGCATCGTCTCGTCAAGGTGCGTCTGCTTGAGTAACTTAAATGGAACAGAACCGTATCATTTGTATAAATTGTAATTGATTGGTTATTGCACACAAATTGGTTGCGTGCATCTTGAGCGTAAGAATTTATTTTAATAAACGATTTGACACATCGTCACATGCATACCCACTACACGAGCTGTTGCCTCGCTTTTGAAACTTCGACAACAAAATCCACATCCCCTGGTTTCTCGAGTCATCTCTTTCAAACAAAATAATACACAATGGAAACCAAGTCTTGTGCATGTCGAGTATGCAGGAAGATGCCTCCATACCCCGTGACATGTTACAGCAGGGAGTGCCGGTGTGCTAATATTATGCTGTGATTTGTTTTCTGAATTCTTGCATGGCAGCACCCAGGGAGAGGGATTGATGTGAGGAAAAGGAAGATATGGGACTGGTATGGGGCAGGAACTATATTGGAGGTGAGGATTATCTTCTCCAAACCCACAAATGTATACATTACGCAGTCAACGTTTGCACAAGAGTTGCTCAAAAAAGTCACAGTATGCCAATGTTGGGCTCTTTTTGAATTCCCTCTGATACTATAATAGATCAGTGTATACATTTTTACAGATGACTATGTAGAATAAGTAAGTGTTGGACAGTGATATATATTAGTTGAAATATTTTACTGCCCTTAATAACTACAAGTAAAGTGTGTTGGGTAGCCCTTAACCAGCACATCGCCATGGCTAGAGAATAGTTTATGGTAAAAGAGGTGCTCATAATGAAGATGATTGAATCCATATGTGCAAAGCCTTGTGTGTTATCTGATTTTATTATATGTTTTTCTCGAAGTTCTCTTGTTTTCCTCCCACATGGAATTAGCCAAACAGCCCAATGCAGAACTCTCCTGAAAAAAAATGCTCTTAAGAGCATTTCCTGGATAAACAAGGGGCATTACAGTCATATTATATTTTTATCAGCACACAATCTGTGTTACACAGAATCACAATAGGTACCAAATGAATAATGGACGTTACGAGAACAACAGTATTCTCCTGATTGTTACATCCATACTGAAAACTCTGAGAATGCTGCCATGCCAGGAATGTGCCGTCACACCTGGAGACGACTTCCTGTTCACCGATGTCGACTGGTTGATTGGCAACCACTCGGACGAGCTCACGCCGTGGATCCCGGTCATTGCGGCCCGGTAACCGACAGCAGAGCCACATATCAACAGATTATTCAATTCATGTCGCCTCGGCTATCATCCTACGTATCGACAAGTAAATCGCAGCGGTTTTTACGTCACGTTATTTTATTTCTGACCAAAAATTCGCAAATGTCTCGCAATGTAAATATTACAAATAACTCCCTCTGCTGAGTACTCTACTTAATTTTAGAGTGTTTCAAATATAAATGTTTGTGCAAAGGTCGCCTCATAGGGGAGGTTCATGGCCACGTCCCGTCCTCAGGTCCTCGTTCGACTGCCGCTACTTTGTTCTTCCATGCTGCTTCCACGACTTCATCGGCCGCTACCGGAGGAGGAGCTGCCGTCGCAGCCAGTACCGCGAGTACCTGGACTTTGTGGCGGAGATCGGCAACGCCTGCGGCTTCCGTGTGCAAGGAGGACACTCTCCGCATCCCCTCCACAAAGCGGGTCCGCTCATGATGCTCCTTTACGATTGCTATGTGTACACTAATAGACTAATACTCGCCGTTCACCACGTTAAGTGACGGTGACGTCACCACAGGCGCCTGTGCCAGGCCAGGTGCACTTTGAGGCCACGTTAGGTGTCGAATGCTCGCTGACGGGAGATCAAGGGACAGACCCAGGTGCCATGGGTTGACTGGCTGAGATGACTGGCAGATGCACCAGCTGTGCACCCTATTGTACCAACGCATAGACACACACTCTTTGATATGCACACGTATCGCCCTAATGTCAATCTATTGCTGGATGATGTGGGTCAGTGGGGATTTTCTGCCATGCTTCACCAGGCTGATCAGTGTGGGTTTGCAAAGGCGGGAAGTATAGACATTGGAGGATAATACAGTACAACAATGGATTGTGCTGCACTGCTCTCTGATTACATCGTAGACCAGCAGCAGCTCACAACACCTGTTGCATGCCCAACCAAGAAGCACTGTCCAGGCTCAATTCTACTTAGCTTCTAAGATCAGACGAGATCATATGCACTTTGGGTGATTTTGTCATAGTCTTTAATATGTATAATAACTCATGTATGCTCGCTTAATGATAAGCATTGTAACTGACTCAGGGCACTTCCATACTAAGAAACGTACTGACCTGATCCAAGCCCCATACCTACAATGTGAATTCCCCGAATTACTACCACAGATGGCTGGATCCGGGGTAAGTATCCCCCCACATTATCCCAGATGACCGCAGTTCTACTGTGCAGTGAATTTTATCATCAACATTGGCAATTATAATAATCACGGCCACGTACATGCACCACAGGTATGTCAAGTGGGCAAAGCCAGGATGTACCCACAGAGCGAGGAGGCGCTGCTGGAGGAGAGACGCGCCGACTTCATCAGACGGAGGGTCGGTGGACAGGCCTGCCGCCCTCCTCAGCCATGCAGCGGCCACGTGAATCATCGCCAGCAGCCGAGACCCAGCCCCGCTCCGCCCCCTGGCTTCTTGTCAGCACAAGAGCCAGACATAAAAATGCCGGGTAAAGTGATGTCCGATAGTCCAGGAAGGCGGACAAACTGCTGCTTCTCAGGATGTTCTGCAACATCAGTCAAGTGAGCATGGTGATGGGATTTCAGCCGGTGTGCAGTCACTAGGTGATTTTGCAAGTGAAGTGGACACAAAAACTGCAGACTTCCCACACTGCACTCTTCAGCAGAAAGACAGCAATGAGAACATTAACGGTACATCCTTCTGCCGCAGTAATGTACACACAGATGCTAGGTTTTGTAATGTTGGCAAAAGCAGCAATGATGTTTTCATGAACGATACGCTTGATTCAGCCCATTGCACGACCTTAAACCTCGAGGCCGAGCAGAGAGGAGAAAGAGTTGGCGAGTTTCATCGCAACCTGCTCATCAAAGAACCGGATGCAGAGCACGGTGAGCAACCAGCAAGTTCAGACATCCGGCCTGCCGGGGGTTGGCTCGGCGAGTTCCGTCCTCGTGAGAGGGAGGAGAGGGTGAGGAACTGTGTGCGGCTGCCCGTGGGTCTGGTGGAGCGTGTGGTGGAGACGGTGGCCAAGGCTCTCTTGGCTTCCACCGAGGAGCTAGTGAACGACGGCGGGACGCAGGAGTCTTCACCTCACTGGAATCGAGGAGGTTTGTAAAATGAGAAATGTCGTTATGTTCAGTAAATTTAGGTCGTTATTCATTATACAGGTAGGAACAACAGCTTCCGCACTGCCCACCAGGGATTATTTGTCTGTCTGTCGTGCATATTTGTCTGTCGTGCACGAATGCGCTGTCCAATTAAGTTCTAACTGCCCACTGAAGGAACGTGTTTTATGATGGAAATACAGTGAGGGCTAATATTTTAATGCAACATTTTAGTTTGTATTGTCCTCGTCATTTGCACCTTCGATTAGCACGGCTGGCTAAGTACGGTGCGAGAGAAGTTCAACATACATACAAGCTGATTTCAAAACTGTGTATCTTCAATGTTGCGTTACATTTTTTTTCTTCTATTGAATAGATTGAATTGCAGCATCGCATACACACCATCAATTACCTTTAACAGCAAAATTGACGAGTTAGACAAAAGGACGTAATATTGGGATTCTTCTCATGCTGTCACCTGCAGGGAGCATCCGGCTGGAAGGAGCAGCCAAATTGATAGATGGAGAGACACTGCAGCAGCTCAAGTGTGAATGTGGAGGCCTGAAAACCCTCCTGAAGAACAGTCATCAAGTGTTTATAGGCATGTAATTGCATCTTGAGTCCATGGCACAAACTACCGCATGCAAAACATTGCAATACAGTGATCCCTCGTTTATCGTGGTTAATGGGGACCGGAACCCCTCGCGATAGGTGAAAATCCGCGAAGTAGGATTGGCCCCCTAGGAATTTCCGTATATGTGTGTGTGGGTACCAGAATGTTTAAAATATGTATATTTATACTTTATATATATATTTTACTTAAATCTATTTAATTATAACACCTTAATATTATACATTCACTCTCTCATACGATACGTATTATGGTGTTCTACACTCACCAATGATTGTAGTATCTTGAGACTTGACTCCAGTAATGACGACGATGACAATGACGATGGCAATGACGACGATGACAGACCTGTGCAGTTCGATGAATGTGATGATGATGATGGTGTTACTGCACAGGTATAATGAGGCCTTTAGATCAGTTCGAAAAATCCGCGATGCACTGAGGCCGCGAAACTTGAACCGCGAAGTGGCGAGGGATTACTGTAATCACATTTTTTTTTACTTTTAATAATTACTGGTACATTTTAAGGGTATTTTTTTTACCACAGCAAATTAAATGCTCATCTGAAATGCTTTCTGAATACTTCAATACCGACAAGCTTGCCACTATAAAATACTAAATTGCAATCGAGAAGCACAGTGCAGGCTCTGTAGGATGCGTTCAACTTGTTGTGGCAGTTGTTTATTATGCAGTGAGTGGTTGCAGTTTGGGTCGGTCATTAACAAGTGTTTAAAATTATCTGCAGATCCTCTTCGAAGTTTTACAATCACACATTGTATATCAGGTGCTTTTCCAGAACAGGATACAATTGTCCAGGATCTTACATCCTGCGAAAGTTTAGAATGTTCTCAATGAGTTACTTTTACCTCTAAGCCATTACAAAATGGGAAATGTGTTTAAAGAATTAACTGCAGTCACCATAGTACTCTGTTTAACATATCATGTGGGCATACACAATGTTACTGTGTAACAAAATGGTGATTTAAAGGTCACTGTCAATGCAAGTTCATGTTTGTGTGATGCTCTGATGTGTATTGCTTTAGTGCCCACAAACTGGTCCGAAAGGTTTGCCCAGAAATATTTAACGTTTGATGTTAATTGCTTTGATATTTACAAAGCTAATGCAGACCGGACGTCACTCTGTGGATGTGTATACCGTACTGTAATGTTCTTGGAAATGTACATCCCTCTGTATCAACTGCACTTGTCTCTGCCATTGTAGTGTTGCAGAGTCGTGTCCAGCTCAGAGACTGGAGAAGGGAGCAGGTGGTTAGAAGACCCAAGAACAACAGGAAGAAATCGGCCGTCGATTGCTACAAGACGCGGGTGTGCTGGTTTTACTCTCACCACCCTGACGGGTGCCCCAGAGAAACCTCTTGCTGCCCCTTCGCACATGGCCCTGAGGACCTACACGCGCAGCAAGGGCAGGGACACAGTTGTCCTCAAACCACGTGGTTTTAATGTTTACTCATCATCATTGGCAACGGATTATCCACTGCGAGGTGGATGCATTCCCACGCTGTTGGCATCCCTTTTTTTCTCTTCGATGATGACAAAATCCATCCCATCTCGCTCCTGCACTTGAAATGTATTTAATCGCTTCAGCTTTGTGGTGTCATCCTGTTGGGAACGTTAGGGTTTGGTTGCCATCACTTCACCAGTGTCATCCGTTGGCCTATCACCATTTCTAGTAGTGGGATGTGTGGGGGGGGGAGGGGGGGGAATGCCAACTTTTTTTTTTTAATGGGCCTGAGTGATCAGCCATGGAAATAGTCGACTATAATTTTTAGCTTTGATCAATCGACTCAACGTCCCAGCTGTATTTAAAAGTACTCGCCGCCGGTCGCGGTGTTTAATGTGATCACCTCTCGCGTCCTGGGCAGTGAGACTGCTGACATCATTGCGGAGACGTTACCACTTGTTGTGTTACCGGTGCGGATACAGATGGACTTGCGATAAACCGGTTGTGGTTTTACATGGAACCATTTTCTTTAATGGCATGTTTGTAAACAATGATGCAGATAAATTAAGTGCACCAAACGAGTAATGGCACTTGTGATTGTCATTTTGTCCACTACCTGCATTAAAGTTACTTTGGGGAAAAAAGTCACAATTTAGGCTGTATTTTTAGTAGCAGTGATCAGCCTAATACAAAACCTTTTTTCTCGGGTATAAAAATACATAACAGCCCTTTCCCCAAATCCACCTCTGGATGAAAGCCTATCCACACCGTGTCAGTCTGGGCAGTTTGACTATACTTCACCACGCTGGTCTGTGCGAAACTGTGGTTAGGACCCTGGTTAAGATATCACTTAAGAGGGTTCATGTCGCAGTGCACGAACCAATGCACTGTATCTCCACCCTGTGTCGTACATAATACGAATAGCATGTTGTGGGAGTGCCGAGTTCACTTCAACACTACTGTGGGGTTACTCGCCAAATGTCATTTGAGTCACTGTATGATCTGTAATTGGAGTTCAGGTGTTGTATTTATTGCCATTTGTAACATGCGAGAAAAATTGATGCCTTAAAAGAATGAATCCCTTTCCACTTGAATTATTTTGTTTTTAGAGGCGAATATAATCGATTGCAGATTTAGGTATGAGTTTAAATTGTACTGTTATAAATAGAGATATATACTATTTTATACTGGAGGAATCCGATGATCTATAAAGCTCTTTGTCAGAGTTACAAAAACACGAGTATAGCATATAGCAAGTATAGCAAAGGTAGGCAAATCACAGATGCAGGCACTGCATTGTGATGTGACAAAAAGAGCTTATAACAACTGCTATCCTCTTCTTGGTTCTTTCGGTAAAGTCACGTAGAAGGGAAGTAATAAAATAATAAAAATAATACAATAAAATAATTCTCACGACGTTTCGGCCGCAACGCAAGCAGCCGTCCTCAGGTGAAACCAGGTCTGTCGAGAATTATTTTATTGTTTTATTTTTTATTATTTTATTACTTCCCTTCTACGTGACTTTACCGAAAGAACCAAGAAGATGAATCCCTGCAGTCACGAAAGCTTTAAATCGAAATTTAAACTGCTATCCTACCAATCTGGCTGTCGCCTGATGAAGCTAGTTGTAATTACTGGCGAAACGTCGTACTCAGATTGTAAATGTTGTGGCTTGGCTCTCCAACACACCGGTGTGCTGTACTAGTATAGTACACTATACACTACACGAGTGCTGTACTAGTGACGAATTGGCACGTTCTGTTTACGTGACAACCCTTACTAGTTGGCTGTGTCGGATGGTGGCGGGTTTTAACGACACATTTATATATTTACGTGATCTCACCCCAAAAAATCCCCTCTTACACATAAACTCTGTTTTCAATAGCAGATCCCAGCTTAGAGAGAGCACTCGATTTGGCAAACCCATCGCTCCGCGCACGTGGCCCGTTCTCAGCCAATGGGGATCGTTTTTCGCACCACGGCTCTGAGGCTCCGCCCCTCCCCCCGCCCCCACAGCTGGTGCACGCCGCCGATACGCGCGTCTCATTGGTCCTCCTCCGTGGGGGCGACGCCTTCTCGGGAAATATCCGCTCTCCCGATTGGTCCGCCGTGGCGGGAACGCGAAACGCTCAAGCGTGGGCGGTGAGGGGGTGACGTCACAACACAACAAATCCCCGTCCGCGCGCGCGCCGTCTCCCCCTCCGGCGCCATGTAAGCCAATCGGCGAGCTCCCCACTGGGTGATGACGTCATGTACGCGCATCCTGTAGCCAATGAGCGCGACCGCGTAGGGACGGATGACGTCATGTGACGCGAGAGAGAGGGGGGGGGGGCTAAAAAAAAAGTTCATTGGTGGACGGGGCGAGCGGAAACGAGGACGCGACGCGTGGTGCGTGCCCGTGTTTGTTTGTTGCTGCTGCTGCCGCTGTTGTGGGCTCTCTCATCGTTGATTTTAGCTGCGTTGTCTGCCGACAGCAACCTTGTGCATTGCGAGCCCGACTGCCGTGAAGTCGCGTCAAGCCCAACACGGGAGCAGTTCAGCACTCGGAGTTGCAAGAAAAGTAGCTGAAAATATCGGTTCGTGGGTGGTTCCCCGTCCCTCCACCACCACCACCACTGTCCAGGTCGCTTCTTAAAGAGCCATGTAAGCTCGGCCGAGGCCCTGCTTACCTGGTCGAATGCGAAACAGTTTCGTTGGAATAGGTTTCATTATCTTTTTTTAAAGGAATAATTGCATCCTCGTGGGACAAGGGGCCCGCCCGCCAGGGATAGATTTGCATCCGTCCACGCCTGCGGCGAATTCGTAAGTTCCAAGATTAGTAAACAAATCGTGCCAAATAAAAGTTAATGCGCAGAACTCCATAGTCGAAGCAACTTTTGGATATAATAATGATAATAATAAACACGTGGTTGTTAATGTTCAATGCGTTAACTACGATATTTAATAATGGCTCGTTGAAATAATTCCGCCAACTTAAGTGGTCATTCTCGGTCAAGAGCTGATTAATTACCTCAGCTGTTAATAGTGGGCCAATTAAGATGTTGGCAACACCTGAGGCTAATTAAGCAACGTGCTAATTTAATTACAAATTCTGTGTATGACGTGAGTTGACCCGGGTTTTATTTGTATTCGCTTATTTGTATTTTTAAAAAAATGCAATTGGGTTTAATTTACTCTATTGTGTTTTTATTCTTTGGGTCACGTAAATAGAACATGGCAATTCGTTACTTGTACAGCACACTCTGTGTGTTGGAGAGTAAATATAAACTTAGTAATTGGCTGAGTAAATACAAACTCACTAATTGGCTGTGAGCCAATACAAACTTACTAAATGGCTGTGTCGGGTGGTGGCTGGTTTAACGACACAGATTTACGCGATCTAAACCAAAAACCTGTTATGGATGATATTGGTCGCGAAAGCCTACGTGTTAAAGTGTGTATTAATGTTTAACGATACGTGCGACTGATGAGTGAAGCTCTCTTCACCCTCCGCCCGGTTCACGCACAACAAATCCCAACATCTGTCAGGAACACGACCTTGAAAGGAACGCATCGGACAGGCGACGTTTCGGGCAATGGCCTTTTTCATTAATGTACGTTAAAGTCGCCGCTCAGGTTCAATTGCGCGTTGGAAGGGGGGGGGGGCTGAGGATTTAGGGGCCATCGGGTTTGTTAGAGCCCCCTGGGGGACAGGTGTTCATTTAACAAGACGATCCTAGATCGATTAGGAATGTTCAAAGTCCTCTTAATATCGTTGGAGATTGTGTTATTTATTTAGGTAAGAGTGAGTGGCAAGCTCGACTGGCCACGATGTTTTATAGATATTTGCCTTTTGCTCATTTAATTATGGGTAACGTTATTTGTGATTGCGTTTTAAACATAAAATTGGCACCCTCGTTATAATTGGTGTGACATGAGCAGATTGGAGATACAAAACTAAATACACGTGCGGTGTTAGTAATTAATTAACAAGACAAGATTCACTGGATAGCCGAGGAAATCACGAGTGGTTGATTAATTAATTGGATGTTTGTGATAGGTTAATTAGGCTCGTCACACCGGAAGCTAATTAACGTTGGAACTTCCATTTCACCCCAAAGCTAATTTTCCAGATGGGCCGTGCGAACTGCCTTTAACCTGCTCTGAAAGTTTCAGGTTCGTGTGCACTAATTTGTGTGAGAAAAAAATGTAACATTAAATGTTATTACAGTATTTGGTTACATTACGGGGTCGTTTATTTATCCCTAATACAGGACTGTGGTCTGTGTCGTTTACAACTCTGTCGGCCTACTGTTGGGCAAAGTCTTGGGGTCCACACAGTTTTCCCCAAGGGAGTTTTTTAAATATATATTGTTTTAAAATAACGTTATTCTGTAATCTTTTATATTTTCCGAAAGTATCGTACATGTTATCAAATCGCTGTTTCGCCCGAATAACTACCGTTGTAATCAACGACTTGTTTTGGAAAATTAATCGGATCGCTAAAACGTAATGCTTGCAATGTAGTTTTAAGGAGCAACGCTCAAACCATTACAAATTTAATCCAATTTTTAGCCAGTTTTTAACGTGAGAAAAACTGAAAAAGTAACGTGTAAATAGCAAATAAACGGGATAATTATGAGCTTTGCAATAAAAAAAACATGGAAAATGTAATTCTGAGAACTTGAAAATGTTCACTGCATGGCTGCCCTGTGTAAATTACGACACGGCAGAAGAGTGGTGAAATCATATATATAATGAATGTACACTTTTAATTCATTCCAACCAGTCGACTATAATGAAGCTGCTGCCAGAGTTCGTAAATACGAGCACACCAATGGCATTAGTGGGAAATTACTCCACTCGCACATTAAAAAATGGCATTTTGGTTTCAAGTTAAAGAGTATAAAAGTGCAGACCAGTAATGATTTGCTCATGCCACCGCTGGTGCAATGGCCTCCACTCGAGCGAGTTCTAGAGAATTCTAGATTTGAAGCTTTCGTGACTACAAGGAATCATATTCTTAGGTTTTTTCGGTAAAGTCACGTAGGTAAAACATCAAAATTATAAACATAAAATAAAAATCACGACGTTTCGGAGGCAACACAAGTCTCCGTCATCAGGTGGGACCGTCACAGCCGGATTAGCTGCACCTACGTGACTTTACCGAAAAAACCGAAGAATATGAGTTCTAGAGAGTCGTTCAGAGGGTATTTTGGCTTCTTTCGCACTTGCCAGACGGCTTGGAAGAGTGTGTATGGTTATTTTTCTTACCGCTTAATGGCAGCCCAGTGAAGAACTTGCTGTTGATGGTGAACAGCAAGATATACTCTTGCGTCGTTTTGATTTCCAGGACCATCAAACATCAGTCATGGACTCGAGTCCGCCTATTGAGGATCTCTTGAGCCAGGACACCATGCAGCTCATCTACAATGACATGTAAATTAAGGAGCATTTTCACGTTACATCTTAAGAGCTGAGTAATTATTACAGCCCTTTTTGCTGTCCACCGCATGGAATTTAATGATTTAATAGTTTACATAACGCGTGCTTGCAGAAGTGATAAAAAAAGTCCGTTGGTTAGTATTTACAGACCAGTAATAGCTCTGTGTTGAATAATTGTACATTTTAACAATACAGTTGAAACATTTTATTCATAAACATTTCTTGCGGTGATTTTGGCCAAGAGATTATATGATAGATTGCTTTCAGCTGATCTATGATGTTATATATGATTTGCGTTTAACACGAGTTGAGTTTATCTTTGCATTGCAGCACGAGTGGCAACTCAATGCTGAGCATCGACAATGTGGACCTTCGATTTGATGAGTCTCCTGGCAGCAAGCTCCAGATCAACATGGAGGTGTTGCAGATGGAGAACAAGGTGGATAGCACTCTCTTGGTGAAGTCACCACTGCATATTCAATGAAGAAACAGTACCCATTGCTTCAACTTCTGTGCTGGGATATAGATCCAGCATCCATTATTTCGAAAATCCAGTGTTGCACCACAGTAGTAACATCTGTAAAAAGTATTATATAAAATGATGTTAGAAATACGTTTTCTGCCTGGGTTCCTGGGATGGGTTCCTGGCTGCTTACCCTCCCACGTGGGGCGGCGGTGATGTCACCGTGCACATCTGCGTGATGGCACGCAACGGCGTGGAGAGAGACGGCTCTATAGAATATTCAACGTTTTGTTGGCTGGCTGCCGGAGAGGGACTTATGGTTATGTCCAAAGGACGTGCGGGGGCTGCAAGTCGGAATAAAAAAAAACTCTTAAAACATTGCATTTTAATTGTTTTTGTTTACTTTCGGAACAAGGGTATTATTGCAATTAGAAGTGTCGCATATTGTGTTATGTCATTGGCTTCATGTGCTTGTTGTTATTTACAGTATATTGCACATCTCTTGATTCCACTACCCCATGCAGAACCATTGTGAAGCGTTTTCCGATATCCCTGAAAACGTTTCTCAGCAACCCGTTTCAACTTTTCCAACCTATATGCAACAACAACAACCGGACTCTGGTATCGCACAGCAGCAATACAACGAACATCAATATTTTGGCGACGAGTCGTGGTGTGAGAACCAGGGCCTCTCGTGCATTGCTCCTATGGTGGCAAACTCCACAGCGGGATTTTGTCCAAGCACCGAGCCCATCCTGTGCGGACCCATGGTGTCCCCCTCACTGCCTTTAGAAATGCCTGGCCAGTTGTATGGCTCAACCATTCCATCAAATACCGACTACAAGGGCCCTTTCAACTTTACGGTCAACTTCTCTCCATCCAGCACTGCCAAGTCTGCCACCTGGACTGTGAGTACCAAAGATATGTTGCTGCTCATTGATAACTATGAGTGTATCATGATGTGTTGTCATTGTCAACCTGTGACTGCTCACCACTGCTGGGCAAAAGGCCGCCCCAATATTCATCGATTTTTTTGCTTGGTTTTGACTGTTCAGTAGTGGCCTCCGAACTGTTTGATTTCATTGCACCGTCTATTCCACTGTCTTCCTCTGCTTCTTTTGCCATCTCATTCATTGGTTCTGATGTGTTGTATCATTATATTCCCCCATGTCATATGTAATCTGCAAATGGATTTAGAATTGCTTTCAATTTAATGCACAAGGCTGGAACTTATATGGTATTGACAGCTGGTTTTAATGGAATATTTTATTTGTACAATAACATGTTACTGTTGGATTGGCCACTATTTTGTGATTACCATATTTAGTAATGAATAGGAAAGCAAGTTTATTTTTACTTTTTTTTACTTTAGTTCTCAACAAAACTGAAGAAGCTATATTGCCAAATGTCCAAGATATGCCCTGCAGAGATACGGACTTCAACTCTGCCACCTCAAGGCACCATCATCAGAATCATGGCAATGTTTAAGAAATCGGAGCACATTTCTGAAGTTGTACGTCGTTGTCCTACTCACCAGCAGAGCCCAGAGTTGAATCACGGTTAGTGGGCATCACTTGCATCTTTGTTCACAGAGCTATCTATATGTATTTGCATTTCAAATAGGTTGGTGTCTATATTTTAGCATTTGTGTTTGTGTGTGTGTGTGTGCAGGAAGTATTGCCCCTGTTACTCACCTGATCCGTGTGGAGGGTAATCGCAATGTTCGCTATGAAGAACATCCGGTGACGGGTCGTCAAAGCGTAGTGATGCTTTTTGAATTCCCACAGGTGTGGCTTAGTCGCTGGTGCCTTATAATCATATGTTTCCAGACATTTCTTTGCATATCTAGCTGTAGCTGTTAATTTGATATGAAAAGGATGGAGGCTGTAAATGTTACCACTTTAAAGACTTAAAAATAAATGTAAAACATTTTTTACCTGAAATTTTACCTGCATATTAATCGGTGTGTGGTGGGTCTTTCCTTTGATGGTGTAGGTGGGAACAGATTTTACCAAGGTCATGTTCTGCTTCATGTGTAACACAAGCTGCCTTGGGAGTATGAACCGTCGGCCCATCTACACTATCTTGACGATGGAGACCCTCAAGTACGTGGCAGCCCATGCTGAGCTCATTATCAACCATCAGGCCACACAAAATATTGGGGGGGGGGGGGGTGCATTGGCTTTTTGTATTATATTTTATGAGCTCTTATAATGGGGAGATTTTTTTTTGTTTGTATCAGTACACTAGGCTTGCCCAAGACTTATTGTTAGAGCTATGGTGTTAACAGGTTTCCAAATGTCAGGAGGCACGTATCAAAAGGGTCCAAGGCAGTCGTGTTTTTACAAAAACTTTTGCCCATAGGTTGCAGGTGCTTGTGTCCGTTACTTTTAGAAAACCATTAACTGATTTTGCTGTTTAAAGACAATGACGATTAATAAAAGTGGACTTGGGTAGTACATGCCATTAGCAGAGATTAAGGTGGGTGTTCGAGCCTAAAAGACAGAGTGGCAGTCAGAAGGGAAACACTTCGTAGGTGAGTGATGAGATCAGCTCGTGTGCCGGAGTTAAATGGATAGTTGCATTGTAGGATGATGCAGTAATTGTTGAAGGCTTGGAGAGACCATACTGTAGTGGATGGGTCATGGTTCTGATGATGACAGTTGCTGTGAGAGTTGTATTTTACCTCGTTACAATGCCATTGGTCAGTCTAGTTAATGGGTGGCACAGATGCTAATGGAACAGCAATGCAATTTTGAGGGTGTGGAATTTATCCTGTATGTACAAAACTTGCGAACCCTAGCTACATAAAATGTCTGCTGCCAGTTTTATAGGGCTGAACATTGAAAATGTCTGATAAGTATACAATTATTGCGATTACCATTTCTCTATAGTCGTGGTTGAAGAGACATTCTAATGTTTTTAAACTATTTTATGTTTTCCTGTAATTTCTTGAAATTCTCTTCTGGCTGGTTAAGTAAAAACATGCCTTACAATGGCTGCCCATTAAACAAATGTAATGCATTTGTTTTCTGGGCATTTGTTTTAGTGGCCAGGTACTGGGCCGATTCTGCTGTGAGACCCGAGTGTGTGCTTCGCCGGGGAGAGATAAAAAAATGGACGAGCAGCGCATGCAGAAGGACGATCAGGAGCGGCAACAGCAGCAGCCTCCTTCACCCACCACACAGAATTCACCCACCACACAGAATTCACCCACCACACAGAATTCACCCACCACACAGAATTCACCCACCACACAGAATTCACCCACCACACAGAATTCACCCACCACACAGAATGCACCTCAGTCTGTGCAACAGTATCCTACCTTGGCAGAGGCAGAAACCCAGACTTCTCAGCCGACCAATCAGCCTCCACAGGCTCAGCCAGTTGAGCACACCCCACAAGTGCCTAAGTCGTCTTCTGGCAGCAGTCAGCCACCGAGTGGAGAGCCGACTTCTGATACAAGCTCCCAAGGTGATCACTTGACTGTCCCTTTTTCACACACACATGCTGTCTAGCTATTAAGACACATTTGAGGTTTTTGTAAATTATATAATTTCAATGTATTAATCTGAAAGAAATTGTCTCTGCGTGTACTCTCCTTACCCGTCCGCTTTTTGCCAATTAACCAAATTCTCAGGCTGCAAGAAAGTGGTACATGATATGCTGATGATTTCAAGCAATGTTGGAAACAAGCGGCCATCCGATCAAGAAGACATATTTCCCCTCCTGGTAGTTACATACTTTCGTTTAAATTCCTCGCAATCACATTTCACAATAAGCATTTTATGTTTTAAAGAATTTACTCTGCGGTCTGTATGTAGGTGCAAGGGAGAGAAAATTTTGAAATATTAAAGAAAATCAAGGAAAGCCTGGAGCTGATGCGAATGCTGCCCAAGGATACTGTCAATGTGTTGCGCAACCTGCAGCAAAAACGGTACGTTAACAGTGAAATAGACAATCGCTGCTCGTGCGAGAGAAGTTTCCCGATTGCTATTGTAATTAAATGGTAGCAACAGGCTAGATAGTCGAGTTAACATGATTTTACCACTGAGTGTAATTCACTAATTCTTTCATCTGACAATGCTGTGGGGCACAATACACATACACGGCCCTTTTGTCAACCTGCTGCTGGATGGGGGGGGGGGGTCTTTCCCACACCATTGTTATTTCGACACAAGCTAAGGTGACATGCCATTGATATGGATTTCGCAAACTTTCAGCTCTAATCAGACTGTAAATGTAATTAAATGTGAACATCTTCACCGAAAAAATGCACACTCACTAATAGATTTGTTGACATGACTTTGATGGGTGAGCAAATGGTGTGCCTCAACGGACAAAGATCATGAAATAACATTAACAGACCAACAGCATTCGTAAAACAGACACATAAACATTGAGCTAAAACATATCACACAAAGTAAAACTAAGCAACCAAGTCAGCACCTCCGATTTGCACGATCCGCTACGTACAGTACGAAAGAAGTTCTACATACAACATAAAACGATTCAGTAGGCATGCATAGAGATTGAAATGGACAGTCGACAGAACCCCAAATAAAACCATGATATAGCTGGACGAACAAATGGGCATCCTGACAGTTCTGAATTAAGCACAACACATGCACACCAATACACACAACTCCCCCCGCTTAGTTAATTGGCTGACCCCGGGTGCCCCCTCCAAGTGAGTAATTAAACTAAAGTTTAGTGCGCCTGCAGATTCTCATTGTCGCGATGAGGCCTGGGGAACACACACTGATCGAAAGGAGAAAGACTGATGCGATTGTGGCAATTTCACATATCCGTGTTGGCATCAAGTTCATCCGTTGTGGCATATCACTTGAGAAAGTGGCAAGCATACAAACACATACACATCATCAACCATGATCAATCCACTGCTGGATGTGCCACAAAGATCGAGCGGGCTCGAAAGTGTTCCGTAGAATGAGTGAGGTTGAAGCACTGATTTAGCTGCAGGCGATTTCAAAGAGTGGGATGTACTTAACTATAGGTGAGTCATGTTTTCTCCTGGAAGAATAATTTTAAATCATTCACAGAGAATGTTATGTATTATTACAACCAAATACATTTCACAACGGTTTATTAAATCTGACATCCTGCACCGAAATTTTAATTTGAAGCTGCTATTTGTTTGCCTGTTGACTGTTCTACTTTCAAACAGCCATTATTCAATTCATGTTTATGGTGATGCAAATCTGTCTTGATTTAAAATCTGCTACCCCATTATACACTGCACAACTGCATAATGGAATCTGACATGTTACATACAAATCTGAATATGGAGGTACTATTGGTTTCCCAGTGACACTTGCTTTCCTACTTTCAAGCAGTCATTGCCATCCGGTTAGAGCAATGCAGTGCGAAGTCTGTTCCAATTGACGTGATTGACAAACGGCTTCCTGTTGGATGCACCAAAGTGCTGTTTTTTTATTTTGGATTTGAAATGTTGGAAAGGCAATACTTGTTTGCAAGATCACCTCGGGCAAGAGAAACATTTTTTATTGTGTTCATGTTTTCCTCTGACATACTGTATGGGAGATGCTGAGCATGACAGATGCATGGACACTGAACTTTCTATATAATTCACCACTGGTATGTGTGAGTTGGTAAAGGTGTGAAGCATAAACACATGGACATTTTTGCATGGCTACCTGTGGGCAATGTAGCCCCACAATAGCCTAAAACCTGTGTTTTATATAGGATGGTCACCCACTCTGAACCCAACTTAGCTTATGAGATCAGATGCATTGCAGTTGATGTTGTGATAAGCATGTGGGGCATTATCAGAGTTTAACTCATTGGAATGTGGATTATATCTTAATCTTATGATGCAAATTCAAAATATCTAAAAATTATTTCCAACTTCAAAAATTATGCAATATCAATATTCAGTATCTAGGTAATATAATAACTCCCATGTTGGTTATGAATACTGTGCAGTCGTTCATTGACCATCCAGGTTGTGCAATGAGAAAAGATGCAATAGTTGTCATGTGCATCAACCACTTTTTTTTTTCTCTCTCTCTCTCCCTCCCAGATACATGATGGAATTGCGTGGAAGGCCGGCAAGCCTCAGCCGACACGGAAGCGAGTGTTCACAGGAAGTCTTGAACGGCAGCCAGGGATCCTCCAGCGCCGGCGTTGGTTCCTCATCAGGTAACACAAGCTCTCCTCTGCTTGGTGCAGCACATTTCTCTGCACGGGACATGGCATGTGGCAGAATTCAAAGACGTAACACAATTTGCCACAAAGTGATATGCAGTCCTTGGCACTTTTTGTCCGTTGGTTTTGTTTTTCGGTGTGCTCACAGCTACTCCTCTTGACACCGTTGTTCTTTCGAAGCAGATTTTATTCGACTTGTCACGTAATTTATGAATAGGGGAGGAATCGTTTTTTTGTTACGTTATTGAAGACAAGCATGTTGCAATTAAGTGTTGTCCCGACAAAATATGTTAGTATATGAAAATGACAATTGTACGCTTTTTCTAAATTAAAATATTGCTTATTTGTAATCTTTAATTGTATATTTGAAATCCTCAACTTTATTAAATTTGGGTATGTTGATAAAAACACATTGCCACGTGACAATTTCTGATACTTTGCCAACCGTGGAGCAGATACTATGATAAGGCTTTCATGCAATGTCTCCGACCGAGAGTGTGCGCCTGAGAGATGGTAAAGTCCCTGATGAACAAGGGCACTTTGGTGATATTTTTCATCAATGATTACCACACCGTTTTTAAAATAAATATATATTCTCCCAAATTTTGACAAACGATTGCTGCTCCTGAGTGTCCCGAATGTGGAAGCCAAAGAAGTTGTCATAGGTAATCAGAATAATATACATTCCATAAGGTTCACTCATGGCCTTAAGGCCTTGTGGCCTATGATAATTGTCAGCAACTATTTTACTCGGCGAGCTTTCTCAATCGTGTTTTTTTAATCTTTTAGGACAACGGTGGCATCCACTTAGAACTTGGTAAATAGACAAAGAGCCTCCATAAATATTCTGTATACAATTACTTTACTGGTCAATAATATGCTGATGAGACTTGAGAGAAATGTCTAAATCCAATTGGGTGACATTTTATTGACGTTTTTATTTCTAAATAAAACTGCAGCATTGAATCTATTGCAGTTTTGCAATAGCATTTTGATTATTTAATATCTATGTAGTATGGTATTGTCTATGTTTAACTTCTTTTTTGCACCATACGTAGCCTACCGTGCTAATCGTAGGTGTGGGGGGAAGGATAACTAAATACAAAAGAGCGGTTGTGAAAAAAATAGCTTTCAATCTCGTTTTAAAAGTGTGCGTGGCTTCAGTGGCTTCCTAATATCGGAAGGTAAGAGTGTTCTAGACGACCACAGAAGCGCATCTGAACACACCCGATGCAGTAACCATCTTTGTTCGATGGTGAGCCAAAAGCTGCTGCGAGGTTGACCGGAGTTCGCTTGCTAGTTTATGCTCCTTGACGAGATCGGCAAGGTTTGCAATAATTCAATATTACGCGTATATGTGTTGAGGTGTAAATGGTTTTTATTGCGAATGCTCATCCACTGTTTGCAAGGCGTTGCACAAAATGGTCTGACGGTGGTGGAAGCGAATGGATCCAATGGTCCCCCACGGTCACCTGACGGCGACAGCCCACCTGCCTGGCCCGAAACCCTGCCGGACAGCAGCAAGCCTCAGAATACTATTTCCAAGTAATTGCCGTTTAGGAGCATCATCGTCGCCACCTTTAAACATCGTCATCATTCACACTCTTAAAAAAATTACAAATAAATGAAAGGGATTCATTGCTGAAATAACCTTTTCTACTGTTGCTTCTGCACGCTCCATTCTATTTCATGATGTATAACTGCTTTATTAAAATGGCTTATCCTTGACGTATTCTATACTACAACATCTTCCCTAGTCACTGGGTAGGTGGGTCGGTATCGGCCTCGGATATCCGTGAAGCCCGACTCGAGTATTCTCACGAGCTGCGAGTGTGGCTGTCTTCAGCCGGAAAGCTATCGCAGCATAGACAACTTTTCTGATGATGAGCACTCTACGCTGCATTAGATATTTTTAGTTGACTTGCATTGTTTTATAACACTCCTTTATATACGAGTCTGGGTTCTTCAAGTGTTTAGTTTTATCTGTGTATACTCGACTACAATACTTAAGTCGGTGGGTGAATTAAAACAAAGCATAGTTCGTAATGCGGTTTGGGCTGATTTTTGCACTTGGATTTCCAATAAAAAAAGTCATTATTTTCCATAGAGGGATATGCAGTACAAACAATGTAAGTGTTGCTCTGCATGTTATTTCTAATATAAATGTTTATGGAGTAAAAATGTGCAAGTTAATGTAATTCAGCCATACAAAGTACATGTTCGTGCTTCTTGTATTTGGTATTAACATTTTGGAGCCTTGTTTTTTTTGTCTCAAGCTTCCTGAAACAAATGGACTGCTTTGAGTTTTTGGAGAATTTCACTTCACGTGGATTGTTAAGTCTCCAACAGCTGAAGAACTTTACTCTACAGGTAAGTTCCTTTGGGCGCTTCCATGCAAACTACGTTTTTTTTTACGTATACAGGATTGAGATTTATTTTTAAGTTGTGAAGGTTTTTCTGCAACATAAAAAATGCACCTGCGTGAGTGCACAAAGAAGCATGGAGAATATGGAAGGTTGGAATTTTGGAATTACACTTGAAAAGAGTTAATACGTGAATACCGAAACAAACATAAGAAACATTGACAACTGCAAAAAGTAAATGGGCTTGGGCAGGGCACATTACTGGACAGGATTGTGGCTGGGAAACGAGACCGGTGTTGGAATGGCATCCAAAGTAGAGCACACATCACCAAGAGGATGACCACCACAGAGATTAGAGTTATGAGATTAGTTAAATGTGTAGTTGATAGATGGATGGTCACATAGCGAGAGTGAGGAGGCTGAGGAGTCCTGATCCAGTAGTGGGTAAAAAAAAAACACATTCCTGCGGAGGGAGCTGGTAGGAACGTTGGGTTGCTCGGTCAATGGCCAGGGTCAACGGCGGCGTGGTGTATTCCGCAAATATGGCCGACTGTGAGGGCGGGCACAAGCCGGCGTGAGTAGGTTAAACGTTGAGTTTTATAAGGGCACCACGGGGTGACCAGCCCCTCTCCATCTAGCCCCACCCCTCCCACCCCCCACCCTCCCCACCCAGCCCCTTCCCACCCTCTCCACCCAGCCCCACCCCTCCCATTTTTGGATGCACGACGGACGGACACAATAATGCCCCGTGGGCTGGTGGAACCAGGTGGTTCCTACCAGTAATATTGACTGATTTTGTACATTAATTACTCTGAGGAGTGTTTAAAATACACGTTATCAGAAATTTAAAGAATGTTGTATCGCTGAACAAAATTTGGTGTATATGCATATTTTCTGTATTTCGCTGGATTTTAGGACTTGGATAAACTGGGAGTCCCAGAAGCCAAAAGGCAACTGCTACTGAGTGGAATTCAGGAGCATCGTGTGTCGACCACGATCTTCAGCAAGACAACACTGAAGCGCTCGCCTAGTGAAGAGACCGTCCACCTGAGCCCCGAGGACGATGATAATGGCATAGACACCAAGGATGGCATCCGTGCCAAAGTTTTCCCAGCCCTGCAGGCCTCTGGCAGTAATCTGTCCTCTGTCAGCAATCATTCTCACAATAGTGGCATTTCCAAATACATTTTCCGAGTGCATGCTCGCCAAACCATTTATCTGCCTCGTTCTGGCAGCTGGGGAGGCAGTAGCAGCCTGGAGGTGCCCAGGAGCAAGATGCGAAAATTGTCTTCATGCTCTGACACCGAAGAGGAAGAGAGGCTGGAGTAAGAAGAGGAGGGGGGGGAGCGATAGATGGATGATGGTGGGAGGTTGTGTGGACCATGGGATGCACTTTCTATGAAAAGCCCTTGGGGTAAATAAGCTGGTGTCGTTCCACTCTGGGTTTCAATAACTTCCTTTGAGCTTGCTTGCATAGTTTTTTTACATAATGCAGTCAATAACAGATACAGCAGCGTCTTGGCTTCACTACCCAAGGGAGGAACTTGTCTCTTCCAAGAATGAAGTGAGTGACTTACCAGTTTTGTTCCTTCATGCCATTTAAGTCATCTCGAATTTAAATATACAAAACGTTTTGTTTCCATGCAGAGGAGATAGCCATGTTCAGAGCAATGTGCTTTTTTGTTGTGTTGCATTTGCTCTGTTCAAAGATCGTTTCAAATCTGCATCTTTTGGAAGGATGAATACTAAGTGGCAAGGTTTTTGCATAATCAGATTGTCTCATACTCCGGGAGATTGTTGTATGGGCCTGTATGCTATAACCTACTTCATAAAAACCAAAAAAATTCCAAAATAAAGTTGATTTGTGACATGTTCCATTCTGCAAAGTTTTATAGACTTAGTTTGGTGCTGGTAACAGATGTATAGAAAAAAAACACATTTTCTATATTTAGTGTTTATGGAACTGTCTTAAGCATATATATGCAGTGGTTTCTTTTACAGGTAGGAACAACAGTTCTACACTGCCCACCAGGGTTTATTTGTCTGTCGTGCATAGCCCCTTTAAAACATGTACGCTCGCGGATTGGTTGAAGGCGTCACGTGACGGCGAGCTTTGTCGTGCACGAATGCCGCTGTCCAACCAAGTTCCTACCTGGCCACTCCGAAGGAACGTGTTTGTGCTATGGATTCAGAAACCCGAGTTTGAGGGTGATATCCGAACTGCTGATTCTTGGGCGCTGACCACTGGTGAAGTACCCGTATGGTCACTGCCTTCATCTTGGAGTGGATTACTACCCAAGGGAGGAACCTTGTCTCTTCCAAGAATGAAGTGAATGACTTATCAGTTTTGTTCCTACATGCCATTTAAGTCATCTTGAGTTTAAATATACAACACGTTTTGTTTCCATGCAGAGGAGATCGCCATGTTCAGAGCAATGCGTTTTTTTGTTGTTGCATTTGCTCTACTGTTCAAATATTGTTTCAAATCTGCATCTTTTGGAAGGATGAATACTAAGTGGCAAGGTTTTTGCATAATCAGAGTTTCTCATACTCCGGGAGATTGTTGCATGGGCCTGTATGCTATAACCTACTTCATAAAAAGCAAAAAAAATTCCAAAATAAAGTTGATTTGTGACATGTTCCATTCTGCAAAGTTGTATAGACTTAGTTTGGTGCTGGTAGCAGATGTATAGAAAAAAAAGCACATTTTCTACATTTAGTGTTTATGGAACTGTCTTAAGCGTATATATGCAGTGGTTTTTTTTACAGGTAGGAACAACAGTTAAACTGCCCACCAAGGGAGTATTTGTGCATCGCCCCTCCAAAACATGTACGCCACCGGATTGGTTGAAGTGCGTCGCGTGACCGCGAGCTTTCTGTCGTGCACGAATGCGCTGTCCAAGTTCCTACCTGGCCACTCCGAAGGAACTGTGTTTATTTGCTATGGATTCAGAAACCCGAGTTTGAGGGTGATATCCGAACTGCTGATTCTTTGGACGCTGACCACTGGTGAAGTACCCGTATGGTCACTGCCTTCATCTTGGAGTGGATTGAAAAAGGGCTGTTGATATTCTTGAGCTTTGATTAAAAGCCAAAACCTTTTAAAGTACAATTTCAGGAATTGTTTTTCTAGATAAGCCACTTGGAAAAAATATATCCAATGTTTGAGTTTGCATACGGAGCCCAAAACCACCTGTACGTTTTGCAATGTTCTTTATATATTTTAACAATCACTGCCTTTCATGTAAACTGGTACCAGGTGCATAAAGCGCATGAGAACGTTCAATTCGAATGCGCAGTTCCCTGGAATAGCTACAGTATTGATTTGTATAAACAAGTTTTGACAATAAAAAAAACTCTTTGAACTGTTAACACGATGTTTTCTGACGCTATTCTTTAATCCAATGTGGCACAATAGAAATATTTGTATTAGCCTTCGTACACGGGTTGATATTGATGGAGCGCAAGCGAGTATAACTTTGACGCTGTGGTGGATTGAGCGCAGATATTTGTGTAAGGGGTAGCTGAGCGAATCGTCGTGTGATAATGATGCCTCCATATGTGTAAATCGGGATGTTCTGTTCTTGATCGCAAACAACAGCATCGATTATTCTGGAGGGGGTGCCAGATTTTATAAAAACGCCTGATAATCGCTTATTAAAAATAGCTTATTTTTGCACATTCTTGTAAAACACTTGGTGGTGTTTTGTTTAAAATGTATTTTCAATCAGACATTGGCATAACTAAACAGACACGTAAACAAACCAATATCCTACTTTAAAAAGTAACTTTGACTACCGTACTTACCACTATTATCTCGGAGATTCTGCATGGGGTGAGGTATATGGTAGAGTATTTTCATTAAGTTGTATGTAGTGTATAATGCGTATATAATATTTGACACTGGAATCAAGCGCAGCGACTTTGTTTTGCCACGCACGCGGTGCCGATCGCCGGACTGGTTACAGCCTTTGGAGCAGTTTCGCCAGATCGGCTCGTGAACGCCGGATAATGTTGGAAGCAGCCTGGATAATCGATAATCAACCGTATCGAATATCCAATGTGTACACTGCTGCAATTTAAGCATTTCGACGGTGAACTTTAGACTTGAGTTTTCATTGGAAAAACCTGTTTTTCTTGCGCGGGGCGTATCTGCAAAAGTCGACCAATGAAACTCCCGAGTAGGAACCCGCCTCCCCTCTCCAAAGTGGTTTTATTTCTGCATTCGTTTGTAACAGAGAGAGTGTGAGAGTGAGAAGGGCATCCCGTGGCCATTTATGTGTTTAGTTTAACGCGGAGTAGAACGAGCGACGGTGCGCAAAGCAGACCACATGGCCACTGAGAATGACTGTGCAGTCTTGCAAGCCATCTTCAACCCCAACACACCTTTTGGGGACATACCTGGCCTGGATAACCCGCACGAAGTGACAAATAACGAAGGTGAGGGCGTGTGCGCGTGTGTTGCTCTACGGTGGTGGGGAGCCGGTAGTGTCGCGGTGAGCGCACTGCGCTACGAACCTGGCCCACCCGGGTTCGATTCCCGCTCGTGGCTGACACCGGTGATGATTCATCTGAATCTCCCCAGTGTTGCCGCTTGTTCGAAGTTGAGAGACGAGGTATTGAGAAAGCAAATGGCAACATCATCACCCCTCGCACATTCCTGTTGTTTCGCCAGCCAGCCAGCCCCAGGCTTCCCGGCACACTGGAACTGGCTTCTCATTATTGCTGGGGACGGTCGCATTGAATCCAGGTCCATTGTTCTCTTGTGGCGGCTGCGTCAAGAATGGCAATGCCCATTTTCTCAGTTGCCCAAAACGCGGATCAAAAATAAATCTATTGATCTCTGGTTAAACTCTTCCAAAGTGGCGACAACGCCCACCTGTAAACAGAAAGTGCGAGGAAAACAACATGAATCTGAACCGGTCTTGCGCCTCCTCCCTAGGTCGTCTCAGCCTCAAATGAGTACCTGGTGCGGTGTGTAAACATCGCCACTGGGGAGACAAACGCCGGCCGGGCGTGGTGCTGGCCACCCACCCGGCCTTCATAGGTGCTACTCGCTAACAGCACTTGCCCCAACAATCTATTAAAGGCTATACGGGGGTTCTTTGTCTTTGTTGCTGAACGTGAAATTTTTTTCTGTTTTACCTGTCAATACACAACTTAAAAAGTGCTGCTGAAAGTGTGTAAAAGTTTAATGTAGTCTTGCGAGAAATGTAAAAAAAGCCTCGGTTTCAAATGGGGGGGAGGGGGAGGCACAAGCTTTTCCATTTTAGAAACTTGCGTTTAAGAGTATTTGGCTGCTTTAGATTTCCACGTGATAATAGTTGACCTATCATTTGTGATGGCCAGGTCGCTTCTGATAAAAAAAGAGCTATAAGGCTCAGTGGATCTTACTTGGTAAAATGCCGACAGTTGCCATCTACTCAATGGTACAGCCACGACTGGGGTGGGTCCTTTCAAACGTTTGAGAAGAGGCAAAGCGCTCAGAGGAGCAAGACGTATAGGACACTATCAAAAACGTCTGTAGTTTTGTTGTTCAACTTCTTTCGCGCCGTACGTAGCCAACCGTGCTAATCGGAGGTGCGGGGGAAGGACGACAACCTCAACGCAGTTCTAAAGAAATGAGTTTTCAATCAATATCAATTCTGACCTGATCGGCGAGTTGCTGGTTACTGCTGTTGCCATTTGCTTGCCCAGCTGCTGGTCCTCATCCTCCACTCCGTCCCTGCTGAATGGATTCATATCTCACTCGTGAATTGAAATGCACAAACGTTCACGCACAGCCCATTGTCAAATCTACTGCTAGATGAAGACCACCACCAGCCATCACCATTCGACCGTGTGCTTGGCAATTGCCTCCTTCAGACTCTGGCTTTGACCCGGCCCTGCTTGCGGAGGCCAAGGCGCTGGAGATGCAGGGTGTGGCTTGTGCGGAGGACGCAGACCTCGACCGAGCGGTCCACCTCTTCGACAGGGCCATCGAGCTGCTACCCCAGCGACCCTCTGCCTACAACAACCGAGCACAGGCCCTGCGCCTGCAGGGAGACACTGAAGGTACAGCCATTGCTGGGGGGAAGGGGGCCCAACTATAGGAATATCTAGTGCCACCCCCCCCTTAGAAGATATTTAGCGTACTCTTACATGCTGGCTACATATTTGGAACAGGTGGAGATCACCCGTACTTGAGCCTACCTGTTCATCGACTGTGGTGTACCATTTATATAAGAATATAGTTTGTTTCATGTTAATTAGCCAGATTAACCTGAACATCTAGACGTTTTTTCAGGAGGGTCCTACATGCAGACATTTAGGCAATTCCATGTTATGAAGTGTTTTTTTTTTGTGTGGGTGAAAACCAGACTACCTAGCGAAAATCCACACGTGCAAGGGAATAACGCGATAAGGTCGGCAGCAGAGTTAATAAATCCATTTGCTGTACTGCCACCTTGTGGCCACATCGTACCCCAACAGGTTATACATTTTCACATCTATGCAATCCACCAACGCTTGCCTCGAAACTACTGAGTCAGAGGCGTGCGGACGCCACTCCCAGCAATGGAAACGCATTGTTCTGGAGATCTTTATTTGCTCATGCGTGTTGGTATGTGGCAGAATTTGTCATGTCAAAATTCCGACCCGACAGAGAAGCGTGAGCCTGAGTCTGTGTGGATAATTTTTGGTTCCTGCATACTGATTGTTTGCTTTGTTAAATAATATTATTTGTTCCTACATTTTTTTGTTCGTAAAACAATGTAATCACGTCTTTTTGCATTTTCGATCAGTTCCCTATTCCTGTATGATGCGAAGCATGTACCGATACTTGTCACAGGACACCCATGAAATAAAGCCTAGCAGCTCATTGGGTCCTACCTGCTGAAATAAATCAAATCTATCCACAAGCCGGGAGCCACAACACATGCCACTGAGCGAGCCACGTGGGCTGGTCACATGGGGTGGTCATGCGGCCAATTCACTCCCGCTGGTTGGTTGCAAAGTTGTGAATTTATAAAGCTGCAGGAGTATCCCGGGGCAACTGACGTCTGGCTACACTGTCAGGGATGAGTCTCCATCATGCCGCGCTTGAAATAAGCAGGAGCCACATGCTGCTTGCAAGCGGCATGTTTGGCCACATTAGTTGAAGGGATCACAATTAATGTCTTTAATCCAGTGTTTTAATTCACTGTCGACAGCGTCTTGAGATGGGGCCAAAGTTTGATATAACTTTATTGTATTTTTCAAAATCTTGTGGGTGTATTAACTTCTCACTCCAGCACGCTGGAAACGTACGCAGCAAAACCGAATGCTGAATGATTTTTGGTCGGGCTCAGGAGCACTGGCGGACCTGGACAAGACCATCTCTCTGGGCAACGGAACGGGCCACTCGGCGTGTCAGGCTCTGGTGCAGCGAGGCCTCATCCGCAGGCTGCAGGACCGCAATGACGAGGCCGTCCAAGACTTCCAGCTCGCCTCGGCGCTCGGCAGCGCCTTTGCGCGGCAGCAGCTGGTGCAGCTCAACCCTTACGCCGCACTCTGCAACCGCATGCTGGCGCAGGTCATCGGCCAGATGAGGAACCCCGAGCCAAACCTGGATGCGCCCAACGACCATTAAAAAAATCGTATTAAGCGAAGCAACCAGCCACCAATAATACCTACTCGCATGGCATTGGAGGACTCCCTACCCTGACCATGTGAAGGATATTGATCATTATTAGGATTTACAATCGTTGAAAATTCCAAACTGAATATGTGCAGACGTTCTCGTTTACATTCCAAATTTGTTCAGTTTGAAACGAGTTTAATTCCAAAGCGGGTGTAGTAATGTGATCCAACTTGGAAAGTGATTGACAGTTAAATTAATGCTCGCAATGTTTTACTTTAAAAGCAGTTTCTGAATCGAACACAACTTTAAGCTGCCTATTTATTGTTTTCCCATGGGTTTCCACTTTTAAAAAGTTAAATTATCATGCACCTTGTTATTCAACGTACTATTTCAAAACAATTCCAGGAGGTGGCGCGCTTTGTATTGGCTAGAAGAACTCGGCAACCTACGTGCTCCGGAGTCACATGAGGCTCTTTTATTTAAGGACTGCGTTTGTGACGTTATTCACCACCTGCATTCCGGCTCTTGAAATATTGAAGGGAGGGGTTTTTTTTGGACCGAATTCGAAAAAAAATTTCTCTTCTCGATATTTTGGTTGCCGACCCCTGGGCTGTACGAATACCCGAGTGGGCCAAAGGTGATGACTTGTAAGATAACTCTGTGACCCAGTTGAACATAAAGCTAAAATCTGAAATAATAAAGGTGGTACATTACTTCACACCTGCATCAGTTTTTTTTGTCTTGCCCAATAAACGTTTCTTCGTGTGCCTCATTTTGTAAGCGCTATTGTTACTTTAAATCTGTAAATGATGATAAACACACATCGACAAGACAAAGTGTGCGATCATTAAGGTCGTGGAGTTTGAAAAATACTATTTAAAGCCCGATGTGAAGGTATTATTGGGGATGTCTTATAACATTGTTATGCATACTGTCTTTAAATCCAATACATTCGACGTGGAATCCTCTTAAACTAAAGGCGTCCTTAATTGACTGATATTCCAATATGCTGAATGTACAGTGTGTGTGTGGATATGTGCCTTATAACCTCAATGTAACCAGGAAAAACCTCATCGAGTCTCAAGACTCATTTTCAAGAGTCCAGTATTGCGATGTTTGGCCATTACCTTTAAAGAGCGTCATGTGGGAAGAAACCAGAGTGGGTGCTGTTAACAAAACTGGACTGGTTTTGATATGGTATCTTATACGCATGCAGCCTTTGCTGACAAAGGTGCTGCAGTTTTTTTCCCCTGCTAGAATTACTTGCCCTCACCCTCCTTACTGTGTGGGGACATTCTGAGCATTCTTAAATTCTTGTAACTCAAAGGAGACCTACAGAAATTTTAACAACCAACTGAAGATTTCGGCATCATTCACGACACCCAACCACCAAGACCAAATTGTTGCGATTCTGTCATTGTTCTGCCTCGTCTGTACTTTCAATCACGTTTGTTATATCATTTGTAGTTTGTGTTCATTTCTCGTTTGTTCAAACCGTAAAGTAGAAAGAACGGTGTGTGAGAATGTAACATAATGGTATCTTACATAAGCAAGCTGACGAATCTGATTATCTCCACAGATATCTACACACAAACAAATGGGCTTGGTCTTTTGAAATGCGCAGAGATTAAGGAATGCAGCTGGAATCTGACCAAACGGTTGAAGCCACGAGAATGTTAACTTAATTACACTATTTGCTGATGCTACGGCTGCGTTTGCTGTGGTGCACAAGTAAAATTAACACGCACAAAAACCCTCCACATTTGTCAATAATGCTTTTTCTATATAATAGACGTTTTGGGCAATGTCACACCGAACAATTCCCCAGACTGCTTACACAGTAATGTAAACAGATACACACTGAATCTGTTTACATATCTGTGATAAGGGTTTAAAAGGTGACATGCACTGTGTACTGGAGTGGTATTAGGCAGGGTAAAAAAATCGCCCTCATTTCCATTGAATGAAACCTCACGATTCAACGCAACAATATATTATTTTCTTTTTCACATTGTGGTGAATGCATCGGGCTCTCGTGGCTGGGTCAGGGGTCACATGAGCCCTCGACATGCAACAAACAGGAGGGGCTGCACTCTTGACATGAATCATTCATCGTGAACATTGCGCCAAATTATGTAATTGGAATTATACATAGCAATCATCGCCCCCCCCCCCCCCACCATTACGTAAACTTGACAGGACCCTGCTAAAAACGAGACTCGGTAGGCTTTGCTTGGGAACCAAGTTGACAGAACTGGAGGTATCGGAGCCGTGGCGCGGGGTTGGTTTGCGTACCGCGTTACGAACCCACCCATCCGAGTTCGACTCCAACCCACGGCTAACATCAGTGACATATTAACGGGCCCTGGGCTGCTCCCCTCTCCCCTACAAATCGCATTGACCAGTAAAAATCACGACGTTTCGGAGGCAACACAAGTCTCCGTCATCAGGTGGGACCGTCACAGCAGCAAATCTGGCTGTGACGGTCCCCACCTGATGACGGAGACTTGTGTTGCCTCCGAAACGTCGTGATTTTTATTGTTTTATTTTATTAATTTTTATTTTATTTTTTACCTACGTGACTTTACCGAAAGAACTAAGAGTATGAATCCTTGCAGTCACGAAAGCTTCAAATCTAGAACGCATTGACCAGGATAGTGAAGTATGCTCAAACATACCACGAGCTACACACGACTTTGGGAAGCCATCTCAGCAGAGGATTACCCAGTTGTGTAAGTACATTTCTCACGGACAATATTTTTTTATCGTGCCCCGGTCCATCTCACAATTTCCAAGCCCCCTGGACCACCCCCCCAGACAAAATATTTTCCGAAGTTCAGCCCCGGGCAGCTCCGATTGAAATTAAGCTTTGCCCCCCAGGCATTCGGGGGCATTATAGGCGTGGTTACATCCAGGTGAGCAGGCGTGGCAAGGGGCGAGGCGTCTGTACCTACGCGCGTGGCAAGATACCGGGGCCGTCATTGTTCGATTTCCCAACATTCACCATCAGCTCACCTGACGCTAACAAAGCGCCGCTGTGCGTCGCTTCGTCTTTTTTTTTTAAATAAAGGAGGGGTGGGTGAGCAAAGTCCGCCCATTCACGCCAAGTCACGCAGAACAAATGTGAGAATCGGCTGCCGACTCGCGGAAGAGACTTCCCCACGGATAAAGCGCATTGTTGTCGTACGTGTCCCAGGAACATGGCTTCAGGTGCGAGCAGCAGCCGCAGCGGCAGGGTGAGTGCCGATGCCCAGGTGTGGTTGCTCACCTGCCGGCTCACCTGGCACGCCAGCCTCTTCCTCCTCCTCCTCCTGTGCTGGATGATGTCTGCGCTGCCACTCACCTCCGCGCGCACAGGTGAGGACTTGTGGATCGTCGTTGTCATGGCTAACCACAGCCCCACCGGCTTCTCGCTCTAACATGGCACAGGGCGAAACGCCGTGTCCGGAGTTGCTCTGCGGGTTGAGGTTTTGTTGTTGTCGTCACGCAGAACCGACGGAGAGACGAGAGCGACGTGGCCTGGCCACAATGTGTGCGAAACCACTTTAGGCGCACACCTCGAATCGTCCGAGCCGGCAGTCAAAAGTTGAAACAAATGGACACGTTTGTCTAAAACAAAAGCCTCTCCTCTCCCCTCGTGTCTGTCTGCACCCGACAGTGATGACAGCGCAGTCGATCGACAGGTCACTTGCGGCGAGGTGACGTTTGGGCACTGTCGCACCTTCGAAATACTCCTGGCTGGTGTGGAAGAGTAGGCCAATATACCCTCGAGAAGGGCCTCGTGGAGAAGCCCGCCCAGCAGTAGCCCGAGGACACAATTGCGGCGATGCAAATCTTTACATTTGCGTCATGTGTAGTCCACAGAGACGAATATGTTGTGTTGAGATTTGTCACTATTTAAAAAATATTATCAGAAAACCACAATTTTCGAATTTGGATCCCCAAAACAGGACTGCGCTCGAAGGGTTCATCGGTCTCGTTCATATGGAAGGTTTAGCCCATTTCTGCTGTTCCAAATTGTCCTTTGATGCTCGTGCTAAGCACTTATAAAGAAGTGTGTATTCACGTCTCCTGTGGAGTTGTGAAGTCTAAGCCCATAGCAAGCGTTGTTTCATATTCAAACGTATAAAGCGTTGTGGTCGAAACGTCGTGAGAAATGTTTATTTTATTATGTTTTCTTTTTATTATTTTATTATTTCCCTTCTACGTGACTTTGCCGAAAGAACCAAGAAGATGAATCCCTGCAGTCACGAAAGCTTTAAATCGAAATATAAAGTTTTGTTTTGGTAAATATACCACAATATAAAAAAAAACAAATGTATAATTTGTTCAAACCTAACGTCTGTTGAAACACGTTAGAGATATAACTATACCAAATAACCCCGGAGATGAACATTCCTTTATAGGGTAAATATACTGTATATACATTCTACTGTATATTATCTTCAGCCATGATAAACCACACAGCTACATTAAGGCACCCCGAAATCAATCGGTCTGAATGATTGAAGTTATTCCTTCTGAGTTGGAATGATTTTTTCATAGGCTACAAAGGTTAGGTACAATGGTGCTTGATATTTGTGCACTACTACACTGTATGTAGAAGGTTGACGTTTTTAAAGTCGGCACAATGACGTATACATTCCGATTTGAAACCATTCGGACCATCAGTAGCCGCGTTAATTCCATTCCTTAAAAAAAGGTCACATTTCAGGTTTTTGAATTCAACCTTGTCGCCTTCAACACACATGTCACGGTCTCGAACACACACGTGTGTATCCGTGACACATTTAATTTCTTGGCAAAATTAAACAACAAGCGCTAAAAGACACACAAGTAAAACTTTTCTTTTTTCCAATTGTCTTCTATACATTTATCCAGCAATGCTTGTGAGGTTCAGAAATTAAACATCAGTGATGGCCTCTTCAACTGTTAATTGGTTCATTTAGATTGGGGAGGCGTCACTGCCAGGATTCATATTAATTTCTACATGTTTTCGCTTGAGTGGCTTTTAAATTGTAGGTGAGTGAATATGTTGTATATGTACAATTTGCATCTTTTTTTCGAAGGAAGCAAGTGATGTCGACGAGTAATTACTCCTGTATGGTATTTGACATTGTATTTGTCTATTTACATACAAGTGCACTCATCACCCTAACTTTAATTTGATGCTTCGGTCACCAAGTAATTTGTCCGTGTCAACTTGAATTACAGGAAATGTATTTCAATTAGCATTGCTTTTATGTTCATTGTTTCCTAGGAATTATATGTGCTTCATTGTTTTTGTACTGTATTGCCTTTTATCATTTTGGTGACCAAGGTGAGTCTTGCGAATGAGACTATCCTGCATGTTTAATGGATCTGCTTTTTACAGGATATGAAGGTTCCTTCTCTGTGGCTTCAGAGAGCCAGACGAGCAAGCTATCTTGGTACGATATTACTGTACCATACACATTGGAAGGTAGACAAAGACGAGACATCACCCATAGAGGGTTGAAGGTGAGATATGTTGTGGTGTAACGGTTTAACGGGGGGGGGGGGGGGTTATATTTACACCGTTCATTTGCTGGAGAAATCAAGAAAAACCTTCTTCCACTTTTTTTTTTACTTGTGTGGCCAAGAAAATGTCTATTCAACATTCGTATGTTGAGCATTTGACCATGAAGTAAGTTTGCGAACAGACCAGTTTTTGGTGCTGCTTTACCACATTTCACAGTAATTACCTGCCGTAGCCCAAAGACGTGTGTGCAGAATTGCAAATCTTAAGAGCGAAAAAAAGTCCACGCAGTAGCTACAAACCGAGAGCTCCAATTCATTGCGGCAGTCACGCTTCGAGGCAGTAATGGTGGCTACAGCCTGAACAGCAACTGAAAACATCCTTGTTTAATGATTGACTTGTAAGTCTACACTCAAGATAAGTTCTTTTTACCGACATAAAATGTTTTTTATCCAGTGGGTGGGCCCCATCAGAGATGGGGGTATGACAATATATACAGTGCGGCATTATGCAACGGCGATTTCGCTCGTGTAAATACTGTAGTGTGATGTAATTGAAGAGTGGAGTGTGTCCCTACAGAGAGCAGTCTTGCATTCATGGCTTTTCACACACGACCTTGTGTTTGTTCTTAACCTGAAACCTACATTTTACACCACCTGGTGTGCACTGCGGGACACATGCCAAAACTTGAGATGGGTGATGTTCGTAAAAACAAACTGAATGTCTTTTTTTCTCACTTTAAACTAATCCAGCAAAAATTATAGAATCTATTCCAAAAAAATCAATACATCCTGACATGTGCACAAATCCGCATTGAGAGAGTCATGATGTGGAATGACACCGAGAGACAGAAAGTGGCGTCAAATTATTTGTTTAGAAAATTAAGTGGGCTTGGACAGGGCACGGAGCTAGCAGTGATGATTTGATGGCCAATCGTCGAGGCTAACAGCGGAGTGGCAGCCAAAGGACGGGAATGCA